AGATCCCGATCCTGAGATCGGGAACTTGTTCGTGCAGTACAGAAATGCTGTCAATTACATACCGTCACCGGACAGAGTTAAGCCCATTTCCTTAGTGCACCTTGGTTACGCATTAGTCATTTGTCAAATGTGTTACAATCTTCAAAGAAAACGATCGACTTCGTTCTACCACAATAGTTGATTCATCTACTAGGAGCTGTAAGGTGATAATTTTGAATAAGGCAGAAATATCGCATCCTAGACAGGGTCGAGCAAATGGGACCTCTTCTGTCGTTTTAAATTCCGGTGAACTCTTTGGAGATGAAGGCACTTCAAACGTAGTAGGCACAATTTCTGAAGAAACCGTTGGGGGACGATCAAGAGAAATACCACAACAAGATTACAGACATCCACTGCAAAGACTCCCCTCTTGATTCCATTTTATTTTCCGACCACCCTACAAAGTCATTTCCAATCTTATACTGTAAGGCACAAAAAAATAATTTCCTTGAAATATTTTGAAACGCTCTTTAGGCTATCAATATCAGATTCATCCAAGGCAATGCATATTTCCTCGGAATGCAGTCATTAAAAGTGCAACGCATCCGCTCTCTTGTGGAACCATCTTTGAGCAAATTAACAACTTTTCTCGCCGTTTTTTTCCACGCGTATTTGTTAAAGTGGTTTAAGTAGCACCTATCAAGAAAGTGGGTTTACCTGTCAAGGCGAGCTCTAGACGTATTGAGTAAATGCAGATTGCACATGATGTTCGTATCAACACTTAATGGAATGGAAGCTCAAATACATCTACATAGGCAGCATAAATGGAGTGTAGGGAGTTGTTATCTGTCTAGCTGCATATTTGGTTTTGTAAGCTATTCAGACTTAGTGGTTTGTCATTCTGTCTGACAGTATGGCTTTCCGGCTGTGCCTAAAGACTTTCAGTTCTTATACACCCTATTATTAAGTCTTTTACCACGGTGGTTTAGATTGCCACGACTTTGAGGCTGACTAGGGTACTACAAGACTTCTAGGCTATTTTATCTGTTGTATCAACAGCTCTTTTAAAACGGCTGCAGGAACCTATTAAACCTGATTGTAAAAATCACTTTATTAAAATTAAGTATTACTTTCCAACTAGCAATCCAAGGTTATATAAGTGCCCACTGTTCTACGTATTCAAATATTTTATATGCATTACACTATTGGTTTATTCCCTTTTAAACCTTCTTTGCATGTACCTTTTCAGTTATGACAAAAACTTTTTGTTTCGACTGCCTTGGATCAGAATAATGCTTATTGGGTCTCTTTTTGCCCTTAAATTTTGCTTCTATCTTAGCGATTTGGCCTTCTGACCATGCTTGTAGCCTCCCAGCCCTTCACTACACCCACAATAAGTTGTCCTCCGTACTAGTGCGGCTTATTACCACTTCCTGGGAGACTCGAGGAGCCACACCATTATAATTTGCTGGATAATGCAAAGCGCTTGTACCTACAACTCGTTCCGCCAACCTAAAAACTATTTGTTATTTTTTTGTGTTTAAAATTTGTGATACTTACTTCGATACGTGTAATGTACTAAATTGTAGCAATATCGTTTCTTAATGGAACCAACTTTAACATCACCTCTTGAGACCAGGGTATAGGAGAAGAATTTGCATTTACTACCCATTTCTGTATCATGCCACGCTTGTTTCGAACTTTACACTACCTTATTCAATACAATTTGCCTCCAGGCATAAGATTTAAACGGGATTTGAACAACTACCTAGCCATCCACTCCCGGGGAACACAAACATTGCAAAATCAAATCTCTTTTTCGGTAGCCATATTGCTGAATTACAGACCGACATTACAAAAACACTTTACTTTTAGAAAAGCGTAATTCATGTGAAAACAGTCATATTACTGAGCCACCGACAGCAGACACTTTAGACTGATCATTGAAAGCTCATTTATAAATAAAACGGTAAACTTGCCTGTCCCCAAGTGATATAGTTCTTGTTTGATTGAAAAAAAGTTAAACGTTGACATAATTTTAGCTCGAATAATTAACGTCAAAACACATCTACTTGACCGTCCCATTCCACGCATTGTCGGTAAATCCTGTAAATGTACCTGATTTTTAGTATAAACGTTAAAATTCTCTTTAAGGGAACATTTACTATTTTGATTTCAAAATAAAAGGGGTAGTAGTACAGTGGTTAGAGGTTTAAAACACCTCATCATATAACAACTAAATGCGTTTAAAATAAACAGTAAAGAAAATAATTAGATACCCTATACGGTATAGACACCCAAATTTTTTAACGCACATCCATATCAAGTTTACCTTAAGAAACACTATGATTTCAAAAGCAACTCAGGTTCACGCTGATAAATAATGAGCTATTTTATTAAAATGGACATAAAAAGAAAGTGTAGCGTCCCGAGACTCCCCTAAGACGAAAGAAGACACAATACTCGGGCAGAATATATGTATTCGGCACGGAGAAGGTGTCTGGGCTATTGGCATGGCCCAAAAGGCCAGCCCACCCAGCGAGGTACAAGGGGGCTAATTCGAAGCACAAAAGTGGCGCCTCACCGGAACCGAGGGATAAACCACCATCGTATTACAAAAGTATGTGTAACGTTGTGTGTAAACAGCATAACGGAGTAGAAGCTTCGCATTTAATATGAACTAATAGATTTTCTAAAGATGGGTTAGTCTACAAAGGGCAGGAGCACATTGAGATGTAGGAAGACTACAAGAGATTTCGGAAAAACTACGGAAGATAAAGTTGTTTCCTGAACAGTTACAAAGTGCAATGAAATATCACTGTAAGTGATCATAAGTTTCTTTTAATTCGTGCACACTCTGAGTCGCCCCTAAGGATGTAATAGCATATAACTGCAATGGGGAAGGCTTGGACACCATACAGAATGATTGGGGTGGAGGGGAAGGCTGTAAACCTGGCGGGAAAGGCACGTAGACAAGATGGAAGTACAAACACTGAGGTCCGGGGCGCTTACGCAGCTAAGTGCCAAATCAAAACAAAACTGTTGTTACATAGCCTCTTCTCCTTTTGGTGTTGTACTCTTCTCAATACCCATTGCATCATGACTGATGCTTGAAAAATCACTCACAACACAGGAAAGGCTGTCATTTAATTTTCGTTTAGATGAAAGGTACGTCACCGCAGTTTCGGTGATGAATCTCATCAGGCCCATCGTGCCTACAGTTGTGCCCCTTAATGGGACATTGCACATGAATTAAGTAGTCTAACATTGCTTGAGGCTGGACGATGGTCTACAAAGAGTGCATCACAAAATCACCCCCCCCCCTTCATGAAAGCATTTCTTTAAAAGTTCAGCCATTTGATTTAAAACACAAACACCGATGACCTTATTACGGTGCTGGATTGCCATCGATCTGGATTTTGTTTAGTCACTATGACGTGGGAGAAGAATCGTTTATTTGCAAAATATCTTTATTGTTGTCAGCTCTAAAATTGACACGCTACATTCGTTAAAATCTGATGTGACGTAATTAGTTTGCTTTTGGAAAAAAAGCAAGATTGGGATAACTGGTGAAAGTGGACGAGGCTGCCAGAACCCCCTTAGTGCGATACCTCGGTGTCATTTAACCACATAAGATACCTTCTTCCTGTAGTGTTAAGGTTGGCAAATCGACGTTGGATGCCAGAGATACTGACTATTGTGGTCGGCTCGCTTGTAACTGCTACTATCGTAACGCATCCTATTATTCATAGAGTCGAAAAAGCGTATACTCGTACGGAAAGTTTATCATTGTGGAACAGGAAGAGTGGAAGGATACATGTATAGCCTTTTGTCATGCCACCTAGCCGGAGATAAAAACGGTGAGCCAAAATTAGCCAAAAACCATACTTTCACATTTGCCATTTCCGGATTCAGTATCACATTGCCCGAAACGTAATATCGTAAACACATTAGAAATAGACAAAAAAATGTTTTGGAGCTTAAGTGCCTTTTGTATAAATGTCGTACTGGGAGGAGTTAAAGTGCTGAAAACTCATTGACTGTGCCACTTTATCATCCAAATTCGAAGAACGATGTGATTTTCAGTCACAAGCTTGCCACCTAAGAATCAATCATATAACAGAAAGAATTATAAGTTCCATTTTATTGATTTTATTTTGATAAAGGTTTTTAGGTAATTTAAGTTAACAAATGTTCGTTTCATATTTTGGTTAGTTTGTTTAAAATTTCGTGAATAGTGGTCCATTCGTTTTAAAATACCTGCGAAGGTGTAATGCAGCTTACTTTCAAAACCTTGAAGCAGACAACATTTACCTTGGAAGTTGAGGAATCTGATCTTGTGAATTGCGATACCTCTTATTTTCTCTCTTCAGGTTGGTGATGTTAAGGAAAAAATCAAGAAGTCTAGACCGAATGATTTTGGTGAATCCAAATTGAAGCTAATCTGTTCAGGTATTTGGAATCGTAGTTATTCATTGAATATTCAGGGAAAGTACTGGAGGACGACAAAAGTCTTTCGGATTACAAAGTTACTGATAAGAATTTTGTCGTTGTAATGGCTCAAATAGTTAAGCCTTTGAAGGAAGCCCTCCCGGAGCCTATAAAAAAGGTTGCAATTTGGTTTTCTTTATTTGCCTTATTTTGTAGACCGAAACGTGCGCGGTTTCTCCTCCAGAAAACCCTGGGGTTTCCACCCCAACTCCTGCTCCTCCAGTTCCACCACCATCGGATGCAGAGGCCCCCTCTGCTCCTTCAAATCCCTCCAATTCGAACGACCTTTTGACTGGGGAAACCTTAGAATCAGCTATAAGAAACATGATTGAGATGGGGTTTGAGCGCGTAAAGGTAACTGATAAGTTAACTTCAGTGCTATTTTCAATGAGCTGAACAGACCAATTCTGCTACTGATTTACAAAATTTATTGCATAGAGATTATTGATCCTATCGTATTTCTTCTGCCTTCTGTATGTTTTACTTTTATAAGTCTTGGTGTCTTATTTATAGGTGGAACAAGCTCTTAGGATGAGCTTCAACAATCCTGAACGCGCTGTTGAGTATTTGATATCGGGCAATCTTCCTGAAGAAGTGGCAGAACAACCAGCGTCACAGGATCAGCCGGTTGCGACACCTCAGCAGGGTATCGGTTTCGATCCAGAATCATTGCGAAATCTCAGCAGTGAGGAAGTTTACCCGATCCTTGCTCAGGTTCCTCAATTTCAGCAGCTGCGAGCACTTCGTGGTAATCCTCAACTTCTGTCGCAGTTCATCCAACAACTTTCTGTCTCCTATCCAGACGTTGTTAGGGTTGGTTTTCATCTATCTGATTACCTTGTTTAATTCTTTCAGTCATCATTTAGCAGTAAGTCCATCTTAGTTGTTTTAGGTTACCGTTATCGGCTAAATATCCATTTTTTTACACCAACATCATCGCTATTCAATATTGCTTTATTGATTCTCCCTAAAGTATTTTTTCTTAATGGTCTTTCAAAATAGCTCGGTAGTAATTTTTCCGTGCGTCGAATACCTGAGGCAAAGTTTTCGTGCGTATTTTTAGCGTCCAGCCAGCGTGATGTGGGGTGACGCCTTTGCCTTTTGTCCTTCACGTAATTAGTTTCCTTTGTAGGCTATTCACGCAAACGAAAATGGTTTCCTCGATTTTATTAATTCCGATGCTGAGGAGACGAATCAGGAAAGTGACCAGCCTCGACCACCTGCCCAACATATTATCCGTTTGACAGAGCAGGAGAAAACTGCCATTGAAAGATTAAAGGCTCTTGGTTTTTCGGAAGATGAAGTTATTCAGGTGAATTTCATTGTCGATGCTTTGATAATTTGTAAACCATACAAGACTTAATCATCCTTGATTTTTATGGTGAAACACCAGTGCCATAGTTTGTTAAGTTTCAATGTCCCCTTGTTTTCGAATCGTAAGTTATTTACCCCTGCCAACTTGGCAACGTAATTGGTCATATGGCATAATCAGTTCTGGTGAACTGTCTTCTTATCCTGTCTACTTCAGGCTTATTTTGCGTGTGATAAGAATGAAGAGCTTGCCGCCAATCTCCTGCTCAGTGACAATCAAGATGATGCCGTTTGAAGCTTTCATTTCGTGTTGAATGTGACTGCTGCTATTATCCGCCACCCACACTGTATTTCTGTGTGACTTAATTTCTCACATACTTCACATTGGAATGTGCGATTTACATGAGTTTACACATGTCTAGAAGCGAGCTGACGTTTTTTGGCTTTGGGGTTGGTTTGTGGGCTGCGGCGGTGGTTGGGCTGGCAAGCGTGGTGGGCTGTGGTTGTGCGTGCTTGTGCCTGCTTTGTCATAGTGCTGGGTGGGATTCGGTGCCGGCCCGCAATGGCTATCAGTTTGCAAATGCAGCCAGAAGGGATTTCACAAGCCGCCTGGGTGGTGTGTGCTCAGTGAGTGTACGACGCATAATTGGTTTACCTTGTGGATGGTTTGCAAAAGACAAAACTACTCTTGTTGCTAGAAGCTGTATATCTGTTTACCAGCTAGTGGATTTTTTAAATATGCTTTGGCATTGATTCACCCACATTGCTGCTGTTGCTAAGATGATTAGCGAATGTGTAGAGTACGCAGTTTAGAATTCAAATTGCATTGTTTACTAAATTTATGTATGTGCAGATTATATAGATCAAACCCACTTAACGTGTGGTATTATATTTAATTTCTTTACTTGTTTGTTTTAAACAATCTAACGCTAAAACAAACTCACGAATGTGACGGAGGCTCTAATAGTTCTACCAATCAGATTGTTGGACCATTAATTTTCCTATTCTTCGTAGGTCTGTGTTCTGTACTTGAAATTTGAAGTTTTGTAGCACTGGGTCCTCTTCGTGTGGTTACTGTTTGTTTTAGATCCTCACGAACTTACTACTTTCTCCTAAAATTCGTTTGAACGTTTACGTTATCAGTGCTAACAATCTTACTGTTTTGGTAGTTCCCGGGTCGGGTTTTGAAGTAGTTTTTCCTAGGTAGTATTCACTGTGAAGTAAATAGTCTTGCTATTCATTATATGTATATCATTACTGCCAGCTTCTTTATTATGGGACTGTTTCTGTGTAAATATTGGGTTCGATTTCCTTTTACACATCGGAGTTCTAGAAACTTGTTAGTACGTCCAGTAGCTTATTATAGTGTTTTTGTGCATTTTGGTGTCTATTGCTTAAGTTTAGGTAGGTGTATGTAATCTCGCACTACCATTTTTATTGCTTTGTTTGGCCCTACTGTCTATTTTTTCTTGTTTGATGGGATAAAAGTTGGTTTTTGCCGAATTTCCCTCGCCATCTAGTTAGGCAAGGTGACAGACTGTAATCCGTGTTCTTGGTGGTCGCTACTATTCTCTACTTTTCTCAATAGGAAGCATTCTTGCTGAGGTTTTTATTGCTGTGGGTTAAAAGTTCCTCTTTATAATAAGTTGTGCTTCTTGACAGCCTAAAAACAAGGAGTTCATAGTAGTATTTGCCTCCCGTGTAGGCTTTCATCTGCTTATTTAGTTCATTCTTGTTGCCATTTGATTTTCAAATCAGGCTTTCTCAAAATACGCCTCATTTAGTAAATTCACCATTCAATTTCATGTTTTAGATGCTCCAATTTTTCCTGCGTCCAAGCTATGTCTTCTGTATCTAGTCCCAACAAGTCTTCTCGCAGAACGTATTCGAGTCTATCCTGCGTGAGTAAACGTCCTGATTCCCCCGTTTTCGATTCGGTTGGTGTTGAACCTCTGAAAGTGATCAAGAGGCCTACTATCGGAGTAGCATATAGTAATCAACATCTTTTCAACCATCGTGGTTCCGGCGCTACGCTTGATGATGCCTCCTCTCTGGCTGATCAAAGTTCTTCCGCCGTTTCTCCAGTCAAATTGACTTCTTCAAAATCCTCTCTCACAGGAACCAGTGCGTCTCAGTCTGATCTAGTTGGAATTAATTACAAACTAACCACTCTTACCATTAATCAGCGGGAAAGTATCTATGTGAGAGCATTATTCCGCTATGATCCGACGACAGACCGTGGTCTCGCTGCTCGTGTAAGCTCTTTAATTCGAAATGTTTTTTATACTCTTTTGTTCGTACTTTTTTATATTTTGACTTTGAGCACTAGGGTTTCCTCGAGGTCCATAAAGTATTTGCTGATTTTATGAAGTTCAAAATATTTCACACTTTCTACATTACTTTCTGGATAGTCCCATTGTTCTCTCTCTGGCAATGTTTCGTGATTGCATTCACCTTGATTCGTGTGTCGATTGCCGTTTTTATTCATTACTAGAGTTGTAATCTTGTATTGAGAAAGGGACACTGGCATTTTGCAGTACCTTTTATCCTCCAGGTGACATTGTTTTTCCTTTTCCTCACCGTGTGCTGATTTTATTTGTTTCGTATGTCTTCTTTGTTGCTTATAAATGTCGTTCAGTTGGTTATTGGAACTTTAAGTAACTGAATGATAATGTCTGCACCTTTAGCTTTCTTAGCAAAACTGTGGCTATCTCATACGCCTCATCGTATCGTGTGTTTGCTCTCACAGGGTCTCGCCTTTGAGCACGGGGACATTCTCTACGTTGTGAATGCCAGTGACCAGGAATGGTGGCAGGCGTGCTATGCTTTTCCCATCTCCCCGCCCGCCTGGGCCTCAGCCTGCACCTCAACTACTGCCATCAGTAGCAACAGTATCACGCCCCCAGAAGTCCCTTCATCCTACAACGCAAATATTCCCGATCAGCAACCGCCAACTCGGTCGTGTCGACCAGCCATAATTCCCAGCCAACGTCGCGTTGAGCGGCGCAGTAGGCTTTCCGCCAAGCGTGTAAAATTTGTGGACAAAGAGGTTGACATTGGTGAGGGGAGCCCTAATCCCTGGAGCCCGAGCGGAGGCGACACTTCTAACCTCTCCCACGCCTTGGAGAGTCATCGATTCTTTGGCGGATCTGGCGGATGCGGTGTTGAAGGCAGCTCTGCATCCCTCTCAGCCGTCGCCAGCGGTGGGGGCGGTAGTTTTCCAAGTGGGGACTCTGTGTCTGTTGGTGAGTTTGTTCCCCAGCTATGTTAGCAAAAGCGACAATGCCTGCTTACTTTCTGCTGTAAGTACCAGTTAACCTTTACGCAGCAAATATTTGATGCAGTGTAGTGGCTAGCTATAGCTGTTTTGCTGATTCCCTCGATTTTCCCAACGATTTGTATTCGTTTTAATTCCATTGTGTGAACTCTGTTTGCACCTGATTCCTTTCCACTTGTTTGTTACACTTAGCTATTGTCGGTATGAATGGTGTTTTTAAACCAAGTAAAGAAGTCGCTAAAGTACAAACTTAATGTGGAAATCATTGATATCTAAGATTAGGCTAAACATTACCTGACCGAAAGTTTATAAAACGCGATGGCGTGACATTCTCTTGTTTTTGTACACCGTTTTTGAGTTGAATGCTCAAAACGATTTGTTAGCATTGTAGCCTTCCCGTTGTATTATTATAGTGTTTCATGTTTCGCGATCGTCACGCAACATCGATATTCGCTATTTATTGTAATGAGTCACTCTTCGATTTGGGTTCTGGGCAAAAATTTTGCCAGATCGTAATTGAGCATCATAATGTGATGATAAACAAATTGCACCCCAATTTATTGTTCATATTGGTTGCTCCGTTGTGCATTTAGGCCTCATTTTCTTGTTCCTGAGCTCGTTTGTTTGCATTTACACGCACACAAGTCTGGTCTTGGCGCAGTGCCAAACCGTGTTTCGCAATCATCCCCTCCTCATCTTTGCATTAACGCCATATATTTCTATACAATATCATTTATTTGGCTTACTTTTTCGAAAGAAGGGTCTCAATATATCTCAAATTTTGAATCCTTGCTTCGTTGATTTTCGACTCGAGAGAATTGCCATGACGGTCTGCACTGTGCGCATAAAATTCGTCTTGCGTTTGAGCGCAAATCTTAATTTCCCCAATCTTGTCCGTTTTGTGGTTATTTGCGAGTTTGGGTAAACTCACTGACACTCGGGCAAGTGACATAGGTTGGATCTTGTATCATACAGGTGCCTTTGATCTTAGCATAAATATAATTTAAGATTAAGTTCATTTCAAACATTTATGGAGAGAATGGCAGGGTAATTAAAACCTGATAGGATGGTTATAGTCTGGAGGCGCTTATGAGGACAACCTTACAGGTATCCAACTAATAATTGCTGCAAATAAGCGGGTTATTTTCACTTGTGGGCTTAAACAAAAGCCTCTTGCGTATGTAAAAGATTTTTTTGTGGGGCATTGTTCGTGAGTTTTATGAGGTTGAAAGCGCTGTTGGGATAATGTACTTGCGCTAAGCATTAATGACTTAATCACTGTTTCCTCTGTTGACCCATGCAGTGCACTTGGTAATTTAAGTCTGTGCTTGCTTTCCTATTCTGCGCGGGAGATTTTGTCCAAAACTTAAACTCGGTAAACGATTATTATTTAAGTCTATGTCAATTTTATTGCGCTTATTTACATCTAAACAGTCTTGAAATGTAAAATGGAACGATACGTCTATTCCACTAGCTTTTAAAAGCCAAAAAGCTATGAAGGTTGATAATAGTTACATGAGGTGCGTGGCTTTTACTTGCGTTCGTTCATGTTTGTAGCAATGCCAAAAGTCCTCTTACTAGGGCTCCGTTTTGTCGGCGGATGCCAACCTTTTTGGCATATAAAACGCCGTTTTATCAACGAGGCCTAGAGTCGACGTGCTGGCTAGCGCAATTTTTACGTGCTAATTTGTGCATTTTGTGTGTAGTCAGTAGATGGCAAGTATTTTCTCCCCGTGAGCACTCTTGATTCTGTAGTGAAACTGAAATTTGTTTATGGGTAATTAGGCATATTCTCGCCTATCCTCGTAAGTTCGTCGGCGGTGCTGCTGAGTTCATGTCGCTAACTCCATGCCTAATTGAGAACCAAGCGGTCCGTGCAAATTTGGCTACCCTTTTGATGCCAGTGGTAACGTCTTCAGATTTATTTGCAGTTAGTTACGACCCGGTGGTTTTGATTTTATATTCGGTGTATTTTCCACTTTGCGTGTTTGCAGCCGTCTCAGTTTCCTAAACATGGATTTTAGGCCCTGGAAGCTTCATATTCCAAAAGTTTATCTTTTCAACTACTGAACTTTCTTAGAGAATTTCAGCGTCCATTCGCACTTCACTTAAAAGATAGCCACAATACAATTCATTGTGTGCGTGATTCGCACGATTGTGCATAAGCTCGCTTTAATGTCCAAATAAAAGATAATCCATTGTTACTGCAACTGCAGTCGATGCATATATTACATATACATCGAGGTGATTTTTAATACTGATGCACTAGAATGTCGTTTCGTTACTTCAGGTGGGACTTTGGAACGACGAAAGAAGCCCAATTCTTTCTCCATTTTTAAGCGTTTTTCCAGTAAACGCGATAGGAAGGACTTCGATGGCGGTACCATAATGAAGAAGAAGAGCGTCTCCCTCGAAGATATGCAAACTGGTTGTAAGTTCACTACTTACTTTATGCAGCATATTTCACGAACTAAGTTATTGGTCCTAGTGATTCACATTGCTCACTTAAATTTACCTAGATTGTAATACACCAAAATTTTTTTTACTCGATGCACTTGACATTGGTAACTCCGTTTTTAGTTGGTTAAAAGTTATGATTACGTGTGATATTTAATTAAAATTAATGTGCTGAAACCTGACCGACACACGTATGCATGCATTCTGGAGGTCAAGTATCCATACGAAATTATTCTTACAGCTCGTGGCACATGTGTCAGGTATTCCGTGTTGCAAATGAGCCATTAGTTCCGTCACCACTAATATGGCGTAGCACTGTATTTTTCTGAGTCAGGCTTTCGCGCTGATCGAAACCTATAAACAGCAACATGTATTTCAATCTGTGGTTTTCATGGAACTGCTTTCGGGACACTGCTGCTTGGGGTACTAAAACATGGGCAGCCTTTGGAGATGTGGAATGACTGTTCGCGCATGGACCCTTTCAAAAGACACCTCGAGGCAGTTTTTCCTTATTTTTAGTCTAACTTGACTACTCTTTGTCATCTGATTCAGGTTGCCACGACGTTTTTTTGTTTAGAAATGCTGATGTCGATAGCATGTTACAGCTTTTAATCGTAAATGTCCTCTGAGAAACTTCTTTGCAACTAGGGCTCTTGTTTCGTACCGATGGCAGTTTGATACGATGCAGTTGCATCCCGGGAGAAAGATCATCTTTGGAATCTTTTCATTCACACTTAAGTACGAAAAAAGTAGACATGATTCATTATATATCAGCAATACTATTGTTATAGAACCATGCCGTTATTTTACCGGTGCTTCGTAAGTTCAGAATTTCTTCACTCCTTTTGTTTTTTATGCCTATTTTAAAAAAGCCAGATTGTCACATAATGTTGTAATCACAGAAGTTGCGTCAATTCACTGGACTCGCAATTGAACGTAAATCCTAAAGACATGAACTGAATGAATACCTCATAGTTCAGTTGTATTCGTATTCTTGTAATCAGTGATACTGCTCCCTCTTTGTGAAATACCATAGGCACGCAAACGCCTTGTACTCCTGGTGTGTGGAGTACATTTATGGTCATGTTTACCAAAACTTACACAAATTATTTAATCCTCCTTTGCATTACGCTGTTAAGCTGAACCGTGGGTCATTGGTTGTAACCTCCCAATTCATTTATCACTCTTTTAATAGAGGGAGATTCTTGAATGCACACTTCGCTATGAAATCCGGAATGTTAGCGACCGGCAGTGCGATAGAGGTTCCAACTTGACCTCAAGTTGACCCCTATTCAGGATGGTTGTATTGTATTTAATCTGACAAACGCAGTTGACTGCCTTCTGGTTCCTTCCACGCCACTACAAGCAGCTCACTAAAGGTTTGGCAACTAATGCTGTGATTTGCCATCTGCTGTCTCCTTTGTCGCTCATGGAACTTTGCTTGGGTTTAAACCACTTTCGCATACCTTGCTCTTTTTCGATTCAAGCAATTGCTCTTATTATTCCTTGTCAATCTGTGTGGCTGTTTAGTGGGTTTAGTGAAAACGTAACTGCTATATTTAACTTTATCCTACGTGATTTATGCAAGGCATTGACTTTTATTTGAAGCGCTGAAAAATCTTCAATAATCTTTCATTATATTAACTCTGCAGCGTTTCTTCTTAGTTGGAGACTGTTTAGATTCAACCGATCTCTTCTCCAAAATAGGTTAAAATTTGTGGCTACCCTCTTCATACACTCGTGAGCATGGCTATTTTTAACTCCCTAAAATTTGAAAATTTTCCAGTCCAACTACTTGTTGCGTTTAGTTTATAGTGCCATTGTTTTGTACTTTAAAACACGCTAATACGACCACTTTACGCCGTTTTGAAGTGGTAATGCCGTTAGGGTAAATTTTTCACACTGGGCGAATCGGATTTGTGCACGTGTCGTGAAGTAAAACTTTGCATAATCACATGCAAAAGCGTCTTGAGGACGCACTTATTTACTCTGCTCACCGTTGTTACGTTAGGCTCTCCAGTAGCTGCTGATGCAGGCGCCGTTTCTGTCAGTCCTTGTAGCTAGCCTGGGCGTTTTGTTGATATTGCTTTCGTGACCTGTGATAATCAGCCGCTTTTTGTCTTAACATCTTTCTTTTTGTAATTTGTGCAGTAGAAACATTCGAGGAAATAGTTCCAATTGATTATTGATGTGTCAAGATTCTACTTGTATTGTAGTGCTTTTGGGCCGCTTAATTGCGATACCTGGGTTTTTTAATTGGGGACTGGTTGTGAAAGTGTCTCGAAGATTGAGTTTTGTACTTTCGATCTCGCACACACACACGATTGCGTGTAAATCCTTCTTTCTGCTTTGTCTGTAAGCAGATGTCCCCGGTTGTCTACCTTTCAATGTTGTTTTGTGTGAATAAGTTAGCTTCTTTCAACTGCCCTCCTTTCCAGCTGTTATTACCTTTTGTCAAGCTACTTTTTGCGAAGTCGTATCTGCTTCTCTATCGTAAAAGTCACCAGTGATTTCTTCGCTTCTAGATGTTTATTTACATCGATTCGGTGCTGCAGGCTTTTCTATTACTACCTTTTGTCTTGATTTGAGTTACCTTTACGTCTACTCCGCTGTATTCTTGCGTAAGGTTACCTCATCTTTGGACTTTGCTCTTGGTGTTAAGGTTAAGGTCAAGTGATGGTGCTATGTGCAAATCCTAATGCAACTTTTTAGAGCAATTCCCCCTCTAATTAGCTTATTTCCGCCTTTCACGGGTGTGATACGTGGTAATATACTATTTGTCCACATGAAAACTGCTCCGCATTTGAGTGCCAAGTTTAGGTTGGGAATACCTCACTATATTTATGTTTGTCCACTACTAAACATGTCTAGCGCTCTATTTTCGATTGTGTGGACTGTATATCGGAATTAGTATTTTAAACAGCATTTTCTTTAATTCCTTACTCTTTCGCTATTTCTTTTTACCTGCATATGCATTTAGCTGTGGTAACATCACCACCCTAATTTTTCCACCCTTTCTGGCACAATGTGCATTGTCGATGGGATTTGCCGTGAAATACCGGCTCTACGAATACACTTGGCTTTTGTTTCCGCTCGACGGTTCCTATATTAATGTAGGCGCGATAAGTTTGTGTCTTATACCATTTATACAATTTTGTCCCTATGTCTACCTTTTGATGTTATCCAAAAGATAGGCGCCCACGTCCATGAATCAGCAGAGTTACTTAAACCGTTTCTGAGTTCTTTAAAGACTACGAGACCATATTGCTTATCAATTTGGTATTTTGCATTGTTTCTGTGCGATACAATCAAGAATTTCTCAATAATTTTAATTTTTTTGCCTGTTATCAACCACACAAGTATCTTAATTTCATGTAAAGTTTTCATATTATATTTCTCGTATGTATCATTTCCAGTGCATATTCCTCTATTATTTCAGTATGAGAGTTAACGGCACCCGTGCCTGTTCTCCAGCCAATCAGCTGTCAAATACAATTGGCAATTGCCACACCTTTAAGTGTTGTTTAAGTCTCAGTCATGCATTGGCAGGGATGTCAGGCCATATTTGCTATGCCATTTTATGCAGCTCTCTCTACAGTGTAGCCTTCCATTCACTTTGCTGATTTCACCCATACTGATATCAATCCTTGGCTTCTTCTGTAGCATTGCTATGCATATAATCCCATTGCTTAGTTTCGCGTACGCAGTTTGAATTAACGAGTTGCGTACTCTATATGCTTGATGGGTTTCTTTATCTAGTTTGCTTTTTTGGGAGTCGTACTCAGTGGTACTTTCTGCACTTTTATTCATGACAAGCTGCTGGTAACCTGCATTTTGCACCCTCTAACGATGTTGGCATATTTTCACACCGAGCTCTTCCATTTTGGTTTGCACAGAAACATCTCAACGATATCTGTTGCATAATCCCTTAGACAAAATTCTGCCTGGTAGAGCTTGATTTCTACCTACTCTTTGAATTGATGTGTGTATATTTCGTTCCCTAATTCTTTGCGATTGTTAAAACTACTAATTGAAAGTCTATCAGTGACACCTTCATTGTAATGCCTAACGCGAACCTAAACGGTGACCCCAGCATCATCACCACGATACCTGATGTGACGCCTGCGTCTTGCATTGATTTCGGCTCCTCTAAATTTATTGATAAACACCTTCGCCCTGCTCTGGAAGTATCACTGCCTTGCTGCAAATTAGCGCTGATATGCATTGGCTCCAGAAGAAAAAGCCACATTTTTTCAAATTCGACGAAGTAACATGTAGACTCTGGGTGACAATGTTTAGGCTTAGGGCTTGCAGTGTCGGTGCAGCAGATTTTGATGTTTTCTCTTCATTACCAGACCCTAGCAGTCCAACTTTTCACCGTATTGATGCTGAAACTGTTCGGGTACGCTTAACATACCACTTCACGTAGGATATCGTTGATAGCTATAGTTGCCGAAAAGAGTTAATGCCGATTCCCCTCCTTATTTCACCACCTCGAGGTTTTTGAGGCTTAGATAATTTTATTGTAGGTTTGTGAGGACGGTCATATTTTTTTTACTTCTGCACAAGACAGAAGACAAGAATTGACTAGCAAACCTAGGACTACTGGCGTAGCAAACTCCATGCAGGCGGGCATCAATTCAATGGCACGTGGTTTACTCACTTTGAATGTGCATGCTGGTTTTTACGCGCACTCACACCCTTCCCTTCCCGTTGGTCTTTTATGTGGTGTCACATGCCCTTTCTCTGTTAAATAAGGTTGGCTTCTTAGGGGAAGTAATTTTAAATAAATGAGAATCTGCTGCATTCTGCGAGTCTTTTTTTGGAGTACTCCCAACTTGACGACTTCATTGTATTTGCCTTTTGTTGTTATATGTGCCGACCACGCACTTCAATTTGTTTTGCGTGATTCAAGTAATACGACATCTGTTTGGCGGTGGCAAACGGTTTTATTATAAACCTAAAAGTAAAAAATCGCTTTTTGTCTGCCCCACAATACACATATAGAAGTCGCTCAGAAGTAACTACCCTCATAAAAACGATTTCTTCATATGAAAGTTTTATTGGCTCAGTGTTGCTTCACCTTGGCTCTCCATCCAAATGCGCCCTTCTCCGAGCACATGTGTTTTGAAGGTTGTAGTTACTAATCAGATGCAAGTTTTCTCGCTAATTTCGCGTGAAAATTACTTCCAATATTGTTGTGGTGCACAAAAGCCATATGTACGCGAGTGAGCCCTTTGCCCCCTTGCATCTACCGGCACTTTACCGCCCGTTTTGTTCGCTGTTTTGCAGCCTTCGGTCCGCGACTGTCGCGCACCTATGAGATCGTCCACTCTGTAACATTAAAAATGGCTCGTCCCTTGATTATTTTTGGGCCTCTTAAGGAGAGGATAACTGAGGAGCTCCTCCGTTCTGATGAATTTGCTACCTGCATACAACGTAAGTTTGCAAGATTTGGATTCCACTCAATTGCTTCCCTTTTTCAATGTTTTTACACTGTTTGGTATCAGTGACACCTTCAGTTACGCTGTTTTGGACATCTGTTGCCCGATTTAAAGTGGCCTTTTTGTCAACACCTTCGCCTACTTTTTGCTGTACATAATGCACCTTCATGTGCTTTCGTTTGCAATTTTCTTTTGTATCTTATGCGAGCTTTGCGACACACTCAATGTATGAAGTCATTCTCGCGTAGAAAAGGTGTTTTTTTTTGTTTGTCATTTAACAAAGGTTATTAGTAGAACTCTCCACTACTTTTTCTTGTTTTCACGGTTAAGCATTTTGAATGATTACAACTTTTCCATGCATTCACTTGTATCCAAAACTACTGCATCATGTGCTTTGATAACGTTTTTTTTCTGTGACAAGGTTCAAAGCGTTGACGGTTTACTTGGTCGAATGCTATCTGATTGCATAGTAGAATATACTTTTTTAGATTGGAATGCAGTAATCATTGCGACTTTTGCAAGAGTATACACTTCCCTTAAAAGTGTATGTTGATTACACTTTTAGTCATATGATTCTCAAGGTCTTAATGTCACTATTTTCGCTACCCTTCACCGCCAAATTGGTTATTGTTGCTATTACTATGCGTGCATTCCTTGGTCTACCATGACTTTCTGAATTTGTATTCATTGCTTTTTATAATTCGCAGATGAGTACCATATCTACATCTCGTTGTACCCTCAAGGGCTCAGTGCATTTTACGTCATTTAGGAACTCATTATCGTTTCCAATATCATCGTGAAATTTTTCAGACAATAGACTTTTTGCGGCCCTTGAATCTCATTTTTCAGAAAAATGAGATAGGCTAGGAGCATCATCAAACCCTCTCTCATTCTTCTGTGTTCTCTTGAAGATACGTCGAGGCCACCACAGGCTGGTGAAGTGGACGGGGTCGACTACCACTTCTATCCTTCTAAAGCGGCCATGCAGGCAGACATCTCGTCGGGCAAGTTCTTAGATGTGATAGTCCAGAGCGACCACTTCTACGCCACCTCTGTGCAATCCATCCTGGAGGTGCTTCAGAGTGGGCGCATATGCATCCTTGATGTCAACATTGTGGCCATCTATCGGTTACAGGTTGGTGACTGCTTTTCTTAAGTTATCTATCATATCAGTGGCAGATTTTTCCGTCCTCTTGCGTCTGAAAAGTATCCCTCTATCTGTAATCTCTTTCGTACTCCCTAAATCATTCATGCGTGTTTTGGGAATCTGTTTTATTATGTGGCGTATACGTTATTGAAAAGAGCGCACAGTTCTACTTTGTACATAGTCCTAATTCATACAAATCCCGCTTCTCCTCGGCTTCAATTGAAAAAAGAAAAAATTATTTTAGAATTGGCATGGGAAAAAAAATAAGTGTCGTGTAATAACAGCCTTTTTAACTGATTATCCTCAAATCTACCCTAACCGCGTTTTACTTCTCCATTATTTCCTGTGACCATTGGATTGTACTAATATCTCAACAGTAGCACATATAATTTTCTTTAAGAGTGCTGGACTTCATCCTATGTCAATTCTGCTGAAGCCGGAAACAGTGATGCAGTGTCGGAGCCTTCAGCGACGCCTCACCGTCGATCAGGCACGTAGGATGCACGAAGCCTGCACCCGAATGGAGTCCGAGTACTGGTACCTGTTCACTGGTCAGTGCTTCTTAGCCCTTTCCGTTACGCCCCTTTTCACATGGCTGACAAGTTTACTATCAGTTGATTCGCATAGAAATGACGTTGGATTCGTTGTAATTTATGGCCGGAAGGGATACACGCATACTAATCCCGTTCTGTGCCTTTAGCCATACTAAATTTGGAGTCTCTGGACAGCGCACTGGTATCGGTGAATCGTGTCTTGCAGCAACATAAAGGTCCTTGTGTCTGGTTACCTGCTGATCAGACCCTACGTAGCGTGGAAAAGCAGACTCCTACTCTCATTTGAAATCCAATTCACAATAGCTATGCGCCGACGCCCATACACTCATACGTCTCCTCCTCCTCATTCCACTCTTTCTGCTCCGAATGAACAATCAATCTTACATTATTATTAATATTATTATATACATATGGTATTATTTTGTATTTATGTGGGTCAGTTTGTTTCTTTTCTTCCTTCGAGTGATTTTAACGCTTGTGTAAGTACACACGCGCACGCCCACCCAAAATCACACAGTAATCTAACAATCCACTCAATGCAAGATTGCTTTTGTCTCCTTTTGCGACTAAGCAAATGAATTTTTCGGACCCGTTGGTCCCTGCTTGTGCATATCACTTGACGCCAGTGACGATACTCTTCCCGCCCTCCCTCTTGTCCGTTTGTGCGTGCGTGTGTGCATGAGCACACGCACTCCTTTGCTACTGTGTCACTCCATTTAAAATCCTTATTTGGTTTTGCTGCTAACTCTGGATTGTGTTTAACCTCTCCCTTCCACAAACACAAACGCCTCCTTCACACACGCCTACCTGTCGCTCTTCCTCTCAATCAACTCCCCCTTCTCCTATGACGACATTTTAAGAGTGAAAAATGGCTGGATTGAACAATAGTCTGCATTCTATCCTCGTAATCATGCCCTCACTGGATAGAAACCAATTGCTTATCGTTTGCGAGCTTGCTTAACGTATGGCGAAAACTTCCAGAAGCCGGTGCTGGTAGTCTAATTTCAGACCATAGTGGATTACTAGTCTAGTTGGGAAGGCGCCTTGCTTGATCGCTCGTTCTTTTTCGGCATGTTGGATGCTAATTTGGTAGAGCGATTTGGGGCAGCTGCTCTAAATGGTAGTACTTTGCCATTTTTAGACCATCGTCAGTGGTGGGGATTTTTGTCTATTTCCAGGCAAAATGTCAAATGAAGGTACTAAGCTTCCCACCTAATTATTTTGCGGGAATATTGCTCGTCATTTTGCGGTCTGGTGGACCTTAGTAATAGTGCGGCTGTCTTAATTAAAATCCCTGTTCAGATGACAGCTTAACTGACGAACATTTTAGTATGTGCTTACATTGCTGAGTAGTGAGGGATTGAGGACTTAAACACCGGATACAAAAGCCCTCCCATTTTCGAATCTGGGGTGGTAACAATATCTCTAAGTGGTTGCAGACAGTAGGTTATTCAAATGTCAAGAGATCGTTTAGAATTGGGATGATTGTATTTGGGCCCCTCGGCCTTTCGTAGTTGAAGTAACGCGTTGAGGTTTTAGGGTGCTACTCATATCACCTGAACCACTAGGCTCTCAAGCCTTTCATAGTTTTGTAATAAGCCCTCTTCCAGATCGGTGGGACACATGGCGTCCTGAAGGTAATGAGTGGACTATCATGATGACCCATTCAGCTTTAAACTCGTGATTGTCGAATATGTTTTCGATAAGCAACACGTAATCACATAATGCATCACCCACTAAAAGAATTGCTGAAACTACAGTCTCAGGAAATATATACAAGAGTGGGGTCAACGGTATTTGTCTCTTTAACTTCCAGTGTCCAGTCCCACTTGATTATTTCCACTTTTAGACGGTCGACTGCTTGTGGTGGTGACGTTGTTCGCGAATGCCTGTAGAATGCCATCTGCAGTAACGTTCTTGTCCTTGTGAAGGGAGTTTCTCAACTGATTAAACACATAGGCCAACAGTACCGCATTTGTTCCGTCTTCCCTTTGATCCCTAGCTGGCGGCGACTCGGGGATGCTAGAGGTCGGTGGGCTCATTTCACTCGCGTCTGATTGGTTGCTACCAAGGCCACCAGAGAGTGTTGGTTGTTCCTGCGTGTTGAGCTGTTTTCGGGAGTTCATTGACGTCTGATGGTGCTGTTCCGAGGGATTTTCCTTCTTCCATTTGGTTCTTCGGTTTTGGAACCATATTTTTACCTACAGTAATAGGACATTCACTTTTAAGAAGTCGGCGGACTTATCATACAGCATAACACGTAAAGTAGATTTTTTCGTTCCCAAAGTGTCTCAGTCTTACATTTGATAGGTTCAAACGAATGGCTCATCAGTAAGTCAAACAGAATGAATACGTTTTTAGCGACTATGAAGTCGGTCTCTGTGGTTTTAGGCAGATGAAAGGAAGAGGATCCCTCCAGCATACGTTCAGATCTGCCTTCCTTTAGTGGCGGTCACCGCACGAATATTGCAGCAATTAATTTGGCACTGTTGTTTAATCGTATGCGAGATGCTTTTTCCAGAGTTGTTTAATTTGTCTCGATTAATGGACGCATCTCACTGTGAAGATTATTTTCCACATACATGAGCACCGTTTCGCATAATTTTAGGTAAGAGCTGTAAAAGACGGGGTCTCTATTTGCTTTATTGCCACCCTTTTATCTCCCACTTAGTGTGCACCGCGCGTATGCACGCATCCAGCCACGCACGAACGCACGGGCACATACTTTCAAATTAATTCACCGAAGCTCTGCCTTATACTCCAATGTGTATTTTATTTCAACGCCATTTGCTTCCGTGCTAATTGGAGCAGGCAAATTAGCGCACCCTGCTCGTGCGGCGTGCAATTAGGTGGCCTAGAGGTCGTTAAAGAAGCGGGCATTTAGGGACGGGGAGGGGGCAGTGCATACAGGCAACGAGGAGTGGGAGGGGGCAGAAAGGAGCGGGGCAGAAGCAGTGATAGCCTCTATTATAAATAATGAGAGCACACACACGCACAGCACTTAGGCAGTGAGTGATGGAGGGTAGGTGGGCGGGTGGGGTGAAGTGCTCTGGCCGGCTTAGTATGCACACCCATTAAAAAGGGAGTAGCGTTTCTTTGAAACCCTAATGTAATTGCGCGGAAATTAAAAGTGTGTGCCTGAGCCCACGCGCGTGCTGGTTTATGTATGCGTGTTTGATGTGCTGCGTGGGCGCGAGCGCGCCTCTCCTCTAATGTATTTGTAATGAGGTGTTGGTCAATTCGCTTCATCACTTCAGACCTAGACCCTGCCTGCGTGAAGAAAGAGTTCTGTCCCTGTGCAAAAGGATACCCTCTAAGGGCTAGATTTAAATGGCGTTGGGGTCCTTTTCAAGTTGTGCTTAGCGATGGGTCAGTTTTGGCCTAATTTTTCGTCTTAAGTCTTTGGACTAATTAGTGAACACTCTCCTTTTCGTGATTTTATGCAGCTCAATACCGGTTCTGCCCTCACCTTCTTCATCCATTAGTTTAGCACAGTTCTCTAGCTAGAGAGCCACTTATCCGCTGCTCTTGTTGACGAGGTTCATTTTTAATGTAGGGGAAGAAATCCCATTACAAAATACTCCCTTTCCATCGGGTCGAATGACGCTGAGTGAAGATGGGTACCTCCTTCCAATGGAGCATCGGTAGATGTAAGCCTTGATAAAGGATCACCAGAAAATTTATTTGGGATTGCTTTGCACATGGCCTCACCTGATGATTTATAATAGGTTAAAATTTTATCTTTACCAAACTTTGCTGAACTATTCATGAAGTTCACTGACCTGAGTTTCCGTTAGGTTGAGAGAAAGTGCCATATTCATTCGTTCGCAGACAGAGAGGTAGCGAGTGGTCTTGAATTTGCTCTCCAAGGCAACCAGTTGGCCGTAGGTAAATGCCGTCCGGGCTCGCCGGTGCTTGCCTGCACCACCTAACATCGCGCCTCCCGAGATCCCATGGGTCTCCTCGCCCTCGCCGGTGCGCATTAGCTGGTTCGGTTGCTTCTGTTGTTGCTGCTTCTGCAACGCTGCAGCTGTGTAGAAGCTGGGGTCAGATCTAGCCAGCTGAAAGTACTCGTTCTCTTGCAGGGACAGTAGAGAGGCCAAGTTGAGGCATGATGTCTGCTGCTGTTGTTGCTGCTGCAGCAAGCTACTGAAGTCTGCACGATTAAAATCGTTACCGATTCCACTACCACCACCCTTAGGGAGCGATGCATCTAGAAGTGAAAGGTCAAAGTAGTGGACAGTTTTACAATTCATTTTTAATTTAAATTGCCCCCTATCTTGTATAAACTACATCTACAACAGTATCTGCAATTGGGAACTTAGTGTATTCAAAATCAAGTAGAAAACTTCACAATCCAGCTGGGTACAACACATTAATGGTCTTTTAACGGTCATCTGAATTTAAGTTTTAATAACTAAAATAATTTCCCAATTATTCCAATAAAAAAAACCCATTCTTTTTACATTAATGTGAAAGAAGTAAGAGGATGGTCCCAACGTCCGATTGATTCTAATATGTCCGGTAATGCGACTTTCAGTTTGTGTGAGGCTAATTCTAGATCAAACACGCACAAATTGCTACCTGCAAGGGAGGAGACATGCCCCAAAACCATACTGGCCCTGAATCTGCGCGCACCTCTACCCCACGGTTTTTGGCCTTTATTGATGCTGGGGCGTGAGGTATGCTCCACGGCCTTCTGTGACAACTGACAGGTCGTGAAAAAAGATAAAAGCTTCTGTGTCTTGAAATGAGGGCACTGGGAATCCAGTAATTGGGCCTCGCATATCGATGCGCCAACACAATAGCGTCAGCCAACGACATCTAATCACCTCTATTTAATTGATCAACCCAGTTTTCCAACCAGACGCACGTCAGTGTAAGGTGGAACTAAATTACCACTTAAAATAAACTAATTGCCCTCGGTTTCAGGCAACTTTTTGCCTCCAAGAGCATTTTGCGAAATATCCGAGTTAATCCGGTTCATTTCTGTTGAGATATCGTGGTTTGATAGCTCGCGGCTGCTTAATATGCGGAAGTCGCTCCAAACTCGGACCAGATTGGAATGCTTTGCTTTTGGACGGAATTTGAAATAAGACTGACACACAACGGTAAGTAAAGTGGGGAGAGTGATGGTAGAATATATCACCCAATATGAGGCATTGCTGAATACGAAAACTTCAATTCGCCCGGGTTGCAGCACCCCTTAACTTGGGATAAGAACACCGAGTTAAGCCACGTGGCCGTTCTAATGCACTGGTAAGATTTATTTGTAGAACTCTAAGCAAAGGCATGAATAGTTTATCTTTTAATGACGTGTTAGAAAATATTGTCGAATCACTAATCCTAAGGGCGTTTTAATCCCTGATCTAGCTTTCATCTGCAGCCACGGCACAGTGAGATTCGTGGGCCGAGGGCCCAGTAACTGCTACCCACCTACTATCGTGTTAATTTATCAAAAGGGACTGCAAATTGTAACCAAGGTTCTTAGAGTAATTAGGATTCTGTCGTGATCTAACTGGGCTTTGAAGCACTAAAGAGAGGATTTTGTAAAGATACCTGGTATGCAACCATGGGAGGTACCCTTTTCTCTCATAGCATATTCAGATGCGAGCATAGGTGGATAGTGGATGGTCGCTTAAGTGAGGTGGATCTGTCGATTCATCACTATATAATGTCTTAATATTGGTCTTTTAAGGTAGCCTTACATCTGCTGTAATTAAATAGCTGATTCTATTCATGGCTACCTTAGATATGCAGTGAACGTCAAGGAGTTTGCAATGGGGTGTTATCGCCAAATTGTCCCCTACTCTGCCCTTTGATCCCCAAACAAAGTTAATTCACAAACACGAAGAGTGACCGGATATTGCATCACATAATGCACAGGACTGTTAGGTTTCTTGTCGCTTTACGAAAAAACATCACCATATTTGATTCTAAAATAAGCTATCTCTTTAACTCCGTTTTAAATGGATCCAACAGCGATGACCTTGTCCCATTGCCAGTATCACTTGCCCCTACCACGGTTACAACCACTGTTAATGCAAGGCAAGAATATGCAAGTTTATATACCGGTCCCATGGTAAAGCGGTGGTTTGTATCATGCTTTGCTTTCCTTTGTCAGATGTTCTCGCAAGTTTGTGGGACTAACTGGGAACACTGTATGACCATAACATAAGGTTCATGATTGGGGTTGGTGAGCTTATTGTTCCCATTCCTAATCCTTTGCAATCCAATAATTTTGCATTGTACTCTAAAATTTAGACTGTTATTACAGCTTTTTAGTAAATGGAATCATGAAAGTTTGCAGTTATTTTATCCGCAATTATAAAAATTATAGTTATAAGGTTGTGAGCATTTGTGCAATTAACGAAACCAATGGCTTCAAATTGTTAACAACTGTCGGAGATCCATCCAACGTGTTTTCATTAATTCATTGGCGCATTTAATCCTCATGGTTAGTAAGTCTCTAATCCTTCCACAATTCGTGCCAGAGCCTAGCCACCTCAGGGATCTTCGAATGCTCATTGCAGAGGAGTAAATAGATGAGTTGGGACGCTCAGACAGTTGTATAGCAGCTGGACCCTCTTTAAGAAAGATGCCAGTTATTTAATTTCTTTTGCTTTCGTACCAAATATAAGGATAAGCTGCTTAGTAAATACGCCATTAGGATTTAAGTAGAAGCTTAGTATGCCACCGTCTGACCACGGGCTAGCGATCCTATTATTCTACTAAATACAAAGCCTTTAAACTATTGCAGCCTTGTGAATATGGGTACACAGTTTTATTATGAAAATCAGACCATCTACGTCACTCTGCATATATTACTCTGGGTAGTAAAACCTGATTGCTTCCCACTTAAAAATTACACCATTATCTACCGTTATATGCACATAGTGAGTACACCCACGCTGAAACTTTGCTAAAAATTGAGAACCAGGTGCCCTCAGCGATGGTTATCACAAAAATGACTTCTAAGTACTCATGGATTGATGTAATAAATGAGAATATTTAAAGGGCCTAAGCACATACTTTGATACGCATTCTTGATTAGTGCCTCATCAGCCAACCAGCACAACTTTTGGCAATCACAAACACATGAGCATACAGATGTGTAGGCAGTGAATCGCAACCACGTAATCAGCAAACAAAGCCATCTACCTGATTTTGAGTCATCCTCAAGAGCAGCACGGTAACACCTTGGTACGGAGGTAGCATTGTCGCCCTCAGTTTTCATGGCTGCCGCAGTGTCTGGTTTGTTGAGGATATGCTCCACTCTGAAGGAGGCCATGATTAGTCGCCGCCAAGGGGTCTCGCCCTAGCCAAATGCACGGTGCCTCACAGAGTCCTGTTCGCAATTTCTGCATGTGCGGGCGTACCTGTCCCACTCACCGCCTGTCCGTCTCACTCACGCACGCTCACTCGCCCGTAAGTGAGTGTAATCAGCTGATTAGGTGCGTGTGTGCAGTGCGCGTGTGCATGTGCACGCGCGATTAACTCACGCGCTCTCCCAAATGCACGCACCCGGGCGCATGCATGAGCAGGCAAGGCGGGGAGATCCTGCTGCATGCACGTGCTCACCGCACAATTAGGATGTTTAGGTGCGCCGCAGCGAGTAAGGGTTCTCGTGATGGCTTTTTAAACTAATTATCCTCCACCCTTGGCCTTCAACCTGCCACAGTGCTGGTGACGGTGGCGGCAAGGGAAAGTTATAATTCGTCTGAGTCAATAAATCGCACTAGGACACGGGGGTTATGGTGGCGGTGGCGGAGATTGAAATTCACTCAAGCAATTAATCGCTTGTGCGCGCGCCCACGCACTCTCCGCCTCTCGCGTTCCCTCCACCTTGTGCTTTCACTCTCTCACTCTCAAACGCTTGCGTGTGGGCAACAGACGGCGCTGGTTCCACGCACACAAGCGCCGGGAGATTCATCGAAAGTTAGACTGCACCTGCCTTTCACCAAAAACAGTTACTAATTGTTGTGATATATTTGTGTGCCTTTTTTTCAATTTAATGCTCTATTTGGCCGCAAGCATAAATCATGCCGCAATTACTCCCTTTTTTTGTTAAGCTAAATAAATAATAGGAAACAGTGATGATGTCATAGTTTTTTCCTTCCGTAAAATTGTCTTTTTGGCAATAATCTGGCTCACAAACTAATGCAGTCGACTGTTAGCCTGGCCTCATGAGAATGCACTAAAAGCACCGCTCCCATAGTGGTCATGATGTCAAACAATTTGCCGCTCACCGTGGGTTTTGGAAATGCCCGATTACTTCTCCATTTGGCTGTACAATCAACTATAGCATCAACATTGCGAATTTACATCCGCTTAAAAATTCAAGCCAATTAATCGAGAGCCTGCTAGCGTGGTTTTACTGTAACTTAAGGGAGAGATCGAATAGGAACTTCAATAGTATTTCAAGTATTTTTTTGTCTACAACCTAACCCATTCGTTTTTAACAGGCTAACACAGAAAGTCACCGACTGGTTCTCATTTTTCGTTTATTGCAATGCGGTTTCATGCCCTTTCTTAATGTCTATAAAATTCCCGTAGGTTTACTAATGGAGCCTAGTACAAAGTGGAGTGTGGTTCGAATGAACGAACTGCCATTTTGATTTATGCATGCAGAAATGGCTACACGTCTTAGTGTGCTCGTACAATGGCTAACTTTAAGCGAAAGACCATAAAAGAAAATCATCATTGCAAGAGATATCAATAGAATCTCTTGAGGTGAAGGTTTTCGCAAGAAGCTAAAAGATGCATGAAATAGATTATGCAACAATACTTAAAGGTCAATCTCTGTCACGTCAAAGCTGTGGTGACAATTAATGTCTATGAATAACTCATCACTACATTGTTTTAATTTTATAGAGAAATCCTTCATGAGGGAACTGGAAGTTATGCCTCAACTATTAAACTTGCATCGAACTATCCCTTATAAGAATTGAATGCTCTGGGCCTACTATCAGTTCTACACCAATCCTAGTTATGACTGCCACTTTTTTAGTAAAAATTGTAAACATTGCTGGTATGATCGCTTTGTTGAACAGTCAGCGTGTCAAATTTTTGCACACATCCAATCCACTGTTGATACAAGGTTGAGGTAGAAAACCCCCTCGATGTACAATTCATTATCTGTTGCAAAACTCACTTTTAATGGTTCCATTATCAATTTCATTTGGAAAAATCCCTTTGCATGCATTTCACAGCTGTTGTATCTGCTGTCGGCCATAAATAGAATGCAAAGGCACTGCCTTACCACACCTTTGCAACGATTAAAACAGTAAACAACTATGTAGCCATTGATTGATCTATTGAGGGGAATTTTAGTTAAAGTCATTTGCTTGTGTGGGTATATTTCTGGTTTGGATGTTTGCATCGAAATGAGTCTGGGAGACATTCAGATTCCGGATTATTTGTGGAACAGAGGGTTTGAATAAAAACACACAACACTATCTGCAGATCCGGGTTGATTCTTCACGATCCGTGAATCGCCCGCCCTTTGCCTACGTAGCTTTTTCAAGAAGGACTCCTCAGACTTTCCGGGCCGTTTACCAAACATCTATTTTGACAAGACTAAACGCTATGATATTTGCTTGTTACTTTATGCTACAAGTTGAAGTGTATCCTATAATAAATTAAAGTTATCCTTGAACCCACTACTAATGTTTCAAAACTATTCGCAATTTATACGATAGTGCGATTAAGAATATTACATATACTTTATCCAGTTGTCGACGTTGATTCTAACGCACATATTAAAAGAATAAGCAAAAGGAGAGGCCATAAACAAGGCGAATACTTCAAATCTCTTGTCATTAAAGGACGAGGAAACGAAGTGAAACTGGCATTACTATTTACAAGCCTGAAGAAGTATCCGCGTTCCTGCAGAGACATGCAAACGGGAATGTATTAAGCCATGACCAATTTTAAGTGGACCACCGGAAGGGAAATGCTCAGGGGAAGATACTGACACGCACGCTCACAAAAAAGAAGGATATTTGAGAGTGAATGAACAAGGCGTCCCCTATCCTTTGGATAAAAAACCTGTGATGCGGCAACTGTACGCTTCAAGTGTGTTCCCCAGTAGGAGGGCGATGCGCTTAATCAAGCAATTTGGAAGAACCACAAAAGGTGTTTTTCCGCAGTGCTTTAGGCTAATTCCTGATTTCATGTAGAGGTAGCAAAACTCAATCGTAATGTTAGTGAACGCGTTAGACCAAATTAAACTGAGGAGGAGTTAGGTAACACAGAGGGCGATCTATTATTATTTTGAGAAGTCTTCACAAAAAATTACAAAGAGGATGCTTCTTTTTTGAAGACTCATTAATATTGAAGCTGCATTTTGATGCTCTGCACTTGTCAAAAGTGTCCATTTTTCAGTCTCCCAAGGACGACAGTCAGAGGCCAGCTTCTCCTACATTGACTTAGATGATGTATTAATGTTGGCAGTTGAAGCGTAATTATTGTGGTGCCAAAGTATAAATGCAAATATATCGTATTCGTCACATTTCCGTTGGCGGAACCACCACTGATAGGGCTTTAAATTAGGCGCTTAAAATTTTTTAATGAAAAAGGCGATAAGACAAAACAGACTAAGACCTCACTTCAGTTCTAGATAGTGCCATCATATTGCAGCAAAATAACCTCTCACAATACGTTGGATAAATATATTGAGTGAAAAATGGTCCTCTACTATAATTTAAATCCAAAGTACCAAAATTCGCCCGTTTTTATGACATTGGACTTGCCACTCAGAGTAGTTCACAAGTTATGAGTAAGGTATTCATCCAATTGTGCATTCGCGGTGTTTCTGTCGCTGGGATTTGTGGAATTGGAAAGCGTTGTAAATTTATCTTGTTTATTTAGGCCATGAAAGTTGACTGTACATTAAAACATATTCATTAAAGCGTATTTGCCTACAAACAACCAAAAGCATCGCATAAGACCAGCATACCTTAAGGTAAAACTCTAAAACAGCAGCTGTTTAAGCCTTTATTTAAGGTAACTCAGCAGATCGGTAAATAACGAATTTGCACCAAAAAATCTGAGGAGAATCTGCTTTTAAATGGAATGAGTGTAATAAAGTGAAAACTATACCAGAAGCAAGATAAATCCAACATTTCAAATATTAAAAGTGGAAAATTAGTTGACCTGGACCTAAAGAATGGCAAGGTGATTACCAGAGCTATTTTCAGAATAATTTTGAAATCGACTCCCTTTTTCAGAACTTTTATTGAGTAGCACAGATGATTAATAAAGTGGCTGCAAATTCTTCCCTTTATACGAATAGCCTATGGTATCGAGCTCTGCCAATAATAATGCGAGGTTGTCCAATAGGCGATTAGCAAGAGGTTATCATTGTTGAACTTATATAAATAAGAGGGGAATTCAAAGACTTATTGATGCTTAGTTCAAGGCTCCAGTCAGACTAATAGTGCATCAAGATCAGTGCGATTGAATTCCGGTTGAAATGAATTTCCTGTCATCTAGTATTACACATATCTCCATGAGTTTCCATCTGCATTTTTCACAAATGAGAACCCTCCCAAGCCTAAGCTCTTAGGTGACAAGTTGGCGGAGTAATTAACTTTAAGAGGTACAGTACTTGTGAGTGAGTGAGATTTAAGTGGAGATAAATTCAGCCAGTGTATGACTGCGCATGCGTGCGTGTGCTCTCCCTGTCCATTTGTGGTCAGCTAATTTAATGGTTTTCCGGTTACACCTTCGCAAACGTGCGATTTAATTATTTTAATCATCAAATTATCCGCCACCCTATTCCCCCTCTCTCCCCTCACTCTCTCTCCTCCCCTTCAACTTTCCATCTCTATGCTATAGCTGCCGTCGCCGTTTTGCGGGTTGGAGGGAGACAGGCAGGCAAGCAGGGGGAGGGGGACGAGATTAGCATCTCAACCGGGTGTTAATGGCCCACTCCCTATCACACCCTTACACTGCCTTAATTTGAAAATGGTTGTGCCATGCCGCTTGCTGCGCCCACAGCGCTGAGCTGGGGGTTGGCTGATGGGGTGGCGACCACAAGTGTAGGGAGAGGGAGTGAGTGAGAGACGGCAGCGAAATAATAATGTCTAATTGCGTGAATTCTCTTCTCAACATACACATAAACTGTGGGTGTGCGGATACGGTGTGGTGCGGGTGCGGTGCGCAGTTAGGTTAGCAGCCTCCTACTCCTTGCTGCCCCTTTCCCTCTCTTGCCTTCTCTACCTCCTCTGCTATCGAGCGACTTGAAAATTGACAGGCAGCGATTAATTTGGAACACGCGTGCGAAGCACACACATGCGGCGGTTAGACCAGATAATCGGACTTTCGCCCTGAGAGAGGTTGAGAGCTGGAGTGAGGGAAGAAATGAGTGAGAGGATGAGCGATGGGGACCATTTAAGCTAAATGAGATGCGCACGCGCGCACGCGTTTACGTGGACACACGCTCTCATCTAATAACGCATACTCAAATACACACAAACACCGACAGCGGTTCCACATCATTAATTAGTGGTGCAGGGTGCACGCGCGCACACACGGATACATACACACACGCACACATGCATACACGCCCAGAGCTATTAGGAATTAATTAAGGGTAAATGGGAGCAGGGACGAGAGAAACGCTGCCGCGACATCATCACGGCAGCTTGAAGAGCTAACGATGTTCCAAGGGGGTGGTTGCAGCTTATACTTTGTTTCTTTACTAATATACCGTCTCCGGTGTAAGTGGTCATTAATTAAAACAACAGTAATTGGAGGGAACGAGCCAATAAGTAATGGTGCTAGCAGAAGATTATGAATCAATACCTAAAATAGAGAGGTTTGTATGATCTTAACCTATTTTTACCCCTATTCTCAATGGAAGTTGGCCTTTTGCGGAATTTATGTTAATCCCAATTTGATATTCAAGTCAAAAATTCAGTGAATATGTTTGGGTAAAGACTATTCAATAAAACTAAGTGAAATGTTTTCTTCGTGGAAGTTAGAAAAGCGGAGGAAAAAACTACAAAGCCAGCTATAATGTCATTTAAAAGCTTTTAAGCTTATCTGAGGAAAAATCTAATGACGGAATACTATCCTCGCGCTGTGTTTGTCCACGCAAGCCGAGGGCTAACGCCACGTGCCCAGCACGCACAAAACACAACCCAAAACCAAAAGATTTGCATGTAGATAGCCTTGATTGCGTAATTTAAATTAGGCAATATAATTATTCAGCATGGGTATTTCGCATTATGTTATAATAGCATGCCAAGTGGTCAGTCCTGGGGCACTAGTTTGCGATGATAATCAGCATGCCATGTAGCACTACCCGTTTACTCGAATGCACCAATGGCACAGACGTCTGCTGACTGCGTCATTGGCACCGCTTTGCCTCTGGCACAACTCTAACTGCCACGACCAATGTCAAATTTTTGTCAAGTTAAAATAATCCTTTTACATTCTTGCGTTGTTTATTAACCAGCGACTAAGTCAAATCAATTTAGCAGCGTTTGATTGATGGATCATTCAGTTGAATTTTGTAAACTTTATGTAAACTCACAGGTTTCAGAAATGATGCAAATAAATACTCAGGCATTTCTAGCAATTAGTCCCTCTGATCTCAATAAATTTATGGAATTTCCTTCACCTGAAACTGCAGAGGACTCATATAGGTTATGAGCTTTAAATATGGACGCCATTTTTTTGGTTTTTACTGGAGACTTCAGAAATGCCAAGCGAATATGTGCTGAATTCGGCCACACTGCCTCAGCGACGCTATTTTTTCCTGTATATTACTAGAAAGAATGTAGGACCGTGTGATCGATGTAAATAACAGGATTACTCGTTAAAAAAACTAAATAGAAGCTGAGGTGCGTGGTCAATGCTAGAATCTGAACTAACACTTGGTAAGGACTAGCGGGAAATCGTATGGCTGCACCTAGAGAGCAGATTAAGTTGAGGATTTGTTTTACTTGTTAAAACGACAAAACATGGCTCTTTCTCATATGTCAAATGGTAAGTGTAGGGATCGCATGCTTCCCCTTACATCATGGAGGCTTCATCGTCGTCATAATCGCCCACCCGCCACACAACGCCGAAATCCTAAAAACGAACGCCCGCGCCAGCACACACACATGCAGCAACGGTGGTGGTGAAAAGCCGTACTTTTTCCTCTCAACCTGACAAAGTTGTATGAAGAAGTGCGATTACAGTGTTAAGTGGCTTTAAGTGTGAACAATCACCATCGGGTAAAAATTTTTGGTCTAAAATGTATGGGACGCATTCAAGTGAACAATAATTACGGTTGAGGAGTTGAATTATTATTACTATACTCCATTTTAAATAAAACCCCATACCTTTTTAGACAGTTAAGGGTCAACAGCTAGTAGCAATAATTTGTAGCTTTGTGGGGATCTCTGACCGATCAGATACTGAAATGCTTGTCATGAGTAAAGCAACACTGAAATTCGACACCCCAGTAAGCCCAAATATTCGGAATATTGATACTAGATGGATATGAAAGCCACCAATTAAAACTGTAATTTAGTTGTGGATCATACCCAGAGAGACCTACAATACGCTGAATTAACATAGCCCGGCAAATCAGAAACCGCATGCCAAGCGTAGGCCTGGCCCCTGTTCTGCCAAAGTTGATACCCACGACGACACCAAACCTACTATTAGCATTTCAGTAAAATAAGTGTTAGCTCCACGCAATTAAAGCGAGTGGCACCACTAAGTGAAATCGCACCTCCATTATGCGAGGAACCATCGTACCGTTGGATAACAGTGAATCTCCTCACTCGACTAGATAGTTGGATCAAAGACGTAACACCTCACAGGAGCTAACTTACACGCCTCAAACTACTCAAGCTTTTGGTGACCACTCAACTTGCATCACGTGCACCATCATTGAATTACCACTGAAGATAAGGTGTGCCGGGTCAAATGCGTATAACCCAACCTGCGGTATCTCGACGACCACATTTCACAAGATCAACGCCATTCAACTTGGCGGATGACTTGCACAAATATTTACTAGGAAGATTTTGTTAAAATTTTGCAATAAGTGACGGAACCTCGTGGGAGATACAACTAAAAGAAATAAACAATTCATCTGCCACCCTTACCAGCCAGACGACGGCTTTTTGGAGCTTTACCAACGTGCGTACGTTGAAATTTAGGCGAAACCAGGATATCGGTCACCGCAAATAAGATTTGGTGAGCAAGGGATCTAATTTGTAAATGAGAACACACGAGATGCATGAATTAACCAAACAAGGGAGAGGAGCGCAGGCATGGAGGACAGGGAAGATATGCAGAGAACGTTGAGCGTGTGAGCGGAGTTTACACAGCAGACGTAGTTCATTTTTCTGCTTGATACGATGAGCGACAGCGCAGACACGGATCGGCTTCCTTCGCAGATTCGAGATCCGAATAGGCGCCGCAACATTACACTGAGGATATGGAATATTACAGTCATTTTATGGAATTAATGGATGACACATCAAACAGATTTAGGCACTCCACTTAAACGAACAAAAATCTAGATTTAGCACAGCAATTAATGACTTACGAAAACGCCTAAAATGATGATAGAATACTAATTTTTGATCAGGCACAATGTTTCAAAAAGTAACTGAGGTCATGTATTGGCATCAGTGGGGGGAATGTTTGTTTTCAGGTCACATCCAGGCCAAAAGGATGTCAACACACCTCAAATGAAAGTAGACTGCAGAATGCAGATTACGTTGCCCAGTTGATCCGACTATTTGACAGTCATGCCAGCGCGTTAGGAAACTACAAGAGCGCTCACACTCCCAAAAGAAACAAGGGCATTGATCCACGATGTTTTGATCACGCTATTTCACTTGCTCATCTTCTCACACCCACGGAGTCCAGCCCTCGAACATGATCGAGAGGTGCTTGGGGTCCATGGCCGTGCGGATACAGAGATCTGCCTGATCTGTGAGACTCATTACCGGAGCGTCATATTTCTTTGTCAACAGATCATCCACGCCCTGCAGACGACGACAGAGTCGTCGCAACGCTTCAATCGCCTCAGGCGAAATCTGTTCTTGAGTCAGAGTATCGCTCGAAGAAGCAACGATCTACAGAATTCCAACAAAAGAGGATCCAACTCGAAAACTTTGCGATTGAGTTTACTACAACAGCCATCAAGTCCAGGTTTGTATGACAGCATGAATACAGGTAGTGGACGAACTTTCCAATGACAAAATGAATGAATACAGTCAGGTCAGTGTATGAAAGATAACGTGTACAAGAAATTGAAACGAAATTCACACTTTTGAGTTAAGCTGGCATTATGAACAGTAGATAAGACGTACTTTACGATCCTCAGAAAGAGCGGAATCAGATAACTTGGATTCAACGTCGGTTTCTCGGTTTTTCTCGCCAAATCCCAACTCTCGAATAGTTGCGACAATTGTTGCAGAATCCGACTTTTTCAAGGTAACCCAAATGCCTGTTTCAATAAGCTTCGTAAGGAGAGGTGTAAGATCATTGCGCAGATACAAGGAATCGTGAAGAATAAGCCTAACGGAGGAGAACACTGCCTCTTCCCTTTCATTTGAATCGGTGACCAAGTCAGTGAGCAAGTCAGAGAAGTTTTGAACCAATCGACCGGACGTCGCCAGCCAAGCGTCCTGATCTTCTAACCACCTAGACCAAATACGTTCACATTCGGCATCATTGTATAGCTGACTGAGGCGAAGTAATTGCTTAATGTATGGACGCATCTGGAAGGGAAGAAAATAAATTATCAAAAGCATTGACAAATCAACCATCTTTGTTCCCCTTACTAAATGCAGTGACTTCTTAAATAGTTTTAATCACACATAAAAATGACACACCTCCGACAAGAAATTTTTTTCAAAGTCGCAAAATAGCTGGCGAATCAATGCGACTTCAGCGATCTCCCCCTGACAATTTTGATTTTGGGACGTGGTGGAGTTGCTTTTCTTCTTCCTGGTGGCGAACGATTTGGAAGTAGTTGAGGCAGCGCCAGTGGTCGTGAGTGCCAACGTGAGTGAGTGCAGACGTTCGGCAGATTCTTCCAAAGCCTTCTGAGCTTTAACCAGGCGGGTGGATATTGCATCAACAAGCCTCATATTCGTTTCACTTGGACCGGGCACGTCAACTTGGGTCCACTCAGTTGCGGGCCAAGTGAGACCGTACTCCTTCTAAAAATAATCAAAAATTGCGCTAAAAGTAGTGATATGAGTAATGCCAAATAATATAAGATAATACTAAACACGCACATATGGTATAGTACGTACATCAATAAAGTGCATTTTTGATTTCATCGCCAAATTAGTGGGAAAAACCGTAATGGCGTCAAAAACCTTTACATGCCAATGTAAAGAACTTTATCAACAAACTCTGACAGAAAGGTCACATGAAAGTAGAGTACCTTCATATTGAGCATGATTGAATCAAGAACAGTAAGCTCGTCACCAAACCGAGTGTACGCTTCGCATCGAGAATCGTAATCGGCAAAGAGTGGAAGCAATTCGTCCATGCAAGATGACTCGCTAAAACACATAGGGATATATCGGCGCAAATAAACTTGAGCTAGTAAAGCAGACGGATCCTGCTTTATAAAAGGGAAAATGTGTACACGTCACACTATCATAGACATCGAGTTCAGTAATTAGGCACATAAATAGATCTGGAACGCGATCAATTATGTAAAAAAATGAATACGCATATCTAGGCAGCAGGAAATGAAGAATTACTTCTAGGGAGACCAACAATTACTTACCGAAGGCGATCATATTCAGCTGAACAAATGGCGTCCCCCAATTCACAAAGTTCCCTCGTCGAATCATTCAATTGTTCATTTTCTGTCCTCACTTTTGCTATAGACGTTTCAAGACGATTCAAAAAGCGCCGGAGGGATGTTTCTGACTCATCCTTGGAATCGTGCAGCCAATCAAAGACCTGTTTCAACCTCTGAATCAACTTGACATGTGCTTCATGGGCATCGATTTGCTTCGCAGCAACTGCTGTGTACATATGAGAACTGGTTGTGGTGAACATGCTCGCTAACACAGATCCTGTTGTGGCCGACAGTGCATGCACTTCGGGCGGTTGTACACTGAGGAAGTAGAGTTCTGCTGAATGGATCATCCTATCAACGAAAACAGTTGGTGGACCTCGAAGATGCGACAAAGGCACCATACGCTCAATTTCGAAAATCGCTTGTCTAACAGTGAAGCCGGATTCCTCTAAGAGGGACAAAAGCAGACGACTACAGGCCAGCACTGATTCACTCACAAGAGCCAATCGATCTGCCAAATGAGTGAAGAATTGGCTTTCCAAAATGGTGACATAAGGAATGGAGGGTATGGAATGCTGGACCTTTCCATCTCGAATATCCGTCCATAGTTGACTGATTTCGATAGCGACTTTTAGACTGGAGGCCATACCAGCTGCGTACACTTCATTAAGCCATGTAGTGACAGCGCCTTGTTCAGTGGCATGACGCCAACCCCAGAGACTTGTTGCGCCCTGTTCGACAGCACACCGGCTCTGGAGATTGGCGATTGCTCGAGAAATTACATCTACATGCACCCATGTTACCGCAGTGATTGGATAATCAATCAATCTCCGACACAGCTCCTCCATCTCCGAAGTGGCGTTCAAAAAGGCGAGATGAATTGCCAGAAATACTTCTGACAAGGGACCGTTATTATTTTCGGTTAGAAGACGATTCACTTCGTTCTGAATTTCCTCAGCTTCTCCACTGTCATGCATCACCTGTTGGAGGCAATCCAGAAGCTCTAATTCTGCGCGAGAAGCAACCTGAATGGCATCCTCCAGTTTTGGCAAAAGAAGGTTGCATAAATTGTCACGTAATTCAACCAATTTGGTGATCAACTGATAAATGGTGAGGAAAAACTGCAGTTCACAGTTAGCGTCAGCCTCGTGACCAGCCCAGAATGGTATTGCGGATGAATTCCCGGAAGGGTCCAGAACAGAGAAGGCGCAAGCAACAGCACTGACCCGTTGATGGAGAAAATCAATGTGCTCCAGAGGTTCCAATGTAAGAGTAGAATGGATCATAGCAGCGAGATTCTTTATCAATGCCCACTTGAAAGCCGGTAGAATCATCACAGCATCTTGTTCACTGATGAAAGTAGTCAAAGTGGCTTCGCTCTGAGTAAGAAGAGAGGGGAAGTCGTTTAGAGCAGACGAGGATGGAATGAAATGTTGCGACTTCAGAGCACTAAGATGCGTCTTAGCCTCCGTCAGTGCGCCCTGGAGACGTGTGTATCCAGATCTATTGAGCAAAGAACGTGGAGGGTGGAAGAATTGTGCGAAGGATGACTTGATATCGCTCTTGAAAATGGAATTATCAAGAGCCTTCCTGAGTGCGTGGATGAGTTGGCGTTTGGTGGAGAACCATAGGGTATTTTCGATGGTAAAATGAAGTGAAGAATCGTTTGGCACGATGTATGCTCCGGCAATATCTTGGTAATCATTAATAATCTTAGCAAGATCCTTATTGGCATCCTCGGGGAGGCTGAAAACTCCCGAGCCCTTAGCGAGCCATTTAGTTAGAAGATGTAGGGCGCTACCAATGTCGTACTCCATGTTATCTGCGAAATCAAGCAGACATTTCTTTGCTTCCAACACCTGATGCTTTGCCTGTTCGATATCACGCCAACGCGACTCGAACCCTGCGAGCTCCTTGCTTGAGTTACCTTTCAGAATGGCAAGTTGCTGCTTAAATTCTTCCACCTTTAATTGCTTTTCTCGGTAGGTTTCCCAAACTCTAAGATTGCTCTCAAGCACATTCATGGCCGAATACAAATGCTCACACAATCCCCTATTTGGAACTACGAGTTCTGCGAATCTGGCAGCCAATAGCCCTAAAGAGAAGAGACCACTCATTAAAACAACAGAGGCTAAATAGACGACTGCGTTGTCATAACTTACCCGAAGATCTCTGCAATTCCACAAGCAGCCTCTCAAACACACGTCGTCTCTTTGTAAAAGGCTCCCGGCCACTGGAAGATAAAGTGTCGGCGGAAGTTGATAAACATCCACCCCGATATGCGGCAAAGTATGTGAGATCAAAAGTGCTCCAGGCTGGCCCTTTAGCAGTTGCTCGCATCCAATCGGTGAGAGGATCAATTGCAAAACTTTGCAGTTGGATAAGGAAGAGTTCTTGAATTGATGCACAAGTACTAAGGGTTTCGAGAAAATTAGCTCCGAAAGTACCCCCACCACCCGAGCTAATAGAAGAGGGGTCACACAGCGGTCCCAGAGGATGTCGGAGGATTCGTGTGAAGCGGAAGGGAACTAGCTCAGGTACCCGCAAGGAACGACCCTCATCAAAACAGACGTTGAAGTCGATGTGGATGAGTGTCCCCGTTGTAAGATCAATTAGAAGGTTGTCCAAATGTCGATCGCCAAGACCGATGAGGTAGCCAAAAGCCGACGTGATTCCGAGAGAAGAGGCAAAGGTTTGCGAGGCTCGCCACCATGCAGACATGTTCGGACTTGCCGCCCACAGTTCACGGGTCAATAAGTCGGCCGGTGTCTCCGATTCCAGTGTATGGAAGACCTGAAATCCATTTCAGTTATCAGTTAGAAAAAAATTAGTAAATACAAACATTTTAGTAGCTAAGACAAATTTTGCCATTTACATACTGAAATAACGGTCATGTAAAATCGCTCTAGGTAGGAAGAATAGTATATAGGTAACTCAAAACCACCCTCACTGTCTTAAGAGTATGAAAACGAAAAATTACCTTAAGAAGGACGTCCTTAGGCCATGACGAGCGTGAGCTGGATGAAGTAAGAGGAGGTGGTAAAAACTCTTTCAATTTGTTGTAGAATAATTCAGAGGGTTTCGGCAGCGCCATTTTAAAGGACTCAGAAACTATGCCATAGGGAGCTGCATCGATTGCCTTCCTCTGTTGCCAGCGTTTGTAGAGAGTAAAAATAGGGATTGCGCCCTGCACCATCTGAATCAGACCTGCTTTTGGGCCAATGGGAGTTACGGAGTACGTGCGCGCTGTGGCGATAGCGCGCGCACGAGACCGAGACCGGAAGGCAGTGTTAGTCAGTCGCATGAGGCCCATTATGCGCGCGTCCAGGCGCAGATCCTCGAGGCACTTGAGAAGGTAGGGGAAGGACTGACCCTCCTCGGTCCAAAACACCACGCGCTTGGGACGCGTCTTCGTTGGGTATACGCTGATTTTAGATCCAACACGAGCGAGGTGAAGGTGAGCCCTACCAGGTAGTGGGATTTCCAGACTTCCATTGAGGGCAAAGAGATTAGGCGAGATTTGAAACAGACTCAGAAATCGGCTTGAAATAGTCAGATGGCGAGCCTTTTCATCATCACCTTTTTTGGTCTTCTGATTGAGCGTCTGGAAACGTGAGAGTAGTCGCTGCAGAGGTACAACGGGCGATGTTTTCCAGTTTGGTATTGATGGACTGCAGAACTTTTTCAGTGATACAACTGTTTCGTCGATATGCTAAGAAGGAATGAATACATATTTAGTAACGATATTAATAATATATGCAACTTTGCTCTGGTAGGAATATTCACTTTCATTATGAATTTCACTTTCATTAACGAAATCAGCTAAAGTAGAGACAAAACTGAGTAGTTACATTTTATCAAGAAAAGTAAGAGCAGTGCTAATAGATCAGTTGATTGACCACATACATACCATGACCAGAATTGGCGCGAAAAAAGCAAAGTTTTAAAGTATAGAACAGAGCAAGAATGATGTCAAGTAGACCGAGCCAATGATACAATGCGGTGTACGTAGTGAGGTAGAACTTACCTGCTTGAAGGTGCTCTGAAACCAAGCCTCGTGACTCGTCTGGGCAGGAGTATCGAGGGTCAGGGTGCGAAGCTGTTGGAAGATAGAAAAGGTAGGTGCCAAAAGAGCTTCGTAACGCAGTTTGTGGATATTATTTAGGCGGACCGCATCGTCCCCTAATTCAATCGGAGACTCGGCCACTTTAGCAGATGACATTGGAGCGTCTGTTGTGGTCGCAGTTTTGACTTGCTCAAGTGCATTCACCTAAATAGTGGGAAGGGTGGGGAAGGGGAATGGAAGAAAAAATAATGGAACAAAAGCAACAATAAAGTTAAAACCGGGCATAACATGATCGACAAAACCTATAATATTCACACAAACTCCTACATCAATGGCATTATTATGCAGATCATATTTCTATTTACGAAATAAAAATTGCGTATTCGAAATATCTTTAGAGCCTCTAGATTAAATAAATGCTAACGGTAAGAACAGTACAACATGCCTTCCTGTTCAAATCGTCAACATGCTGAATGAGAACACCAGACCAGAGTTCCTCCCAAAGGACCGCAATGCGGCGCATTTCCACGATAAACGAGGCCACCTGTTCCACCATGATTCCATAGCCAGCGTCACAAAGCGTCGAAACTAGCTTACCATGGCTTCGTGTACGTATATCCAGTTGTGCTGTTTGTGGAAGTACAAAAAATATTGTGCAATGTAGTACATCGGTAATGGAATTCACCGCAACAATCAAGGATTAGGCTGAGCATCAGTGAAATGGTGTAGAAACAGGAGAGCCATTCTACTCACCACAGTCCACTCCTTTGCTACCGACAATTGTAGGGAAGACTAGTCGATTTGCTAGAATTCGATCGGTACTGGGAGAGTCTCGATTCGTCATACGAATAAGACGACTGAGGAGATCCAAAAGGCACCGGCGAACTGTGGGGTCAGGGTGCCCTAAACGATCCAGGATCTGAGGGAGGCACCCCGTCCACACTAGCGGTCCCGAATGAATGGTGGTGAGTGGGGATGGTGGGGAGAGCAGGACCGAGTCGGTGGAACTGCCATGTACCACAAGGTTCTTTACCGTGATGCGCAAGAACCGACATGGTTCATCGAGTAAATGCAACAGTCGTAGAGTGGCTGAAAAAAAGAGAAAACAGAAATGACCCACGTGACTCTCATGATTTAAAGTGATATAGTACTTTCAGTGGCAAAACCTATAGACAATGGACAACCGATGAAATGCATCAAATCAAATAGCCAGAAGCTGCTGGACGAACAAAACCAGTTCTTTGGCGTATAACAGAGCAGGATATGCGATTACAAGGATTGAATATTACATAAATTACCTAACGTTGACTGGATTGGTTGAATGCGTTCACAAGGCTTTGAAACATCTAACGCATTGACATTATCGTTTATATGCTGACCAGCAACAGAGAGAAACGTTACGTAGGCCTGAGCAGCGAACGATTGCAGTGTGTAGAGTCGAGTAGTCAATAACGAGGCAAGTGATGCGCACCCCGACAATAGAGGACCATCCAAAGCAAGGGTCTCGCCAGTCAGATTCGTGCCATTCGATAGGTGATCGACAAACCGACACCTCAACTGAAGAAAGCTTGGTTGCCAAGACCATGTTGGGTAAGTCAACAAAGACTAGAGATTAAACTAAACTTACTGGATCATCGAATGGAATATCAGCATCAGAGAGGTCGTCGATACAATGGTGGTGCGATCTGAAATCGTCAGCATCGTCACTAAGAAAAGTGTACAGTTTGGCCAAAATTCGGGCCTCGACCGATTTATTCTTCTCAATAATATTGGATGGCAAAAGCTGAGAAAGTGATTCACATTCATCTGGAGTGAGTGCATCAAATAAAGTAGTCGTAATTGAATCTGATTGAGGGCATGCGAGGACTCTCATTGCCTCTGTTTTGGTCTGCTTGACCTAAAAATGGGAAGCAGTTACTGGCACTACAAAAAGTGCAGACTAAACCGAAAAATAATGGCTGAAGAAAGGATGAGCGGACAGGGTCTACGGCAGCGTAATGTGTTGCATTTAAATGAAGGTAAACATACATCGTGTTGACCTCTCTCGTAGCACCAGTGAGCCATTTGGAGCCAAGCCAGAGCAGAGGCATTGGTTGGTGAGAGGTGAGTGGCGAACATGAGGAGGCGCATTTGGAGTTCTGAGGGTGAAGAGGCCACAGTCGCTTCGGTTTCGTCACTAGGGGAAACGAGTGGAACACCATCCACCCACGGAGAGGACGCAAGGCGACCAAACTGAAGTAAATGCTGCACCAGGCGCTGTGCATCCCCCTGAGGGGTGACCTGTAAATGCGATTGTATAAAGGGTGAGTGCAAAATCCAACAGTATAAAAATTCCAGAACGACTATGCAAAACTGGAACCAAGCTCTTCACTACGCCGCAAGTGATGTAATGCCAGTAAATTTATGCACCCAAATATCACAATGCACACAGAAGAAACGCATTAAACAAGACTGCTGGATTTACAGTAATCAGCATTTGTTCTGAGTTAACATCAGCATGGTAAATCAAATTCAGAATTTTCTTCTCCTACGTTCAATATATATTTATATGTAGCTAGCCCTAACCACAATGGCTTCAAAGCGCATCTTTCGAAGAATCAAATAGACACAAAGATAAGAACATGCATTTTCAACTTCACAAACGCCAGCTTCGGAAGCGCAAGTGAAGAAGACTTCCTGACACATGGTTCTGATTTCTCCTGCCTGGGTCGAGGATGAGGCATAAGTCAGAAACTTGAATAACTGTAAAGCAACTGAGACGTTGAGTAAACATTGTTTCGCGTGCTCGATACGATCCGAAGTATTGGTGCCTAATACATTACGCAGAAGGCCTTGGGACAAGCAAGTCATAGCAGCAATTCGATCGTTGTTACCGCCATCTGACGTCCAGAGAAGATTTGCGATGTAGCGAATTAGGCGCATTCGGTCTAAACTTGAAAAGTCCGCTCTCGAATTGACGATGTCAACAAGTTTGATATAGTTTGTTATCTCCTCCTGTATATCAAGAGCAGTGAGCTGCTGCCTCAGCAAATTCAATGCGACACCCCTGGAGGAGTCGACCGGTAAGTAGTCATCGCTATGAGGAATGAGAAGAGGCTCACAGGCATCGAGGAATACTGAAAGATTTCCATTCTTTCTTGTCAACATACTCCAGGTACCAATACAGATATCACCGACAGCAGAGAGAGCCGTGGGTCGGTTGAAAAGAAGGTCGGCCTCAAGGGCCAGAGCTGGAAGAGATGGCTCTGGCTCCAAGCGGGGAATATCGCGACAATCTTGGTAGTTGCCAAAGTCGGCCAAAGAAACAACCGCATTGGCGGTTTGGCGTACAACATTTATGACCTCAGAAACCGAATCTGAGCCGAGAGATAGTAGTTTATCCTCTTGCTCCGTGAGTATTGAGGCAACAGAGTTGGAAGATGGTGACAATGCGGATATAGCATTGTCCCAGCTGTAAAAATTAACATAAATTGCGATTACAAAATTAATCTCAGTAAAGTTTTCATAAGACAATTTAGAGGTTTGCCTGCTAAACTCATCAATCGAGTTTCCAGCAATTCACGTAAAAAACGGGACGGGAGAGATTTCAAAGATAATTTGAAGAATCCGTTTAGGCTGGGTAATAAAGGCGGCTCTGTAATTAAGGTGTTCTTATAAGTTGATTTTCAGAAAATGATTACAGTCATACGGATGTAATAAACGTAGAATTTAACCTACGTAGAAAGCTTTTGCAAAGTTTGAAGTCGCTGATTAGCAATGGCGGAATAACGAAGAGGCAGCTCATCCATCGCTTTCTTTTTGCCATTATTAGCAAGGTTTTTACGCTTTGCCATTGGAGTATCACCTTGATTATTGCAAGCCACAGGCCTGTCAGGGAGGTCTTTCTTGCAACACAGCCGGAGAGTAGCCTCGCCGGAGTAACCCACACGCACGAGAAGAGCGGTAAAGAGACGCCGTGCAAATTCATAAGAGAGTGCACCGAATGAATCAGATGACAATGGAAGCGGATAGGATTCGAAAAAGGCAGAGAAACATGACAAGCCCGCATCCAAACCCCCTCCCAGTATGCAAACGAGACCATGCACCCAGCTATAGAGATGCACCCCTGACTTGGTCGAATTCACCGCAATGCGCTCAAGACACCTGGAAGGAGGACAAAGCGTTACCTTATATTTAATCAAAACACCAATCTTCAATTTAACTTGAAGCCACTTTATCACAGTAACAGTAGGTTGCTCTTTTCAATCGAAATCGCATCAATTTATTAATTTCTGACCATCACTGACCCATTAATCTCTTTACGTTGCTCCATGCTGTAAATAAAATTTGGTAACGGATTAAAAGTAGTGATAACGATGTTTGTTTCATATCATTACAGCAGAATGTTCACATTTAACACTCAGCAGAAGGTCACACCCCACATCGCGATCCAACATTAAGACCGGATGGAAAAATAGGCGCTAAAAAGGTTACGTACGCATAGACAAGGGCAAGTTCATCAGCTGCGCCGAGATGATGTAGTGCTTGAATGACGCAGAGAATGATTTTCTCAGGATTACCGAAAACCGAGATAGTGTTCAGCAGTTCCGGCGGATCGGATGTAAGAACCTGGTGAAAGAGACTGTAGACGTTCCAAATAACTGTTGCAGCCGCTTCAGATCCTTCCAGTGAGAGGGGAGCCAACCAGACAGCCAGAGTGGCCAAAGGCATCCGCACACGATTGAACCACTGATGACAAGTCATTGAATTCGCTTTGAAGAAGGCGTGTGCAGTGGGATGGACGGGTGGAATAACAACAGCAAATCCATCCACTGCATTTGTTGTAGCTTTTTCCAGCAGACGCATAAAATTAATCACAAGGGCTGACTGATTAATCTGCCACGCCAGTGATTGTCGAATTACTACAGTACTTGAAACACCAAGAAAAGATTGCAATTCCGGAACCAGTGAATGGGTACCCATTCGTTTTGTCAAGCTGGATAAAAGTGCGTGAATGATGGCTTCGATTGAGAGGAATGTTTTCACTGGGTTCGCCCAGGGAGCTACCTTCAGTTTGTAGTCGACCATAGACCAAGTGGTGAACAAGAAGACTAAACTCAAGGGAGAAGTGTCTGATGCATACCAATTGGTGCTACTATCTGACGGAAGGGGTGAAATCAAACAAGCAAGACGACGTAGCCAATCAGAGGAGCTGGTCAGAAGCTCCAATCGACTCGTTCGCTCCTCAGATAGATATGGTGCACCACGAGTGAGAATGCCCAACACACCAGCGGCTGCAGGCAGACTTGGGAACGCACCTTGTGCTCGCAACAAGCTACCACTTTCCTTAGCTGCACCAAAACTCACTGGATTAACTAATGAACAGGTAATAAGCGAGGTAGAAAGTTCGAGACTTGTGCTGAGATACCAATGGAGCATGAAATTAGCAGCCCGAGTGGATTCAAACTTGGCCAGCGATGGACCGAAAAGTAGAAGTAAGTCGGCTCCAGATGACTGAATGCGAGGAAGTGGGTGGCTTACACACAGGTAGGCGAGCTCTAATACCTCTGAAGATGCTGTCTTGCCCTTCCACACTCGAATCAAGAGCCTAACGGCTTCACAAAAATATGAACCATCATTTGCCCTAACGGGAGAGTAGGGATTTTGCAGGAGACGGAGCAAGTAAGTGCAGAAAGAATGAGAAAGCTGAATCGCCAAAGAATCGCTTATTGTTTGAAGTAGGTGTTTGCTTAAAATCAGCTCCTGTAAATTGTTTGACGCTGTCAATAGCAACTGCTGGATGACGAGTAGTAAATCTCCGCCGCATTCCGCGGTGCGGTCAATCCCGTAGTTCAATGTTGATATCAGTATCGTCCAAAAGGCGAGACGAATACGTTGAGAAATTCTAGAAAAGATGGCAAACTGACGATGCAGATCTGCAAGAATAAGAATTAACCTGCCATTGGCAGCATTTGCAAGGGCTACCCGTTCAGGTTCGTTAGATACAGACTTCCAGATGGTTGCAAATAGCGAAGCGCTGAAAAGAATAAGCAGATCATTTTCGACATCTATCGAACATTTGCCACTCGCCAGTTTGGTACATGCAAGCTGAAAATCAGCAATGCACATTTCTACTATCATGACCAGCATATCACAACTGGATAAGTGACGTTTGGATAAGTCACAAAGAAGATTAAAAACAGCCAAGGAGCCGCTGCTACTTGTTTTCAGTCGGTGTAGTAATGTATCATTCCCAAAAAGCACCTTGAAAGTAGATATGACCAAACTGGGTGAATTTTTTGGAGTCCTTTTAAGCAAACAATACGCAAGTTCGCATAAGATCTTAATATGACAAGGAGAGAGTTGAAGAATCGACTCATTTGGCGGTTGACTTAAATATGATCTGACTTTCTGTCCGAATTGATCGCCTTCAACTGGCATTGTGGATTCAGTAAAGAGGAGAATAGCGTGCACATGTTGTACTATATCGCCGTAAGTCAACAATGGAAGACAATAAGTCGGTGGTACGTAAGTTCGTGAGGCTGAAGACGGCTTCGACCTGAGAGCGACTGCAGGCGACATCAACTCAAGTCCATGAAGAATATTCAATAGCCGCTTGTTCCAACCAGAAAAGTCAAGAGAGACAAACTTTACGCAGCTAGACTGATGTGACTCTGAGAGGCACTTTTTAACTCCCAAACAGATGCCAGCCAAGACAGCGAAGTAGAGATTGGTCGCTATGAGTTTTTGCGATATTTCCGTTGAAACAAAGGGAGCTTGCGCATTGCGTCGAGGCACAAAACTTGAGCTGATCTGACGGTACTCACTGACAGCCTTTTGCAGAGATACGTCGGCATCCTCAAGCAGATGTCCAAGCATATCACAGGTGGATTCCGTGAGTAAGTGGCCGGTGTCTGGACTTGATAAATCAAACCACCATCGCCTCAGGTTGCAAGAAAGTTCGGACAAAAGTGTGCCGACAGCGACACCACGATAACCACTCGATGCATCTACACACCACCCAATAAGAATGTCTGCCAAGTCTGAAAATCTCTTGCTGAATTCCAGCTGATTATAAGCACCCACCAATGATATGAAACGGGCAAGACGTGAAACATTCCCAGCCTGATCAAGTGAATCCGTTAACGAAACAAGATCAGATATTAAATTAGCAGTTATCTGACAAACGCGTACATCGCAAACTGTATTTTGATGGCACCCAGTAGATGAACTGCAGCTAGACAGAATACGACTAATAAAGGAAAGTATGCCAGATCGATACTGTGAAGATGTGTTGCAAGACAGGCTTCGTAGCATTCTAGCAACGTAGGCTACTTTCAATTCATTGGAGCTGCCACTTAGATGAGACGACTCTGCTTGACTGCAGGATAATTCCGTATCCGACTCCAATTTGACGTCTTCCAATTTGTACAGTCCATAAAAAACAACTAAATGAATGCAAATATCCCCAATCAGAGAAATCAACCGGACCGGACAGTGCTTTTCACAGACGGTAATTTCCAAAACACGCAAATGAGTCTCAACGGACCGAAATCCATTAGCGGGAGCGCCACGCTTGTTAATCCTTGTAGATTTTGATGAAGATAATTCCAACGAATCAAGCAATTCAATCAACTGTTTTGCCGAAGATATACGAAATCTTTGCGATAAGTTGGCACTAATTATCCTTTTTACAAGCTGATTAAATCTGTTATAATGGCGACTGGGAAATGGGGGAGGAAGACTCTGCATTTGTGATGTGAGCTCCCATTTTTGTCGCGAAAGATCAAAGTCATAGCCGCAGCCTTGAAATTGTAGCAGTTTGATAAGTGAACTAGTATGCAAGTCAACGAGACCGCTGGAACTGGATATCGACATTTGTGCCATTTGTGCACCAATGGTGGCTTCGTTGAAGTTTTTGTGGTCAAATTTTGATGAGGAATTCTCCGAAAACTTTTTCCGTTTGGAATTAATATCGTTGGGTGGGCAACTTTTTTGAGCAGATTGAATCAAAATGGCCTATGGCATAAAACAACCAAAACAGTACAGCAGGTGAGAAAAATTAAGTGTCGATGCTAAATTACAAAAAATAGTACTCCAAGTGCTAACAAACAATTAACATTCAGGAGTAATGGATGCGTTATACAGTAAACGATCGATGAAAACTAGCACGGCAGCTCATGATCACCATAAAAACAGTTATATAACAGGACGCACCTCAGTTCTATCATCAAATGATGCCCCCAACTGTACCAATTTACGGACAGTATCCCACATATGCGCTGATTGAGCAAGAAGCAGAGGGGTTTCATTTTTCTAAAACACCGTTGACAGTAAACCCATAGTACCTTTGTGTAAACATCGACATCAGCTCCACTCGCGACAAGCATGTCAACTGTTGTAACATGGCCACGCGTCGCAGCGAAGTGAATTGGCCTCCAACCCAACTACAAGCACAAAATAATTTGCTGATCAGCTTACGTTAGTTGATGCGTTCGGATTGGCCTTGTTACTTAAAAACCAGCGAACAATCTCCTTATTTCCAATGTACGCGGCAAGGATCAAACCGGTGACATTTTTGTGCTATCCATCAGGCTAAGTAAAATTCGTGTACCTCCACTTCGTTGATAGAATGTGTTGCAAAGATATCAATGTCCTCAAGATTCCTTGATAACCTTTGAATAGTTGATAGTTTTGACCTTCTGATAGCTAAAAACCAGTCGTTCAAATCTCCCACCCATTTTTCCATAAAGTTAGATGACCCAGCTCTAAATACACAGACGAGAAATCAACGCACAGATAATCACACCGAGTCGTAAACAGAATGACCCGGGCCGACGTTTGTGGCGACTATAACAAAAAACGAACTCAATTGCTGCAACTCCTTTTGCCATAAAAACTACTTTTAATGTAAAAAATTTTAATTTAATATTTTTTTAGTTTTTTGAATCATTTATTAAAGGCTTTTATGATCTATAAAGGACGATTAGCCATGCAAAGTAGTTGAAGGGCAGAGGCGTTAATTAAAACTATTACCCCTGTATTAAAACCATTGCATCCCGTGGCTAAAATATATAAGATTTGCGGATTTTGGTCTCCTTGCCTAAAGGCGTACGCTCACGCAAAATGCACCCATATTCACACGAGACTTTTTTCCTCATTCAGTTCATGGATGCATAAATGCTGAGAGCTTAGAAGTCTCGAAGAAAGCGCCATTGGCAGAGCTTTTACTAAGGCTGATTACAAAGGTGTACATGGAGTCACTTTTTTTGCTATTTTAGCAACACTGCAATAAGTCAACAATCATTGAAAAAGTAAAGGGATGGTTAAAAAGTGGAATCAAAAAGTTGGTTGCATTTGCTAAAGTAATCTAATGCCGACCGAGACTTGTGAAAGCTCAGAACATTCAGTGTTATAATGTGTCGCGAATCTCTTTCGCGTCACATAGATAGGCGATGTAAGATTCAACAAGTTTGTATTTTATCAGACATGCAGAAGAGGTGCGTTAGCATCACCCGTGAAAAACCTGGAAACTGCTCCTACGTAAGGGCGAGTATCGCTACAGTATGACAGGAGCACCTTTCCATTTTCTTTGGGTTAAGCAATGCTAATCCGGAAGTAATCGATTTTGCCCGTCATAAGGGAAATAATTTTCGGTAGTGTCACAGTACTTCTAAATATTTGAAAAGTGCTTATGGACAAGTACCCTAATACCGGAGAAAAATTATGCTGGACTATTATTACCTCCTTTTAAAACGGCGACCATGGGCAGTAGTGACGGCCGGAAAGTAGGAAAGGGGCTGTAGCGTCCGGAGACTTCCCTGAAGACGAAAGAAGACACAATACTCTGGCAGAATATATATATTCAACACGGAGAAGGTGTCTGGGCTATTGGCATGGCCCAAAAGGCCAGCCCCACTCAGCGAGGTACAAGGGGGCTAATTCAAAGTCCAAAAGTGGCGCCTCACCAGAACCGAGGGATAAACCACTATCGTATTACATAGCCTCCCTCCTCTTTTGAGCGTCATCCCCGGCGCATCCGCAGGTCAACCTCCCGCGTCAGCCATTACAACGTAGCCGGTGCTGTAAAGAAACACCCGCGATCCGACCGTGCCAGTCACCAAATTCGCGTGCAACCGAGGAGATGCTTGACATCAACGTCACTGATCCCTCTGGGCAACTTAACTGGATCTGGGGTTTCATCTGATTTAGGAACGGCGACCATGGGCAGTGGTGACGACCAAAAAATAGGAAAGGGGCAATGTGGCATCCCACGTCACCAATAATTGCTTACGGAGGAAATTGTGGGCGGACACGTTGTATTGCAAAATAGGCTTCGTCATGACAGCAGAGTTTCTTATGAACTAATGCGTAAAATGCGACTCCGAGGACATCTATCTGGCCAGGAGACCTTAAATACGGTATGGCACGGCGGTCACAGTAAGACATTTAATTGAAGTAAACGCCTCGAAGGCTCCCGTTTGTCTGTTATTGACAGCCTCAGTCAGCCTTGCTAGACACTTCTACTAACCCGTGTAATCCTGTCATGATATTGCACATGAGATGAATACCCTCACGGAAAAGTTGGGCACGGGTATTTACGAACACTTGCAATTTCAAAAAGTTTGCGCACCTATGGCTTGGAAGACAGTTTTCTGCTAATATCCAGCCCAGAATAATTGAATACCTTAGCGAGATTGAAAAATGTCTCGTCAAGGGAGGCCGTGATTTTCGGTATTGCATTGCTGCGATGATGGAACCTGAGACGGCACTTCTACGCTGGTGACGAAGCTAAGCAGGATGTCCTAGGATGATTTACCTTTGTTGGTAAATCTACGCCAAAGCCTCCGCGGCATCACTTAAGCACTGGGACGAACATAGAGACGGAATGTGTATAAACTCAAGTTCAGCTTTGAATCGAGGGACCCGCTTAATATTTCCTGCAGGCATCCTGTAGAGAGGCCAATTGTAAAAGAAAAATGGATATCAACGGATTGGATTTAAGTTCTACACAAATCTGATAGGGGAAGGAGGACGAGTTAGACGAAGATGCCAAAGAAGTCTTCATTATGGCAGCACCAAGTTGTGCACTCAGAGTGGGCCAAGCTGTGATTGTGGTTACGCTTCACAGTGCACGCCACTTTGGGGACCATCGACAAAAGAACAAACCAAAAGAACCACAGCTGACAGTGCTTAGAATGTTAGTGATGTTGAGTTCGCAGATAACCTCGTGCGTAATACTTTGCACCGTATCATGATTTCCAGCCTAGGTCCCCTTACTTTCACAATATGATCGGCACAGCATAAGGCCAAAAAAGACTTCCCAACAACCCCCTTTTACACCTTCGCCTTATTTGAAATTTTTGACAGCCAAAGTAGTGTCAAAAAGGAACGTTTCACTGCAGCGTTTTATTTTCTTGAAAAAAATTAACAAAAGTTACTGATTGCACTATTCGTTGGTAAATAATGTTTAACAAACCTCTATATGGGTGACGGTGGATTTAAATTCACATATCATCCATGAAATCTTGCTCCAACCATGGGATTCCACGTGAAGCGAGTATTTCCATTCTGCGTTTGTGCGCCTCTCTCCGTTCAGCAACAAACTCTGCCTGCAAACGGAATATTTCTTCCTCGGGAACGCGTTCCAAAGAGGAGGAAACAACATAGTCGCTTCGCTAAGAAAAAGGATACAATGGTTAATCCCTGCAAAAGTCGAGGTTTCACTGAGATTTTTGTCTCAACCAAAAGGTCAGGGATGCCAAGTACAATAAAGATATCAAGTGCAAAAAATACAGCAAGTGGTCTAAAAACCAAAAGACAAGATCAGGAGATTCAAGAAACGCTTACAAGCTCCCCGATGAGAGATATGTTTTCACCACGAACCAACACGATACCCTGGCTTACGTCGGCATATTTATTTCCAACAAAAATTCGTTCAACCGCCTCACTCAAAACGATGTTGCCTCAAAAAAGTGATCAGTCGCAGACGCTTACCGAACTGGTCGACAGCTCTCAAGTACCCAATGTAACACTTGTGTCCACGGAGTTTGACCAGTAGACATTCTAAAATTCCTTAAGTTTAAGTAGACTTACTTCCTAAGTCGTTAAGTAAGCTTGCAGATCCTGGTAAATTAAGGAAACCCTGCCCACCGTCATTCAAAGACTGCATCTTCGGGTTAAGTGTCGATGGTCATTTAGGCGGACCTATTTGCACGGCTTAGAAACATAAGACCCAGTAACCTTGAAAAAGGGGTAACTTAACGAACAGGGATGCAAAAAATTGAGCATGGATTGATTTAACTACAACTATAGACAAATTTTCAAAATAACAAATTAAGCTTTTATTGACTTAAAGTCGAAGGCACCACATGGAAGGTTGGTAACGAGAAGTTTGTATGCCCTTACAATAATGCGCTAAATGGTCATTTAAGTGAAATTTGTTTGTAGCCTATTGTGTTCCTGTTCATTTTGTTAACCACAATTAATGGTTTGTGGCTTTTTTGGCTTTTATTGTTACCTATAAATAGCTAAAGTCAAAGAGCCTACTAGTGGCACTAAACAACAAGGAAATTTTACGTGATTTGGAGGATTTCATGCTTTTTTAAGAAAACCTCCATTGTATCACATGACTTTATCATCTGGAGGGGTTGTGTGCAGATTGTGTTTTATTTGAAGATGGCTCTCAGGTGGAAAGTGTTTCGTGAAAAATTTCCTGGGTAAAATAGTGTTCCCAATGTCTTTCCTTGGGATTTCCATAAATAAGAGAAAGCACTTCATACTTGGGCTAAATAAATGTATTTGACATAAAGCAGGGCTTTGAGTTACTGGCACAGCTCGAAGGCCAGTCCACCCAACCCTAAGTGGCTCGTCGGTAAACAGAGAGATAAACAAATAACCCATTACGTAGTCCTCTATCCCCCCATTTGAGCATCGTCCCCGACTCTCACCTTGATCAATCTCCCACGTCAGTCATCACAACACAATCTGTGTCAGCCGCCGCATTCGCGTACAACTGAGAAGATAATTGCACGCAACGTCACTGATCCCTCATGGCAATTCTACTGCATCTGAAGTTTTGTCCTATTTGGAATCTGCATTGGGAGACGGGGAAATGTGTTTGCTATTAAGTATAGCAACCGTTAGTTGTGGGAACACTGGCCTAAACCACAGCCATATGACAAAGAATGGGTTTTAAACAGTTTCTTGGTTTTGCCCCTGTTCCTTTTTTTATAGTTCTGCTTAGCCGTCTATCTATTTGAGTTCTATCCAACTATTAGAGAGATGAAGGAGATATCTTGTGTTTGCGTAATTGATATCTTTATGCAGGTACCGTTGACACCTCCGTAAAGAACTTTTCTAGATGGTTTGCGGCTAATGTCTTTTCAGCTTTTAATAGTAGTCCTGTACAACACGAGACTTGGGTAGTTACCTAAGACAAACGTCATTTTAGCCCTTTTAAGGTGATGTCAAAGTTTATCCCACCTGAAGCATATGTCCTTCTTCAGTCACGCTAAAGGTTACTCCCCAGCAATAGAAATCAGGATAGTTGTCTGTTAAGATGGGGTCTGCTTTCTGCTGATAACAATGTAGCCCCCCGTGACTTCCCTGAGGACGAAACTGGACAAAATTCTTGGGCGGAATATGTATTGTTGACGTACAGAGGGGCTGGGGGAGGAAAATCGTCTACCTGCATGGCTCGGAGGCCAGGCCCCTTTCCGGGTGCAGTGGTGAAGCCCTATGTGGCCCGTCACCAAAATAAAGATTTAGACAAACAATTAAAGTAATACAAACACATAACCCGTCAAGCTTATCATTTACGGACCAATCCAAAAAGACTACTTCAGACCGCTGTCGCACATGCGGTAATAACGGAAGAAATTGGTACCTGTAGTTCTTTTGGTAGGTACTTTTTTTGGGTTATTATCGCCCAAGAACTTCGTTTGTCACTCGAGGGAATTCAAATTTGCAACGATTACTCCGCCAGTACTTCCTTTTCCCATTCCTTGAACTCCATAACTTCTGATGGGAAATGAAGCTACCCCGAATTTCATGAAGCTATCAGTTGGCACTCCGCACCCCGACCCCCAGTCACCTAAACTACATGACCTTATTCGTCAATTATCCTTACCAGATGTCACGGTGCAGTTTTGTACTTGCTGGTAACTCTACCGAATGACAAAACAGTTGGATGCAAGGACAGCAGATGGCTGATTTGGTGTGGATTACGCATAAATCTCGGAATTTGTTGCGACTGTGAGCAGACGTGGATGACTTATATGCGAGTTTGCAAGTAGCGTGTATCTGGTTCATGGCTGTGCTCTAGTCGTCTAGCCATGCACAAGTCATCCGTAGTAAAGGAAGTCCCTAAAGTCTGCCAAGGCCAAAGACGTGTCAAACTCCATGTGTGAATGTACCGATCAACTTCGATCTGCGCTTTTTGCTCCAAACAGTGGAGGCAACAGCCAAAAAGACAAATGTTAGCTAACAAAGGCAGGAGTTGATTTTCACATAGCGCTAGATGCTATTTATAGGTCGAAGCTATTTACATTTTGTCACCAACTAATTTGATTTTAATATAACTTTTTGATGTGATAGAAAGTGTTTTTGAGATTGTAAACAAAAGGAAGGACAAGTGGTTAGCAAGGCATACCTATGCGGTAGAAAAATAAATTCTCTACCGCCAATAATGAGAATTTTATGCACATCTTATTACTTTCCATATCGAGTATAGTAGTTTAGGGATATTTTAAAAATAAGAGTCTAAAAATAAATGAGGAAAGAGTCCGATCAATTTGAAGGTCTCAACTTCTTTGTTGCATAAACACAAAGATTCCGAGGGTTCTACTGTTTGTTCTCAAATGACAATGCTTCAAGCTCATCCACTTCCGATATAGTGGAATTAGTGAATGAAACTGATGACAAGGCATCTGACATGTCGTGCATCTCCTGCTCCGCCTTGTACAGCTCCCTTAGGTGTGCGTGCTTCAATGGTCGCTCAATCCGTGCTGTAAATTGACTGTCAAAACTACTCGGATCGAAACGTTGACCAGGCCGCGGTGAAAATGTTGCCAGGTTCGACACCTCTATGGGTCGACGGGTCGTTTCGAGCAAAAGGAAGCGCAACGCTTCCTCGGCGTCCTGTGAACACGCAGAGATGTCTGGATTGGCCTGGCGCTGCACCTCTGCTACCGCTTTCAACTTGCGACGCACCGAGGGTGGCATGAGTAGCGAGCTGACGCCCCGGGTGCAACTCTTCGCCAGGGAATGCGAATACTGCGTCTCCCTTAAGCGTCTGTAGTCAGCCGAGGCTGCTGTACCACCAGCCAACGATTCGCCCACAGAGACGCCCGTCAGTTCACGAATCTCACCCTCCTCCGCGCGATGGGTGTGGGCGGTTAGCAAGTCCGAGTGTCCGCCCTCAATTACCGACGCGCGCTCCCTCGACACCGTGGTGGGACTCAAAGGAGACGCTCGAAACTCTTGCTGCTGCTGTTGTTGTTGGCGTTGGATGTTAAGCATTGCAAGATCTAAAAGTAGTTATAGCGGAAGTAGCTATGATGAAGAGGCTGAGGAATCAGGGGCTTCAAAGTGAATCGACTAACCTCCAGATTTGTTTTCAGCTTCCTTTTGCTTTTGAAGTTGGAACAAGTAACGTCTCATGATGTTACATTTCACCCGAGTGAGATGTGACTAAAACATATTGGGTGAAAAAATCACTTGTTCTGATTTATGTCAATTAAAAATAGGGATTGATGAAGCTTTTAGTCGTTTTGGCATTAGGTGATTGTGGATAAGTAGTTACTTGCAAGCGCATACTTAAAAAATACTAATATGTAAAGACGAGTGCTTAAAATTACACCCATTTGCTCAACAATCGCAGCCATTATTTTTTCGTACGAATAACGTTCAAAACCCAAATACTTGATCAGTTTAAAGCGCAATAGAATGATTGTGTACCTCAAGGTCTCTGCTCTTTTCAAGCAAGGAGGATCGGGCTGCGAGAATACTGCCTTCGTTTGATTTGAATTTTGACATCCGAACCATATTTGGGTCATCCGTTTTCAAATCCAGATCTTCTCCTTCGTCTAAGTATTTTTCTGTTTCATAATTTCTTAACTTGTGCCCTCCAGATCTCTCAACCCTGCAACCGAGAAGAGTTCTGCGGATTCGTCGAATGATCTTAGTAATGGCAACACGGGACGGAAGAAAATTTAAGGGAGCCGGTAGCACGCCCTCATGTTCAATGTAGACCAACCAGAGATTTGCACGAGCAAATTTCCATTCCTCCAAGCGATCGCCCTGATTTCGAAGAGAGTAGATAACACTTATCTCACTTCCTTCACAAATATTCCAAGTTTATTAAACAAGCATGCTAAGATATTGTTAAAGTTGCGCATTTTTACCCCATTAATACATTTTTAAAATTAGAACCTCTTTTTTTTTAGAAATTCTGTACGCTAACTAGCATTTATTTAGAAGGCATGATAATAACTCACCTCCAAATTACTGGAAGAATTATTTTGACCTACAAATGAGTTTTCGTCCATGAATGATGGAGATAAAAAAATGCGTCAAGCTTCTGAATGAGTTAAAGCGTTTACTTGGACTGGGCATTACCCAATAATGCTGCAACCAATTTCAGCCACTTGGTCTTAAGCTGCCAACAGAGGCCGATGACAAATGTGCCTTTGCCCTTTTTTTTCAAACCTACGGGTCGAACCATAAAGGACAACTAGTCTTTTTCGTTTCTAACTGGCCAACAAAAGAGCCCTCTAAAAGAGGTTACAGGATGTGTCCACTTTTTTTATTCCGAGTGGATGAACAAAGCGGCTTGACAACAGATTTTTGCTACATTAACATGCGTTAAGACAAAATGTTTGAACCCTGACTTTTTGTCACGGATCCAGTAAAAACTGCCAAGTCAGCCTAATGATTATATGATTAATTATTGTCTGTGGACTAAGACAAATCCAAAAATAGATTTAAAAAGAGCGGCAGAATTCAACAGATGTTAATGAATCCAACACAATGCATTTATGAGTTTATGCCGAAGGGCTGAGTGGTTGATCCAAGAGTCATGAGGTAGGAATGAAAAAGGCGGTAATTTCTATCCAGAAAACAACATTTGGGTAATTTGCTGTTAACCTTTCGTCCTGCTTCCTGTAATGCTATCTGATTCAATATTAGCAACCTAGTCCCACCATCTTAGAGTAACTATAAGAGTGGGGCATGGAATCGGACAGCAAATATTTTAGACAGAGAATAGCGTTCATTCTTCTTTGCGTGTTTGTTGCACGATCAGTTAACCTTGGAGGGATAGTGTTGGCAACAGTAGTATCGGTGAAGCGAGTGCCGGAACTAGTGGCTCTATGGGTGTTGCTCAGTGATGGAGCCGACAACGATTTCAACAACAGTAGCAAAAATTAAAGAAGGCAAGGACACAGGAAGCAACTACCGTTTGCAATGCGTAACACCTATATCATAATGGCCATCTGTTTCATAAGTTTATGGAAATAGACACGAAGACTAATGTAACACATCACTGTTTCACTCGAATTTTAATTACCGGGTGCTTACTTTGGCAAAATTTCGCTACCTTTTGAAGCAAGTCTATGAATAAACTACACCGGCGTGCACGAATACCTGAATCTCGTCGAATGATTTGCTCATCATGGCGATGAGCATGTTGAGAAGAATTATTATCATGCAGGCATTGTAGACGGCATAGAGGACCGAGCCCAGGCTCGATATCATAAAAGCGGCATTATTCACTCGAAGATGCTCATGCCCGGGATAGACGCTGGCCAATTCCTCCTCCACCATCGTCACGTTATTGGATGACATCCCGAATAACGCCCAGAACAGGGTGTGGAAGGTTGCAGTGGAACTGTAAAGTTTGGAGAAGGAAATTAAACATCCTGCAAATGAGTATTGAATCAGAGATAAACTTACCAAGTTTAATCAAGGCCTAATTACAATGCAAATTCAGGGTGAATCAAGAAGAAAAAGCAGTACTGCCATTTTGATGGTGATTTTCATTACAAAGTGATAACAAATGTTTCGAAAAACCGTGACCGCACCGAAGACTGTTCGTAAAGCGTAGGGCAAAAGCGTGTAGAATCCTGCCAAATGATGTCGATCGACCAGTGTAAGTAGACATTCCTTTCTATGTCATTCATTTCGAAATGAATTTGCTTAATTTATCTGCAACGCTACTGACTTCTCACTGTTTAGCTTTTTATGGAAACTTTTCTGCTGCCTTCTTAAAAGCAGAGGAAGTGATATCATTCAAGGCATGAAGCCTAAACGGCGATTAGAAGTAATACTTATAATTCTCTACCGTTGGACAAATAGACATGAGGACTTTCATTGCTAATTCATCATCTTAATTGCTGATCCCAAAAACTGAACATTTAAGCAATTTGAAAAGCAGGAGCATCGCACAGTGGGCGAAGGTGAAAGAGGAGGAGGCTCAGGGTTTGAAAACCCATATGAAACAGTGTCCAGTGGAAAAAGTGGATATGCACTGCACTAGGAATGCAACGAACTTTATGGAGTATCAGCCATAGTCTCTAGGTAACAACAACGTTAAAACTCATCTAGGGCGATAATTTGTTAAAACGCAGAGAAGAGATATGGTAACAAATATCAAATTTTGCAAACTCCGAAGGCATTAGGCAAATGGTCATAAATGAAAGGTGAATATTTTAAAGTAAGTAGCAATTAAATTTCTAAGGTGGTCCGCCAAAACTCCATTTTTAGCCACACCGTATTGAAAGTAGTGGAACAAACGCAATGAAAAACTGAGTACGTGAAATAATGTCTATGAATGTTGAGTTAGCTACGTATTTGGTGAGGAACCGCAGAACTAATTGGCTGCATTTGAGGTATTTTGTGAGCCAACCAACTTGCGTGAGCTCAAACCATGTGCGAGATCTGTGCGATGCTTCTTTGTGTCTGATGCTCACAGCCAGACAATGCAAGAAAATACTGGGTGGCACACAGTTAGTTAATTTCTTACAAACTCGCAATTCATTACCACCATTCTTGTTGGAATTTTATCGCTAAATTGCTACTTCACGATAGGCACCTTTTGGGGACAAATTTTTGGACACAGCATAAAGACACCGGATGTGGGGTTATGATTCTAAATGTAAGGACAAACCATTGATTTAAAATAATTTTGAAGGCACTCATAGGAAAACAGGAACTCTGTTTTCTTTGACAATTTTCGACACAGATTTTAATTTCAATGCCTAACTAATATCTGTTGAAGGACGGAATATGAATGAAGGAGGCAGGCAAGTGGTAAGAAAAACTTTGCATTAAAAGGATTTAACCCTGAACACTCATAAACTTGAGAAAGTCTGTGGTAAGACAGAAGAAGGAAATGTAATATTCCACTAATGCCATATAAATTTAATTTATTACTTTCGATAGAATGTTTATCACTTAGGAAGCCAGGTCAAACCATATATCAGGGTGTATGCCAAACAAAAGTGTGAAAGGCTTTGGGGAACAAAATAAGTTGTTCAAAGTCTTTCGGTTCTGAAATAGTACACCAGCAGCAAACAATTTGTAAATATGCAGTGGAAACCAGGTAAAGTAGGAGACGTCTTAAGGGTTAATTTCAAAGCCAGTAATATCAGAGCTAGTCAAGCACAAGTGTCTCAGCGTTCCATAGAAACGTGAGAGAGGAAAGTGAAAGTGGGCTTACCTCTGAAATGCGGGAACCCCGCTTGCATAGCGAACTGTTGCCGGTGTTGCAGCTGATGCTCCACTTTTAATATCTATGGCGATGATCATTTTGGCGAAATACCAGTACAGATTCGTTAGGCCGACAACAAATGCGATCAACATCTACAAGGAAGTGGGAGTTTATGAAACCGGTGACCCTTTTCCCTCTCCCCTTTATCTCATTTATGGTAACACATTAGCTGCTTAAGTTAACATTTTGACAAATAATTAAAGTATAAGGTAAACTAATGAGTATGGTCTGTTTATTGCAATACAAATAAGATGAATCGCAAATCTAGAAACTTTTGTTGAAACAATTGCCTAGTTTCACGAATAGGGGAGGAACATATAAAGTGAAGTGAATGGGAATGGGATGACGAATGGGGTAGTGTGCTGCCTTATAAGAATAACACTTTCTTCCAATCAATTGACGAATGCTATTTCTGAAGAAGTTTTTAGCACACATCTGATTTACATCGAATTTTATCACGATCTCAGTCGCAATTGTTCTACGTTTAACAAAAACTTATCGGCCAATTCTGTCTGCAGTCGACCACTGACAAACCACGCCAGGTCTTCCGAGGAGTCCAGGTGGGGTAGCGGGAGTAATAAAAATTCTCGATTAATCAAAGATATGTTCTTTTGCTTTAAAGTCGGAATAGAAAAGGCAATTTCTCATAAAAGGTCAATCACCAAACAATCCTTTCTCAACAGAGTTTTTTCGAGGAGTAAAAAAAATTTAAAAACTAAGTCTTAAAGGCTTTGTATTCGTTACCTATTGACGCGTTTGGGTGGGACCCACTTGCCTGGCTTTCATTACTTTTATTTTCATTTGACATAAGTAGAATTTAGTTTTTTGTATTAATTACGTCACACGTTACAAAAAGTTATTCTTGGTAAGCCAGTCTTTAGTTATGTTGGTCAAAAGCGATACCTCATTCGCCATCGTGATAAAGAATTGGTCTTCTTTATCGAGTTGTACCAATCCTTGCGTTATTTGCCCTTGGAATCCAATTTTGAACAATTTCTGAGAGGTGTATTCTACTATCACAGCTCCTCTGCATGTCAAGAAGGAGCTTCTGCAGCTATAAAACCTATTTACGTTCTCCTCGTAAAGTAAGCCAATCTAAACAATTTTCATCGAGGTGCAAAAGAACATGAAAACGGTGCAGAGCATAATAAAGTGTAAAATGGACCGGCGGGTGACAGATCTTTATAATAAATATAGGTAACCGCACCCTGCAAGTCCCCGAAAGTTACGATAAAACATTTCTGCCAGCTACGGTGAAAAGCACAACGATTCCACCACATGGTAAAAAGAGCTTAAAGTGCTGATGGGGTTGCTTACAAAAAACCTTATTTTGTGGTTTTTATTCGTATATTTTGTAGTGGTATGAGTACTTTCAAGACCTGGAACAATTTTAGGCTTCCCTGCACCAAGTAGCTTCATGTGAGTGTAACGATTACCATTCTCTGGTAGTGATGACGATATGGAAAATTCTAAAGTCAACTTTTTCATAAGAAGAACACCTAATTGCAGATATGGGATGACAATGTTAACTGGACAAAAGTTGATGGAGCCAGAGCATATAAAGTGTTTGTTTCAGAACACAACAAATATAACGTACGTCCGTATTTTTTTTCTAGTATTTTGTAGAAACGAAATGAAAATGTTTTAAATTGGGGATGCACGAGTTTTTAAATGCTTACCACCGAAAAAAGCGCCATGAATCGAATGATATCGGAAACCATTTGTGCCAGCGAGATTTGTAGAGGTCCGAGAAGTTCCCAGGCCGGCATCAAGTAGCTTACTCGCGCAAAGGAAAGAACATTGGCCAGTGCAAATAGACAGTCTGAGACGTATTCGGGGTCGTCAGGTGCCCACCAAAGCCTACCTAAAAGGGGATAACAGTGCCATGTTAAAGCACGGGAAGGAAAAGTAGTGAAGCCAAGGTCTACTCAACAGCTTAAAGTTTATTCACTTCCATCAGATTAACGTGCTTATTGCGGGCGAGCTGGTTTTCATTATGTCCAGATAAAAGCAAAAACTCGACGATTTGCTGGTCGTATTCTCCGGCGACTCATGGGATTCGGATGTTCAAAGTTTAAAAAAACCTCATTTTTTGGGACAGAAGCATTTTTGCGGCATGATCCAAATTTGGCTAAACTTACTATTGGTTGGAAAAATCAGTGCTGACTTTCCCGTGAAATTGGTCTAAAGGCAAAATATTTTGTGATTTAAGTTGTTCAGACATAGGCTAAGTGGCAATCGACGATTTTCACTGTATGTCAAGAGTGAATTTCAGGCAACAAAGACATTTCTTCAGTAAGTGTTGAATTTTAAGAGTGGATGTAGGGTAGTTCCCAGAATAACTCACAAATGGCCAAACTTTATTTCATTCTGATCCATCTCACAGCTTTCCTCATAACATTTTTGAAAATACAGTAGCATAATGTTCGGTCACTTATTAACTAAAATTTTATTGCCCAAAATATAGGCTGGAATGTTTCTGAACCCCAGTTAGCATAATTTCATCTAAAATTGGACGCAAAAGAAGCAGTACATAAAAACTCGACTCTAGGACGACTAATGACTACACGTATAGGGAATACAGTAGAGTTCTGTAAACAATCCGAATGGTATTGCAAGTGATGCCATTTGGAATGAAACGGGACATTTAAGTCAAACCACGAATCTTAGATTTATACACATTAAAAGGGGGTAGTGCCGTGATGGTAAAATGCTGGGCTCATATTTTAGCACCAATGACTTGATGATGCAAGCTGGCCTACGATTGTCAAGCTAAACAGATAGATCTTTTGTTTCAGACGCTAGTTTTATGCCACAAGCAGTGCATAGGCACAGCAAGAGACAGTGTGGAAAAGGGCCTACAATTTTTACACTCCAAATATTTTTCCTTGTTTCTTAAACTAAAAAAATCTGGTTTGAATTAAGCGGCCCCAGTAGGTTTCTTAGCAAACGCACCACTTTATTATCGTAAAAGGCTTTATGCTTACACCCTCGGAGCCAATACGCAGTGTCCTCAGAAAGCAAATAATTGCGGTAGGCGACGTAGTTGGTTTTCGAATCGGTTCCTATTTTGATCTCGAATACAGATGCGTCGTTGTCCACAATTACTGTGCTAGCATTCAGCAATAGGCTCTGGGCATACGCGAGTTGATGTAGGAAGATTTTCTGGGTCGCCTGCACTCTGAGGTCCACGAAAATACGCAGTGCGAATGCACCCAAATATAGCGACACTGAAACCCAGTCCATGATGTTGTAGTAGCTGCGGAAGTAATCTTGCAGGCCATAATGGTAGACCTGTTTGGATTCGCCAAAGAGTTGTCCTAGAAGAATACACACCTACGAGTTGTAAAAATTATACGTGAAGAAGTGTGTAATGCACATAAAATATACCAAAACAATTATAGCAGCACCTTTAGCAGCATTAAATGATAAGGGAAATCTTCGGTGCTCATTTGATTCACTTCATTAAAGTGGCAAAATACTTATTCAGTGTAATTTTACGAATTGGTGATTACGGCCACTGCAAGATCCCCCTTTTGCAGTTAAATTGGTGTTAGGCGGGAATAAAAAGGTCTTTAATTATCCCATCGTTTACTTTTTTGTAGATTAACCCCAAAAAACTATGTAATTTGCGAAAATGCGGTACTTATTTTAACTTTTGACTGGGATTATGCATCCTTGATGAAGCAGATCAATACGAATCATTTGGTTCGAGACAAATCCATAGGAACAACTCATGTTGCACTACTCTCCTGAGATTTGCCGGTCTTAATCCCTCTTTTGTTTACAAGGGATCCCAGGAGCGATGAAAATAATCGAAAAGCTTTCTAGGATATTTCATTCTTTTGCTCACCGAAAAAGCAACTTTCGACCTAATAAGCCGAAATTTTCAGTTGATAACGTAGGAAGTCATAACATGGTCTTTTCAAATGCATACACTTGACAAATATTTTAAGCTTCTGCAAGAAGCGTCATGAGATGTGCCTTCAGCACCATCTACTACGCTTACTCAAACGCTTTCTGTATTTATATTAGATTAATACTTTACAAAAAAACATCAACTACACTCAAACCACAATTTGAGGAACATTAACGAGCGCCTTTATGATCTACGAAATAGTGTGGGGTAGCAAATATCCCAGTTTCATCCGACCTTAATTGTTGAGCTGATTGTTTATTGTTTTCGTCTTATTTGCCACAGAGAGAGGTAAAGGTGAGGGAGAAGTTAAAATGGTAATTGGACATAAGTGAAGAGAATAAAGAAAGAGCGAAGGACACCGACATTTCGGCACCAGGAGGTCATCATTGCAATGAGTGCAGCCAACCGAATGCCATCGCTTGCGTGCATGCACAGAGAGACTCTCAGGGAGGTAACCTGGTTCTCAGATTGGGAATGTTAACTATAAAACACGCACTCAAAATCACTCACCCATTTTGGCATGCTTTGAAAGTAAAGCGGCTCTCATTTCACTAGATTTCTCCGTATAGAATTCTAAATTGAACCCTCAATGCCATTTTTCAGGATTACGTTGCCTTCTAAATCGAAACTAGATGGAGCAAAAACATGACTAGTGCACCTCACGACTCGGTCAACATTTAAAAGTCGGCTTGTGGTTACCTCTTTCTTTTGAGAGTTTTATTAAATTACATTTTAGTTATGAATACGTTACTAAAGAGCGGTACTTAATGACTCAATTCCCAGTTAATTTTAAGGATAAAAAAGGTAGTATCTTGGAAAATTACACGATGATTATGGGCCACCGAATAGCCAAAGTTTTTGCAGAAAGGAAAAAGAGTGGTCTTTTCAAGTTGCCATATTTGTTTTAAACGATATAGTGTAAACTATATTAGGATCCTCAAACACTGATTTTCAAAGTGATTCTTTGCCTTTGTAACGTTACCTCACCACTTTATCATCAAAACTACAAGCTTGATAGTACTTTGTCGGAAATGATCAATTAGCAGTTAATATGAAATGACAGTTCCCCTTTCGTAATACTTTCTCAAGGGCCAATATTATTTATAAAAGTTGGATGCATGGCTGAACAGGGAAATTTACTAGATTTACTAGATTCTCATAACGCAGCTGGCAATTTAGACGTAGTCTTTAGTAAGCATCCTTGGTAAGCACTTTATTCGGATTTTAATGAGTAGCTAGCAAAAGTCCCTGAGGCATAATAAAGTCAAATCCAGCACTTTTAGTCACCAAAGTTAGGGCAAAAGTTGCGCAAACCCATTTAAAAGTTCTTGATATAAGCCCAAGAACGCCTTACTAAGGTCCCAAATAAGGTTCGAATGCCCTATTGAAAAAATAATTTGGGCCATAGTTATAGGGGGTCTTTTTAGATAAATGATGATATTTGTAATACATATTTGTTTGAATGTACCTTTTAGGCTAGGAGCGGTCAGTAAATAGGAACCTCGTGTTGGATCAGACGTCCTCGGTCTCCGAGGCGGAGGAACCACACCTTGAACATACTTAAACCGTGATTTCCATACCCACTTATGTACTACTATTCAGAAAAGCATACACTTGTCCAACTTGTCTACTCTTTCCAAGTGAATGGAGGCGGAGGTGGACGAGAGAAACATCGAGTCTATTGTCATGGCTATAACAATTCATTTTCGTGTTTACGATTTTCTGAATAATCGAACGCAACAACGTAGTTAATCAAGGGGGATTATCCTGAAATGGACATTTTATTTCGCAATTTTTTCGACATGCTACGCCATGGCATATTTTCTATATTTGTGAAACCCTTGCGCTCACCCAATATCCAAAAGAGCAAAAGAATGTGGATTTTCGTCATGACTTGTTGGCTGCTGCGGAAGTCATAGCTCCAAATCTGAAAGGCGCGCACCTTCCAGAGGTCGGGGTTCTCAACTTCATCATTGTCTTTGTCTAGTCGGAAGGTTGCCACCGTTATGAGCAGCAGGAAGATGAAGTAGGAGAGCATGTGGCCGATGAATTTTACGATGGGACAGCGCAACAACTGACACACCTATCAACAAAATAAAAAGTAAATCCGCATCATCATCCAACATTTATGGTAAATCTGACACCAAAATGTAATTCTGCATAACTCATACTTAAACTTTTTTCAGCATTTAAAATGCACATTCGAAATAATAAAATGCGTAATCTGTTTACTTGTTTCGACCAGAATAATATTAAAATAATAGGTGTAAATTTATGCGGCAAAATAAAAGTAGTCGTTTGGTTACTAGGATTAATATTTACCCATAAGTGGGACGAACACACATTTGGGGCTTTTTCTAAGTAGACATCTACATGGCTTTATTGTTTGTTGGGTGAAAGTTGCCCAACAAAATGAGAGGAAGAAGCAACTAGGTAAGTTGACAGTCCGGCCAATTAAAGTTTTTGCTTTTCTAGCACTGAAATGGAATTTTAGGAGGTTTTAAAGCCACAAGATATGTCGAAGAGAAAGATTGCCACCATTTGCTGGATTGAAAGTGACATTCCGAGAAATAACTGGAACCCAATGTAGCACGCCATTGCAAATAATTTTTAGGAGTTTTCGTCTCTCATTTATAAACAAGTACATTTCGTTTATTCAGTAATGTGACATCTGAAGTAAATCATTAATAACCGTGGCTGCTGATTTGGTTCAAATTTGGTAAATAAGAGTGTCTTTCTTAATACGGGAATATCGTGTTCTCCCGCACTGGAAATGCCCAAAACTTCAGGTCAAGTAATAAGTATGATTTTGTGACAGATGTCGTTAATAACTGCATCTTCCGACGTCCAAAATGGCCCTTACAAGCCAACGCCCATTTTCCAGTTGAATTATTAATTAAAAACTAGAACAAAATAGATTACAATGGAATGATCAAAATGAAAACTCACTTTCAGTTTCCTGGTAATTGTTTGTCTGGACATCAGACTTTGAGGCGTGGGAACCTACGAAGTGGAAGCATCGACAATTACAATACTCAACTACAATGGCGTCTCTCAGGTGGAAGGGACTGCTCATTTCGTCCATTGTTAGTTATATCATAATGTCCAAAATAAAGACGTTCTGTATAACAAAACATGAATCATGGCTCAACTTTTACGATTTTGTTCTGTCAGGAGAAAGACGTGAAATTTGTGCATACAACAATGCAATTGAAAAATCCTTTCGTGACACAATACCAGTCTGCGACCCCTACCACAGTATTAATGAGCTGAAAAGCGTAGATTTTGGCACCCTTTTGACCAAAGGCGACAGGCAATTATTTTCAGTATGGATAAAATTAATGTACTCTTATTCCAGTGATAATATTCCCAGTTCTAAGATGTGCGGGAAGAAAGGAAAACATTCCTCTCATTTCACGTCTATGCAACATAAAGGAGTTTCACCTAATTATTGAACTACAGAATGGGGGCATTTCCTAGCTATTGTAATAAATCGTCAATCTGAAATATTAGGAGGAAATTTAGAACCAGTCCAATTAACAGGACTACTAAGGATTCATTTCCTACTGCTAAAAGACATTGATAAGACCAATTAACTTTGTGACCCCACAGTCGTTTGTTTGAATGGAAAAGGTTCGTTCTTGCATGTGAATCCCGAAACGCGATCGAGGCTGGCAACCCTTTTGGGTGTTAGTGGGATGTGTGAAACTTTTGAGAAGACCATACTGTCATATGGTCACTTCCTCGTTGGCACAGACATTATTTTTTTGAATTTTATGGTTAATGTCAACTAAACCCCAGAATTCCAACTGACGCTATTGCATGAGGTTGGAGTATCTTTTATTAAATTTAATTGGCCTACTGTGGGTGAAGTGGCCACCCCGGTGGTAGGGAAATTTTATTTCAACAATAACTTCTGTGCCAAAATAATTTGTTATCCAAGCCAAAGGAGAAAGTGAGGTAAGGGAACAGTTGCATGATTAACTGGCTGCAGTGGAATTTTCTTTGCAAATTATTTACTTATTTAATAAAATCCAGTTTTGACAAGATGTATAATGGAACAAAATGTGAGGAGATTCATATTTGAAAAGCTTGCTACTAAATTAACCCCTGGAATTGTGAGCTCTATCGCCTTAACTGTTAACTATCAGGTAAAGTGCAATTGTAGTTTCTAAGCTGATTATGAATATGCTATGCTATCAAATCGGCCTCACTGATAAAGGGAATTTTAGATGCCTAGTTGTTGATAAAAATTCTCTGTCCATTTGAAGAATAAATAATGCATTTGGCTAGTATTTTCAGCAACCGCAGGCAACAAATATGGTTTATTATGTATTCACAAATTCAACTTGTATCTCTTTACAAAGAATGCTGATTTAGATGTTATCCGTGAGGCCAAAAAACCTACCTCATTTGTAGTGAATGTTTTATAGGTGTAAATGCATTGAAATTACTGAAGACATTCCACCACCTTCCATTAGCTCTCCCTCCACTCAAAAAGCAATTAAATAATATTTTTCACCCTACTAGTTTTAGGTCTGATTTGTTCAAACGAATCGCCAAAGTATAAAAATCCATCTCAAGTTTTGAACAACAACGAGGATTCCAATAAAGGATCAAATTCAGAGCTCAAATAGTCGCATTTCCATGACCTATATTACATCTTTACTCATTACTGCAAGTTTATTTGCAGATACGAGCCGCCACTTTATGATTATCTGATAAAAATCTACCAGATACCTATTTATTCACTTTAAACCTTCTCAAAAGCAAAACACTTGGTCTCTTTATTGTTTAAAAGACTAAATACGCCATCAAAATTTCTAAGAAGCTGGCGGAAGAACACTAATTTCATTTTATGAAAGAAACGATTTAGCGTCAAAGGATAGCGGAACACGAAATATAAAAGGCCAACACATTGGGGAAAGAAGTCCGAATCCAAGATGGTTTGAGCTTAAATTAGCTAGAAATAGAGAGCAAGGTGTGGGGTGGAGAGAGATAGAGAGAATGCGAAAGGGAGGGCATGTCGCCTAATGTGCTGTAACACGAAGGGAACGAGTTCGCTGCAATCTAAATCATGTAGCAACCTTGACATCAGCTGGAATATTCTTTCCTATGAATGTCACCTTTTGCGCGTTAGTCCTAACTACATTTCTTCCAAAAATGCATGTGTCCCACAATTAAATACACAATGTGTCAAAAAAAGACCACTGATGAAAAAACACGTTATGTCCAGCTTTAGCTACCCGAGAACCATTTGAGTAGACCCAATTTACAAATTTTAAATATTTTTTTCTAGTCTACCTGCAGCTGAGCATTGCCAAATGTAACATACCCAACTATTTAAACCTTCAACAATGGTGGCAGTGTGGTACGTGCAAAAAATTAGGTGAATTGGTCAAATGAATTAAGACGTCAGTCTTATGCTTTTTTTTTCTCCTATTATGCCTTCCTATCGCTTGTGAAGCCATAGTTCACTTAGTTCCCGTGGCAGGCAGTTTGCAATGCAAATAAAAACCCAGTTTATTTTCCTTGAGAAATGAAGGGAAATAAACAATAAGTTATCAGATGTATTTTATATGGGCACGTTTAAAGAGTTGCCAGGGCAACATATTTGCAAAAAGGTAAAAATCAGGCAGTTTTCATAGCTGTACGTAGATTACATTTCAAAAATGTAGCTCCTTTTTGTTTGTATGAAAAACTATACTAGCAAAAATGAAGTACAAAGATCCTTCGTATTATTTTAATAAATTTAAGGCAGAAAAACCAAACCTAGATGTATTGTTTGCTCACTGCAATATTTTCGTTGGTCTTAATTGGGAGTCATTTAAAATGCCCATCCTAATTAGCATTAAAAAGATAACGGGGAGTGTCTTTCTTCTGTTTTTGTTCTAAGTTTACATAGGATTTTTTAACGATCTTTGCTGTTATTTAGAATGCTAAATGAAACCACAGTGAGCTATTAATTTTCGCATTACATCGTATAGACAGCTTTTCAGGCGTAACAAATTCAGCTCAGTAGCGCCTAGTTTCGCATCTGCCGGACACGAGCAATTTTTTTGCATTTATTTGCTGTGAAAGTTCCTGTTTGCAAATCAATCTCTCCCTTAAAATATTCAAAAGTGACCCATCAAAGCAAAGCAAACTCATCAAGCATTGCGAGGGGGACAGAGGTGTCATTCCACCGCACGAGATAGAATATAGAATAGATCCTGGCCGAGACAAGGAGCTTTGCGGTAATTGGGAGAAATTTTATTCATGTGCTGACCTTTAGGCACAGTGATAACAAAAAACACTCACAGTAGAGCTTAATCCTTTGCATGAAGGAGTTCAACAATTTCTTATTCAACTTGCCTCACTTTCTATGTGCTAACTGTACTAGATTAAAATAGGCCATTTGCCGTAATTACGACTCATGAATAAAATATGTATGGCAATTTTTCTTATTCTTCGAAAGAGTTTAGTTGGCCAGATGACACTTAGGAGTGCGTTAACTTCAAATACGACTCATAAATAAGTTATAACTACTTTCTGTGATGCGGATAAGGACTCCGAAAAGGAAACCATAAGTCATCTTATTTAGTTAGTTAGAAGCAGCACAACTGAGGTACAGCCAAAAGTAAAAGAAAATACCTGAAATTCCAACGTGAAATGGGGCATTTTGACAAATTACAGGCATATCAGTAAAAGCTCTGCGCCTCTACAAATTTATAGGAGAAATTCAATTCCGTTTGCTGAAACTGTTACTAAATATTTGAGATATTATGATCCTGCACTAAAAGTGCGCATCATTTCGTGAACTCATGCACTTTTATTAGTGCTAGTATTTTTCCTTGATCACTTGTCATTGTCATTGTGGCTCCTGGATGCGAATTATGCGTTCATCAGCAGTTGACACAACTTCAGATTTGGAAATAGGTTTTAAAGTAAGACTGTGAAAATAATTTATAGAGGAAGTAAATTTCCGTACTGGTGTCTCCTGCACTTTATCTCGCCAATCTCTCTGTGATGAAATATTCCAGCAAGGCAAAAATTTTGTCCAGAAGTCCTCTGACGTACAATCTCCCCACGGATAATCTCTTAGAGTATTTGCTGCGAGTCAAATTTGCAGCTCATACTAATCTATTTGTAAGTCTAATTCATTCGATCTACCTGCAAAAAGGGTGCATGACTTTAAATGGGGTTAGTCTACAAATATCCCACAAATAAAGCACTAGAACAAAGTTTTTTCTACATAGTCAATGTCCTCCTTATTTATTTAGGTAATCTGGAAAATGACGTTTTCGAAACAAATTGAGAAAACGGTGGTTAAGTCAACTTTTCCTCGCCTCTTATTTTTGCAAATAGGGAACTAGTTTCCACAACCTAGATACAATTAGAAAATTATCAGAGTGTTTCCACAGCGTGCCATTTCATAAATAGAATAGTAAAAGTTATTTTCCCCTAAAGTTAATTGCAGGGGTTAACTTAGAAAGTTGGGACAGGAGCAAACGATTCGGGAGATAGTGGATTCCTTTTGCCTGTTTGTTTTAATTTAAACTTGCTCTTTGAACATGCACCTACATTTGAATGCCTTATTTTACAATATAACGCTTTTGCATCAAAGTGCCCCCCTTCGTATGTACGCATAAGAAGATGTGATGACTTCTTTGAGAACGACCTTTTAATAGTGTAAAAATAAGACGGCTGTTCGACATCTGCAATTAAGAGAAAAAGAACCTTCGCATGTTTCTATGCCTATGACAGTTTTTCATAAATAAATTTAAAATAAAATAAGCACTATCCTACTCGATTTATTCACTAAATAATCAAATAACCCAACATTTCGAACGGTTTCTCCTATCCGCACTAGCATTATTGCGGCAAAGAAGTTTCACCCAGAAACGCGTACTATGGCTAGTTTGATTGATGAGTCTGGGTGAGATGTCGCACGTTACACTTTATACTACTCCCTTTAGGAAAACGCTTGACTTGCTCAAAACACCTTACCTTTAGATTTGGCAGAAATAAGTAGGTTATGTAGAGAATGGGCAGGAGGGGCGTGAAGATGAGGAAGAACTGCAGGCGTTGCCATCCCTCAAAATCACGAATGCAGAACATGTTGCCGTAGAAGGTGTTCTCTAGTTGATGCTGACAATTTGAGTGGGCGACAAACTACAAAGCATAGCAAGAGGTTGATGCACAAATATATGTGGATTATAGCATGCAAAAAATCGAACTTGTCTTCTGATCCCCTGAAACTGCTACCTGCTACAATCTTTGCACAAGTGAACCATCCAGTTAATGCAAAATTCTACTCTCGTTATTCTAATGCTAAAGCATTATTCAGCATTGGAGCATTTCTTTAGACAAACTTTTAATTTAGTCAAGAAATCGAGTAGATTACATAAAGATTATCCATTTTCAGGAAAATATTGTCAATTTTGTTTTCAAAAGGTCACTTAAATCTACAGCGCTGTAAATCTTTGTCTTATTATGACGTTTTCCAGGTTTTATTTCCAAGGAACAGCCGGTTTTACTTAACCTGATAAGTCAAAATCGCTGTTAATTGATGTGGCACTCAATAGATTTACGAAAACACGGAAGGAGAGCACTTACCACTGCTCCTCACTGCGCACCAGTAATTACCAAAGCGACAATTCAAAAGAGAGTACTCGGTAAAAGCAATGCTTGAAAAAGTGTTGGATGGCACATAACTAGGAACAAGACCATGCATTTTATAAAAAAAACCAGTTAGCTACCTTGAAGACAATTATAGGGTGTCGAGCCAATGCGATACTTGCTCAATTTTGAACGTTGCTGTCTTAGGCGGAAGGGCGGAAGCCGCGAAAAGAACAACTTTAATGTCCTCAAATCGTTCGTTGCGTCTCTTTTTATTGTAAATTATTTTTAAGCCGTAGATGGGCATTTGAGACTAATTGCACTTCCGTTTTGGAGAAAAGCGCAAGAAATATGTAGGGTTTAGGTACCATGTTGTAACCTTGATTACGAAACTGGTCTAGCTAAAAGGGGACTGCATTCTATAACTCATTAAATGCATTGTTTAGTGGCTTTTAATAACAAATGATCTTTAATGGCAAACGGGTGGCCCAAAATACTGCGATTGTTTGCTTAATTCTTCGCTGTAGTTACTCAAACGCTGTCGTACAGTGTCGTACAGTATACCTTCAGCCAATCTGCATGTCACCGATACATATTCTATCGGAGCATGGCGTCTTATTTCGCTTATAGAGAAGTCTCGGAGTGCTGTACCTTCTCTTGACCATCACGCTGTTAAGCACCAATTTAGGATTCCCCATTCATTTGCATTCAGTTTTAAGCTGGCAAACCATGTTCAGTGGACGTTGGAATGCACGCCTGCTAACCCTCACTCCTTTTTACTATGATCTCTGAATAAACATGCCGTTGGCTAAGCAGCAAAGCATGGACCATAAATTGTCAGTGGCTGAGCTAAAGTTCAACACAATATATCCTCGTTATTTCCTACTCTTTCGACTTCTAGTTTTTGAACAAACTGTGTGCATTTTTCAGAAATCTGATATTCAGTTCTATCTAACCGATTTTACTCTTAAAACTTAATTAATGACCCCATTCAATATATTTATATAAAGATGAGATCGTTTTTGCTTTTATTATCTTTTAACACCATAAACATATTTTAATAAACTGATTAAACGTTTTTGTGCTCATTAATATAAGCAATGATAACCCGTGATCGAGAACAAGTGAGGTGCAGCAGTAAGCAGATGCAATCTCGGGCTATTCTAATGGGACTACCTCAGCGAAAGATGTATTGACATACAATTGGCATATTTTCATCCAGATAAGTGACATGCTACAGCAAGTTTTATTTTCAACGTATTTTTAGAGTTCAGCCGTAATTGCTACTGATTCGTTTCTTCAGTCTCGTTACATTTAAATGCGCACCAACCTGTCTAAGCTTTTCTTCTTGTTCCTGGACCGCTTCAGAGGCATAAAACTGTGTACAGCGTATCATCTGAGGCCTGTCACAGTGGCACTGATAGCTGACGTCCAGCTAGCAAAGCATTACGAGTACTTCGAACATCTGATCCTGTGCATGAATGTAAATATTTGCATCACAAATATACACTTGACCTATTCCTGTCCTACGTGACGCATGCGGGGAGGGGGGGCACTGATTGTCTGGGAGACTTAAGACTTACTTCCTGTGTTTGCGGAACCCGGGGCTAGTTAAACTGGGTATGATTGCATATGGGTGGAAACGTGTTAGCATAATAATAACAGTAAGAAACCGGCTTTGTAATCAGTAAAACAATAGTGCGTGATTAAAATAGGTTTTAAAAAGAAAAGTGCTGTCAATTCCATACTGGTCAATTCCTCAATTATACCGTATGTACTGACGATAAAAAAAGAGAGAAAATTACAAGGGATGGGTGAAACCTGCCTTTTTTTCTCGACACTGAACCGCATGCTTAATTGTGGCAAGATGATACTGAGTGTCCCCGTCCGGAGTGATGTCGTTGGCGGTGAGCAGAGAGTGCACCTCGTCCGAGGTCCGGCACAAGTCCAGGCAGCTAACCGCAAAGTCCATTGACTGAACAGCTAACCGAGAATATTCCTCCTAAAGAAAAAGTTATCAACAACCTTGATAGAGTCGCACATTTAATATATCGCAGTAAAGCCAAGTTAGGCAATGAATCTGCTGAATTCATACTTTTTCCATATTATTCTTCATCCAAAAGAATTTAACAACGTATGCATGCGCTTCGCTAACATTAAAGACGCAAAATTGCATAAATAATGAAAGAGTACACAGGATGCTCTATTCATTGTTTTATGGAAAGTCGACCTAAAAATAGTATTCAAGGAACGTACTATTGCAATCAACTTAACGGTTAGTGCATCAAGAGGTGCAAGTTTTCTGGATTTTAATCAAGTGGATAGTGTAGAATTTTCCGAGGAAATTTTAATGGGAGAGACCACAACGGTGGCTAAATGCTCGCCTTAAACTGCTTTTCTTGCGAGGCGAGTTGATAGAGTTCTCCTCGGAGGATGAAGGCGGAGGATACGGGGTCACAAGTGGTGAGGGCCAGGTAGGCCGAGCTAGTCAGCGCCTGGTAGGTGTGCAGTCGCTGCATCTCCAGGATTAGGGAGTCCTGTGCACACACATATGAAAGGACAGGAAAAAAATACGTCCTTTTGCCTTCACTGAGCACTCACGCAATCCTCTACTTTTCAGTAAAACCGTTTTACAACTTTGTGTCTGAGCACTTGAGTCCAACGCATCCGTTATGGACTTATTTTAAGGGAAAAAGTGGTGTACTAAGCGTTACTATTAATGGTTGGTGTTATATACCCTTTTTTGATGACCCTAATTTCTTAATAGACTTGACAGTAAATGTTATTATGAGGAGAAATAAAATAAACAGTTGGCTTGAGTAAATTGGTGAAATTAGGATTGCATTCTCACAAAAGAGTTCGTGGGAAGTTTTATCAAATCTCAACGTAGTAGACCTTTACAGAATCGGCTCTTGTGGGGAGCTGTACAACATCAGCTAAAAGTACAGCATTACTGGCGTCTTTTGAGATATTCGCATGCACAAATCTCAGAACAAAGGTGGGTGTTTTTGAAGGGATTAATGAGGCATCGTGGCTTTGGAACTCCAGTATTTGGCTTAAATGACGTTCTGTTCATTTTTAAGCCGCTACACAGGATGCATTTTACATTTATCTACTGTGTGACCTAAAACAGTAAAAATGTACTTAATTACTTCAAAAAACTATATCTTTTCCAATGCAACAAAACCATTTTTATTCCTAAGCTATCTGTGCAAGAACAAAAACGGTTATGAAATTCAGCAGCTTGAAAGTTATTCGGTCTGACTCTTGGTTGCCATATTTTAAATGCGTTGCTTGACAAACTCATCAAGACTTTTGGAACATTCAGGATCATTGTTTGTGTAACTTGACACCCTGCCCATGCACGATCTCGGAGTCGACCAGTAATTGGGGAGGCTCAGAGCAGCACAAAGATCCGTCCCATTGCTCCATTCGATTGAACGCGGTTTCAACTTCACGGAGTCATCGGGAAAATTACACTAACGAAATATGCAAATACCTCAATGCTGTTCAGTGGCATCATTATTCATCAGAAAATAGTTTTTGCATTTTACAAATGCTTTTTTACGTAAACGTGTAATATTTCAGCCATTTACTACACATTAAGACTGAAATCACGACAGCAGTTTGCACCTGAAAAGGCTAAACTTGTTTGTATTCTTCACTTGGGTTTGTCCACACAACAATTATCTACAGTGTAGTAATATTAGGCACCGCAAAATTTGGAGTCGGCACTATCAGGATTATGAAAAAGTAGATCTCCCAACGCAGTCGCGCTTTTTCAGCATCCTAATTCGTGCCTTCAACCACCGTCTGCGCTAATTGGAGGAGAGGGCGGATAGAGATGCGGTCTTACTGGTTTATCGTCTACCGTTGAGCCATTAGCACCGGCAGAATACATAATTATTACGGTTAGAAGTGATATTATCTAAGATATACCCTCAATTTGACAGTCTCCTTGGGCACAATAAAATTGATGCCTTTGGAACTCGTTGACTGAAGGGTAGTTTTGGCATTATTTAATCGGAAGTTCTAACATCAGTTGAGGTGAAAACTGATTTTCGTGGATAAAACAGGAAGATCAAGTAAATGTTACAGGGCGCTGATAAGGAATTGGAAATCAAGAAGTGGGAGTTCCCTATAAACTTCCTCCTTAGGTAAAACTGTACGCATAATTTTCGTGCGTTCTTAAGTGACATTCTTCCTTGTTGTTCTGTTTATATCAACATTTTGGAAGTCACCTAGAAAAGTTACATTTGCATAATCTTATGGTAAGATTTGCGACAGATTTGGATTGCATGTGTATTATGCAACACAAAGGAGTTCAAGTTTCGTATTACACATCCCTATGGTTACAAGATATTTTTCCTGAATTAGGTAAGCCAGGAAATAGCCTGGACTTACAGCCATACACGCTGAAAACTATTCGGACAGCAGCTTTCGCTAATCAGGCCACTTTCAGCTAAAATCGTTTCAAGGATTTTACTTTACGTATCCGTTATTCACAAAGGTGTTGCCAGAGCTTTGATGGAGATCGGTGAGCCTCATACTTAGTCGGACCCATGTCGCCATTGCAACTACTCTGCGTTGAAAATCCATCGATTACCCATTATTTAAGAATTTCAAACAACTATTGCTGGTTTGATTCCTCTAAGAGAAGATATTACGATTCTATTCCATAAAACTTTCAAGTCACTTGTCCTACTTAAATATGAGTCATTATTCAAGGGCCAAGGACATGAGCCTTATTAAAACACTGGACGTAGTTGCCCATCCAGGCGCCAGTCATTCAGTGGGTGCGTACTGAAACCGCTGGGTGGGTTGAGTTGAGTGTCCTTTGAATCCGAATTACATAGGTCAGTAATTCTCTGACGAAAATGAACTGGGCTCTGAAATGAGCACCAATTCTAGCGACTTATAGAGATTATTAGCCAAGCATTTTAAAGAGGTACCCAAAAGCCTCTGGTTCTATCACGCAATTTCCATTTTTTCTGTTGCGGATGTAAATTCGGCAATCATTCAACAATGAAGTATGGGAGTGGAGGAGGGTTTTGCAATCCAATGAAAGGTAAATAAACACAAATTTCTAGTTGGTCAGAAAACTGAGTTTTTCGGTGCCCAAATTAAGTGGACTTCACGTGCCTTATAAATAATTGAGAGGAATTTGGTCTTTCATCTAGAGGCGCTACAGTTATACTAGCCTGGCATGGAAAGCAAAAAAGGCCGCTGCTTCCTCTACAGGATAGAAAACAATTAAGCAAATGGAATTCCGCATGTATTCCGCTTCGAGTTTTTGCGAGACACATTACTGGATAATTCTGAGTAAATGAATGAGGCATCGTTGTCCATTAAATGCCGAAGACTTCTTTCTGCTGACTCATTGTATTTCCACTTTCTCTCGAAAATCGCCATCTACTACTTATTGTTTGCTTGTGCCTTTCCATCTCGTAAACTTACAAATTGCATTTTCTCTTGATTTCTTTTTCCTCCGAATTAGACATGTAAATAATGCAATGAAAAAAGGCGCACTTTTCATTGCGGAACTATCAACGATCTGTTGGGTTGGGGTTGTAAGCATGTTTAATTTACGCCATAACAGCATAAAGTCATACCATATGGAGGGATTTGTCAGGGATATAAGTAATTGCCTACGAATTTCGCATTCATTGCAAAAATAATCTGACAGGTCAGTTGGTGTTTTCAATCCCAATTAAACGGGGTTTACTTCATTCGAAAAAATTTTTCACAAAGAATCATTATCTGAGACGCCAACAAATGGTGTAATTAGCGGCATGGCTAGGTTACATAAAAGTAAAAATAAGCGTCTACTTAACCAAATTTTGCTTTTAAGGCTTTATAAATAAATTAATCTCTTTCCCCAATCAATACTACTGCATCACTTTTTGATGATGCTATGAATTTTCTTTTGAGAATATGGCATTGCATGGATTCATTATAAATTGAAACAGAACGTATCATTGCCTCCATCAAAGCACATTTGCATATACAGGTAGTGTCAATAGGAAATGTTCCATTCTTATCACTGAATTACTCTGTATTTAAGATTTTATAAAATAGCGAAGGCTTACCTTAGCCCTGATGGATTCGCAATCCAAACAGAGGCAACTCCTGTCGTGCGGCATTTCGAGTTTGAAACCGCGGTCGAGAAGGAGCTGAATGATCTCATGATTGTTCGTATGTGCAGCCAGCATGAGAGGTGTTATGTCGGCAGAGAACTGGGATCGCTCGATGCACTTGCCAATCAACCCAGCGTGCTGACCTCGAGGAGCCATGACCTTTTCCATGCGAATGTACTGGGGATGGTCAATGATAAGTTTCACTATATGGATTTTCTCCTGGCTGATGGCATTCAGAAGGGCATCTTCAACTGCATAAAAATTTAATTTTCCAACTAAAGCGCCGATTAATTCAATGTTTTCAGTCTTCATTGCAAGTAGAACCGCGTTTCTCCCCATGTAGTCCACGCAGTTAACATTCAAAGTAGGATCGTTAAGCAATTCTCGAACGATTTCAACCTCACCAAACTCGGCAGCATTGAGAAAAACGTACTCCTTGTCCTGCAGGTGGCTCTTAAAAACAAGCCCATTTCCAGACGCTAACTTTAGCCCTGCCACAGTGTCCTTTTTTGCCTTACCCATCTGCGCCGCTGAGCCCATTTGCTCGGTCAGGATAGGCGCCAAGGTGGTGGTGATCTTGGAAGATTCCTTTCGCATCTGCACCCTCGATTGTCCCCCAGTATTTTGTGTACTTTTGCACGTGGAGGGCTTCATGTCAGTCCTTGTGCCATTCTCCACCCCCGATATCTCACCATCACCTCCACCGCTAATAGAAAGGCTGGCAAATAGCACTTGGGTGGCCGGCGTTGAGAGAAGCACACCAGTACTGACACCCTTGGGCAACTTTTCGCATTTTCTTTTAATTCTTTCGTTAATTAGCTCCGTGAATATGCGCGTATTCTCGTCAACGCGTTTGTCATCATCCTCCAGTGGAGTAATATTTGTTTGAACAGAGCTGGAAGAAGGGAGAGAGGAGGGTGCTGCAAATGCAGGAGCAGTTTCGACTTGATAGGAGCTAATAAAAGTTCCGGTAGCATCTCTACTTTTCCTGATATTAGTATTACCTGTGTTAGAAGATGCATTATTCTCTGTTGACCTATAGGTTAAGTCGGTGGGTGATCGCGCGTTTGAGTGGTGCATCGTATTTGTCGTTTCAATGCATGCTTGCTGTTGTTGCTCCGGCTGAGGAGCGAAAGCAACCGATTTATGAGCGATTGTCTGTAGTGACAATGATGGATTTAAGGAATCAGCTTGTAATGGTGACGTTGTTGCATTGCCGGTCTCCACTGGCCCATCAGGCACCGCCTTGGCTTTACGCAATTTATTCTGCCATTGGCCATCGCATTTTTTGACAGTCTCAGAGGCTGGAGCTGTATGTGTGAGCAACGAGGTAGATTTTCGGCTCGGATTGCGAGATTGCTTGGAGCTTTTTTGCTCCACGGTGATCAGAGGTTCGGTGCTTGCGCCCCCTTGAGAGAGCCTATACATCCTTACTGAACTCATTTGTGACTGGTGACTCCTGTGCGTGGAGGATCAGCAAAAGACTAGAAATGCACACACACGGCAAAACATCGAAAGCTCAAGTGGCCAATGGCTTGTAGTTAACGGTATGGCCAACCCGTTCCCCTCAAATGCGCTCTTTGTTCATCACGCAAATACAGCTGTCACAACGGTGTTTTAGTTGGCCTAGCATAGCCATATACTTATTAACGAGCGTGCTAGATGGTATTCTGAATTGTTTCCTTTTAGATTTAAAATTAGCTATTTTGCAGCGTTTATTTAATATTTTTTGCGTGTTAACGACAATTCTAGCGAGTCCCCCGATTTTTGCATTATTTGGTAAGACTCTCACACAAAATGCTTGTTTTTTTGCGATACCAAGGAAAAAATTTACATAAACACTTCATATTTCAGTTAACCCACCAGTTCTGACAATGCAGTGTTACTCTCACTATATACTTCCTTCGTTCTAACCTACACCTGGACAAAAATTATACCCTTTAGCTAGGAGGGGGATGAGCACCTTCTTATAGCAAACCCAAACATTCCGCAGCATACATAAAATCATCGAAGGTGCACTTGCCTGTGAATTATTTGTAATCCTGTCAGGGCCGGTCCCTGCTTGTTGACCCGAAACTAGAAGTCATTTTATAGGGTTTAACGACTCAAACCAAATCTGGTGAAATTAGTCCACATGTAATAGCCACAAATTTTGCTGTAGGATATTTCGACGAATGGAGTACAACCAGGTTTATAGGATAAATTCCTTAAGCAAATCAATTCAACGCAGTTATGTACAATAAGCATAACTCTTCAAAGGTAGGTGTTGTGGTGTAGACAACGCTACTCATACTTATCAGCACATAGTTGTGCTGGACAATATTCATACCCTTTCATCTGTGTGGCGTTTTCCATCCCTATACACCAATGTCCTGTTCTAAATATGATACTGTAATGCTTTGACAGCTTGATTAACTCTGGATTTGATTAGACGGGCACTTATGTCTCCGGGGATTGTATTTCCGTTCAGTGGCACCACCTCCGGACCATGTCAGCAGCTTCCCATCTCGTTAATACGTAAGTAGTACATTTTCTACCATGCTGCTTTGATTTCTTACGGCCTCAGGGAAGACTCGGGGCATGGTATTACAATACATTTATGGGGATTATTTTGCTACCTATCTGAACAAGGGGCCGTAAAAATTTCATAGAAATTGTGTTGCGAATTTTCTCCATATTAGCTATTTTAGCTCTAAGAGGGATGAATATTTTATTGTAATGGTTAAACATTTTCAACGTTTCTTTTGATTTAAAAGTGGTTCGTATACTTTAACTGCATATACGCATTCAAGAATTTGGTTTTTGTGGAGTAAACCTATGTTATGTAATGCACACCACGGATGTATAAATACCCACAATGGCGACTTTCCTCTTCAAAGCTGAATGATGATCCTAAACCATTCTCCTTATGTGTTGAGCATGTCTGATTTTATTTCATTGTCCAAAGTTTGTGGTCTGCCTTATATTGCGACCTTTCGAAGATTTTATTTAATCGTCTTTATTTTTATTTCGGTGTTCAAAACTAACGACCTTTGCTTCTCAATCATGCAGTAATTTCGGAGACATTATATGCAAAGCGTGATTAAAGATAAAACACAATTTGAATGACGAAATACTTTTTTTTCGGGCTTCATTTAGGGTCTTGCGCACAGGTTGCTACTGTACTATTTTCATTGTTCCCATTTCCTACCGCCGGTTTTAGGGTCTCGCATCGAGAAGATTAATTGAAGAAAGAAATTTCAAACTTGGATACCATGAAAGCTTGTCGAGATTATCACGATTTTGTTAAATACTAGTTTCCGTCTCCCCTTTAGGAAAATTGGTGACGTCCGCTGGGGTACGAGGTTGGTGTAAACTGGGTCTATGCAAGCGAGCTGGCAGTGCGTTGTAGTGAATGTGATTATTGAGACTCACAATATGCTCTAGTTGAATACCACTTTAATTTTTGACGGAGGTCTGGATTGTCGGCATAAATGAAAGTGATTTAATAGTGAATTTGACAGCATTCTACGGTGTTCAACGTGCTCAAAGTATTTTAACACCCTTTAGCGATCATTTCTAATGAGTGAACTAAAGAACAAAATAGCCTTCATTGTACCCCTTTTATACCCTCAAGAAAATATCCCTTTCTAATCCTTTTGCCGTAGTAAAATGCTTTTCGTCACTAGTTGTCGGTTTAAACTCCCCATTTGAGAGTAGCTTCTTTTAAAAGAACACCTTACTTGCTGATCCTTTTTGCTTTTAACCAGCGCTCGGTTCTTTTCTACTTGTACATTTGTCTAATTAGATGGAATAGATGAGTGGTTTCAACCACGATCGGGACTCTGAGCTAAAACCAAGCATAATAAACCACCAGGATAATATCTAATTTAAGCATAGACAATACTCCACTTGCAGCAGGTAAGAAGAACTAAAACACAATCTTTTGACAGTGAATATGGAATGTTTCCTTAGGAGCGATAAGCGGCAATCCCAGTTCCTGATAATTAATTTCATTAACAAACCTAAACAAGAACATTAAATGTCTTTTTGATAGATTATAAGCTATAAAAGCTCGTTAAAACTTAGAGCTTCTTATAATTTATGCATTGGCGAAGCTCGCATCTCGACGTTAGTACGCTCCGTGGAGTGATTCGGAACTACTTTATACTCACAATTTCACCAGTTTTGGTCAAAAATTAAATAAAATCAAATTTACTTAGTGAATAACGCTATCGAAAAGATGCTACATATGAATACTGGAAAAAAAGTGTTCCACGGACATCTTTTTGCTCTGGGAAAGGGATTTGAGATGGTGTCCTTAGTATCTGCGCTGCGGCAAATACTCTCATTTCAAAAGAGCCTTTCGAATCTTAAAAAAGTGGGTAAATTTGTGGTATTTCATCAATGGCCCTCATCAGTTTATTTCTATTTCACTTCTGCTTCAATTTTCGGGTGCTTTGCTTCACAACGAAACCCATTTATGAAGGAGGTGTGGCTGTCATCTTAACTCGGTCCATAAAGTGGGTGAATTTGGTAAGCGAAAAGCTAGCATTTTCAACAACTTGATATGTTACACTAGCAAAGTACTCCGCTCTAGAACTCGCTGAATCATTTTCAAATGACTCTGCTTTAACCGAAATACGTGTCAAAATGGGTTAATGCGTTAAAACCCCACTTGGTTAGCTAGATGAATTTCCATCTGCGCCAAATACTGCTCACAGTATTTTTTCAGTTTTAAACTTTAAAGCTCAAAATTACTCTTTTAGTCGTTTTACTATCTTATAGTCCTACTGCAAACTGCAGTCAGCGATCTCTATTTTTGCCAGATTAAAGTAGTAAAAACTGGCGGGTTAAAGTAAATCAAATCAAGATTCACGCCCTAGCATCGTATTACAGAGCTGAAGACTCCCCTAATGTAAACCCGAAAATCAGAAGAACATGTCAAATTGCCGGAGGGAATTGTGCTTGCCACTGTACGATTAGTGAGCGAATTAAATGCGATTTCCTTTTGCAGGCAAGTCCACGGACGACAAAAATGGCAGTGCGACCATCATAATTACACTTTAAATAGAATTTTAGCAGTTATCACGTAGCTTTGCCTAAATTTCATGGGTTGGAGTTACAGTAGTGCGTTATTTCCCGTTCATAGGTATCCAGTAACTCGCAGACAACTAGGTGTCTTAGGGTCATTGTTAAGGAACTTTTAGAAATACTTCGCTTTGAGTCATTTTCTACTTGTTTGCCCCTTAATTAGCTTGTAAGTTTAGTAATCTATTTCGATTTTAGGGTCGCTAAACCATGGGGCTGCGATTCCATTTAATTTGCATCACTGTTTAACAGGGATTTTGAAACCCTTTTTCTAAAGATGGATCGGTTTTGGTATCGTGCCAGAGCTCATTCATGCTAAAACAACTGTAATACTTAAGAATGGAGAAATCTAGCTGCCTTCAAACCACCGTGACGGAGCATCAACCTCATATTCATGTACTCCACTGGCCACATCTACGGGCTCTCCGCCCACTGACAGCGATCAGCACTACCGCACTGCTATCAAAAGGCAGTCATAATGATGAACTGTAAGAGACATTTTCTTATTACATTAAAATTCGTAGATACTTCCTTGAGAAAGGTTTTTGAGAGCTTACACTGAAGTGCGCTTGCATATGCGTGACTTCTTTCCAATTTTTAGGCAAATTTAAATCAAGTCGCTTGCCTTTGAATCAATTGAAATCTCATGAGGTGAGCATTCCTAAAAGATCATAATGGAAAATATAATTTCGTATTTGATCCCTTTGCTTTGCTCAAAATGACTTTCGGACGCACAAGATGATCTGGAGGCTCGAGTTTAATATTTGAAGTATTTAACCCCTTATGGCCTAACTGGTATTTATTGCGCAGAAATGAAATGTATGCCCTATTTGTACCCAAAAACTGCTTGAATGGAATGTTTATCCATTCACTATGCAAAAGTGATCCGGTATTTACATAAAAACTCATCTGTATTCCTCCTCTACCGGAATGCGCATTACCATTTCCTCATTTCTTATTTGATAACACCACCGTAGTTGCTGCACCGACTGCTTGGATATAGCGGGCGTAAATTGTCGATGGAGATTTCACTATAACGCTGTTATTTTGAGCCTTTCATATTGTTCTTTGAACGGCCAAGAAGAGTTCACGATGTAAACTACATCCTTTGCCACACACTACTGCTTTGACACTCAATTTTTCTTAAAATTATTTTGTCAAAAAAAACGTATTTTGAACAAACCCAATGCGTTACAAGAAGATTGGCCAACTTCGGGGAGCACATGACCAGAGAAATACTGGTTGCCCTAAAACGGGGCTTGTGAGTGGGCGGACCTCATGAGTTGCATAACACCTCAGGGCCCACAACAATTAGCATTTACCGGCAGTAAAATCATCTTGCTACCACATGGATGATATATAATTGTGTATATTGTGTTAATTTTAACAATTTGTGAAAACACGAATATTTAGTCTTGTTTGTACCTTCTAGCTCTGGTTCCATACCCACGGAAAGAGGTTGAGTAGGGTGGACATCTTTTATTCGAGGTGAAGGGTAAAAGTTTCTGCTGAGTCAGGTAGTTGACATTACCAGATCACTTATTTTGGCTTCTCCATTCACTGCTAGAAATTTTAGCCATTAAAGTAATTTATTTTGACTTGCCAAAGGTGATTATTTTGTTGATTCCTCTACGGCTCGTCGAAATGTATTGTTGCGTTAGGGCTTCATCGTTTGTAAGACCAGAACACCATTCTTCTCAATCTAATGGTATCATTCTGTCTTCCTTCCTTTTACGTAACATTCTTTACTATCATAATTCGAAGACATACGAGCATAAAGCATCACTAGTACGAATAAGATGTTCCTTTAAAACACCGACATATCACTCAAGTCTTATCATTTCTTCATAAAGCAGCAGATCTGTTAGATTATTTTCATAATGAAAAGTCCCGAAAATAAGACACCAGTAAACTAAAAAATCCACAGATTAAAGTTAACTCATCTGTAATTGATGGGAGCCGTACTGCAGCCCCTCCAGCCATACCCGAAGTCGTAAAATTGTATTGTATTACTAACATTTCGAGGACCTGGGAGACTACCAGCATAGCTGGAAGATCATGCTGTGAAGCGGAAGGGAGACTTGAGCAGAATAAAGTGCCTAGGTAGTTTAGTATACAGATAAATAAAATACCAAATTACCACAACTTTGCTACTCCGTGGATTGGAAGATATGGAACTGATAAAGTACACACTAATGCATTTTATACGATTTCTCAGTTGTTCCATGTACTATTACTTATAGAGTGGAAAAAGTGCTCGCCCTTATCTACTCATTGGCAGAAACAGGTGTCCATGCGCTTTAGAGGATACAATATGGAGCTAATACTACATAACGGCATTTTATTAGCAAAATTTCCTCTTTGAGGAGCCTGTGAAATTCCAAATCAGGGTTGAAATTTACACCCGTCCAATTATCTATGCTCTTATTTTATCTTCTCTATTTGTACACACTAAGTCCCACTTATGGGTCATTTAAGGTGGTTTTTTAACACAAATGACTTCTCTGGCCAAAATTTTGCATGATTTTGGAACATAGCTTTTGAACTCAATAGTGCGCTATCCGCTGTTCAGCCGTTCAAAGGGAAATCGAGCACATAAAGCCCACTTTATCTCAGGGAATTACGGGAAAGGTCGGCTTGTAGATTTCTTGCTAATAGGATGTTGCAAATGAATGAAATTTGCATTTCGGCGTATCCTATAGGAATCCACTGTATTATGCTCACGAATGATATCCTGCCATGTTACTTCCATACTCTTGCCTATCGATACTAAAACAGCGAAACCGAATTAAAAATTCTTCTCGCTTTATTTAGGTAGTGCCGTCCATGGCGAAAAAGAATGCAAGACAAGCTCTCAACGAGACCGAGAGCATCTTATTTGTAATCATTAAAATGTTCAAATAGATATTGCTACTTTTAAAGGGAAGGATTTACTACTCATTGTGGGTGAACAATGACTTCATTAGCACGAGTAGATCATCCTGATTTCCCGATGATACTAATATCTCCAAGCAAGCCTAATCCATTAATTCCATTTGAACAATAGTTATTTCCAGTCAAAAAAATGAGGAGCAAGAGGTTTGGACTTTGCATAAAATGATACTAATTGCAGCAACGTAGGACATTTGAGGCAGTGATCAAAACAAAATTATATTACGCCAACTAGTCGACTCGGCCAATAAAGTTTGATATGAGAGTGTGGGGAGGCCGTGTATTGCTAAAAGTTCTTCCCAATATGAGCAAAATACATCGGAAAATTGCCATTTTTTGTTTTACTGACTAAACTTTTAAGCTGCACTACATGAAGAACATAGCGTGCAAAGACCCAGGTTTTGCAAGAACAAATTGGAGATGTTATTTCAAGACGTCGTTTAAACCACATTATTCTGATTTTGAGAGTCTCCATCATCAGAAGTTTGAAATATACTAATAAATGGAAGTTATACTAAGAATTGAAAGCGGTGTTGATTTTATAAAAAATGCTATCAAAGTTGAGTTCAACTTTAGGGATTGGAATGACAAATTTACAAACTTTGACTGCTACTGGTTTGCATACTTATTTGGATAATTACTTCAAAACAATAACAAAGTCGCCCAATTTGGGGTATCACAAAAAAAATCTGCAAAAGATAAAGAGATTTTGATTGTCACCCTTATAAACAAAGACTTTCTTACGCCTTAAACACTTTTTGAGTTAACTTTAAAAGGAATAAACCTCATTTTAGCCATGAAACTAGCCGAGTGCCTTTGTAGCGTGAGATGCAGTCATTATTGACGATGATGGTTCCCTTTGTGGGTGTCCACTTGCACGCCAGTCCATCTCCTTCTCATTGTCGTCCTGCCTCCATCTCGTCACCTCGTCGGATCAAATGCACAATGGAGGTGTGATTATTTTTCACCCTCATACTTTAGTGACACGCGCTTGTGTTCCCTCGCAGGAATCCCGCAAAGGACCATGAGCTATTACTCTCACTCTCAGAAATTTCTTTCTGTTTGGAGTCATTAAAAACGACAGTTGGATAGCATTGGAACTCGAATGAATGTTGTCAAAGATGGCAAAGGTGGTTCAGTTGAATTGGAATATGTTTAGCACATTCCCACCTTATCATGGTGTTTAGTGCACCACATCCGAGATTTTTTCTACAAAAGCTACAACGCACAATAAAGCTTGGGGGCTAAACATTTTTCGCTGTTGTTTGAGGGGCTTGCAAAGAATTTTATTCGTTTTGTACATAAAAATAAATGCTAGGTGTTTGAACTTCTCTGTTAACTCAAGGGCTACCTCTGAACTTCACTTGAATACAAAAGTTCATAAACTGTTTCTTCTCATTAAAACTTAATAGGCAACAAAAAATAATCCTGACTCCACGACAAAGTGAAATAATGAGCATTTATTTCCGCGAAACCTATGCATGTTGTAATTCTTGGGCAATGTAATAATCTATGGCATGATTTAGCACCATTTCGGGAGTTTTACAGAAAACGATTTACAAGCCCGTCTCAAAGGAGATGTAGCCGCATCAGTGCTATTCATAATGGTACATAGATCATAGTCACCCACTAACCTTTTTTGGTGTTTCCGCACGTTGTTAGTTGACCGATGGTAGGCTATATTGTAAAATTTTAGCGACAAGACACAATTATCACGACCACTCTAGCTTTCTATTCTTTTTCATTGGGATAATTACGAAATTATGCCTTTTTATTTACTATGTACAACTAATTCAGCACCGGCTGGTAAAGATAACGATGACGTGAAACAAAATTCCTGTCGTTAGGATATTTTTGACTGTATCAAAAGCCACTATCTTGAGTGATCTCCGCCACGGAATGAGTGGATGGCAATAGTCATTTTTTTCATATGGCTTCTACTCAAAGCCGCCGACGCTTATCACCCACCTTACATATCATATTCCGCTTCTATGGTTCAAGGCCAAAACTCATGCAACACAACACAAAGTTTTCCTGACATAATAAACAAATCTTCCCATTTTTGCATTAGTTTCTCAAGGTAGCTAAATTTTTCTTACAAGTTACCAATTCGTATTTATGTAAATTTGCTGAAAACTTGCTGACCAAATAAGTGAAAATGGATGTCCTCCGTTCCTTCCAGTCAGTAATAAAATTTTGCCACAAGAATACAAGAAGCGGAAACAGTTGTAGTAATTCCTATGCTATTTTTCAGGCATGGCTGGTATCGCGATAACTTCGAAGACACTCCCACCATAAAACAGGTCACTGCGTAACAGAATGGGCTAAAAGAAATGGAATTAATCTAAGCCCTTTATTAGGAAATTGAGCGAAACCAATTGGTATTATGTTTTAGCTCCCATAAGTTTTAGTGAGCACCTAAAACTGATAGTATTTTTCTAGGTTATAATTTCCAAGCTTCCACAATTAAAGTAAATTTGCAAAAACACGAGATGATTGCTAAAATAAAGTTAATCTCACTGATAAGCCACCTAATTTGTTGTTTTATTATGCACAAATAATAGCACAAAAATTCAACTGCAACAATCGCTTTGCCGCCAACACACGTCTAGTGATATATCAGAAAAATTAGTTTGATCCACTATCGTAAATCTATCTTATTAATTCAATCACCCATGAATTTGTGAACTTAAAAGGCCACAATTCCAGATGATTATTGAGGAGTAAGTGTTTACTGTTTACTACAAAATGTCACCATTTAAGTTTTGTAAATTCTTGTTATTTAAGATCTTTTGACATTATTTAACCTGGCGATGGGGTTACTCCTCGTTGCGAGCATTTTTTATTCTGAAAATAGGTAATCTCAGTCATTTTTTAAATAGTCAGTAGGCGTCGTTCTCCCTCGTGGCACAAATTACTTGGAATGTTTAAGGAGGTAGTTAATACAAGTTAATGACCTACAGCTCATTTGCAAAAGTCAAAAAAAATTATTTTAAAATGTAGATTTATAAAAACTTGATACCCAGCTCAGGCTGGAGGAAAATTTTTAGCAGTGTTGAAATTTATGACGGAAACTTCTGGAGACATCTACAACCTTAGAAGCATTTAGTTGTGGTTTCTCAGAGGTTCTTGCCTAAGGATTGAATTCCCTTCTTCCCGACGCATTCACGAAAATATCTCTTAAAATTTCTTCTTGGTGGTCAATACGACATCGAGACACTTTATTTGTACTCGGAATCACTTTACGGTCAAGGCTATTCAAAAAAGGCTTGAATATGTGAGAGTGGTGGTAACCCGTGTACCGCAGGACAGCAGGGGCGTAAATATGCCCTGCACTCCCAGTGTTCGGAGATGTCGGCAGTTAAGACCTCCGTTATGAAGTTTTCATCTTTGATTGCCTGCTTGAGAACGCCAGTGTCCGTGCTCACATACACATTTAAAGTTCATAGCAAAATTCCGATATTTTAACAAAAAAAAAAAAAAACGAAAATTATGAACTCTGCCAGTGCAAAAGATCACCGCTTCCGAAGCTCACTAATCCCTATCACATATATCGTAAACCTACAAGATTCAGGAATCTCTCATAATCTTTTACGCTCACTGTGACCCTGTTTTCGATTGAGGAGTTGCAAATGTAGATCGGATGGTGAACTTTTTCTAGTCAGTCGTCATCCGCACTAGTGTCTGACTGGTTTACTTTAAAGTGGTATAATAACGATGCATTAGTTTTAAAATTATTTTGTCAAGGAGGCAGCATTTTGATTAATGCAAAAATAGGAGCTGATCGTCGGATATGATGCGCCAAATAAATCAGTCACCGTTACTATGAATTATGTGAAATAGTCCTAGGTAATCAAGTTAATGCACTTTATTGAGTCAAATATGGGAAAATTTTTGAGCCTGTTTAATATGCCTGAAGGAATTTTTAATCTGGTTGGACTCTCCTCTTCCTTCATAAAACATCCCGTCGGAAGAATTAATATCATTTGCAATTGGGTTTTATGAGCAGACCTCATGGAATTCAATGAAGAATTATGCAGCAGATGAGGGGGTAGTAGCAATACTGGACAACTTCCACCGACTTCTTCCAAATGGGACTTTGCAGCCGAATTGAGACAGGGAACCAGAGCTAAGATGTTATAAGAATTCTTAAAATCATTACACGAGTATTCACATTAGTGATTAGGAAAGTGGGTTTATTATAGGGAATGATTAAACCAACATCATGCACCCCATGTTTTTGTATTTGGTAAAAAAGAGTGGTCGACAGTTTAAAAAATGCTATTCATTTATAAGCTGGTCATGCAAATTAGCCAACACTTACGTAGGAGAATCCGAAAAAGTTTATCTCTCCTCACACCCGAAAGTTCTGTCACTAAAGTCATTTAAGTAACTGGAAGGAGCTCCACAAAATGCATTTTCGTCCTTCTGAAAGAAACTTATTTAATGATTTTTCATTTGCTCCTCGAGGAAATAGTCATATTAATTCTTTAAGATTAAAATCGATCTCATTTTTACTCCTGTTAACAAACGATATCTGGTTAATTTCTTCCAAACCGTAGACACTAAACTGAAGAACTGGTAATATATTCACATGTTGACGTAGCGTAATTTGGCAGATGGGTATTTGATCAGGTGGGAAGGTGGGTAGGCAGGCAATCGGGCAGGCATGTGCATTTTCGGAGCATAACTTTGAAACACGCCTATTACCAGCAAATGGTAATGATTAGAACTGCAGTACACGTTTGTTTGGCCATATGTTTTGAGCGACAAGCCTTTGGTCTACACCAACCGCATGGCTGAGCCGAGGACATCAGTCTCAGGAAGAAAATCATCTCTAATGCTCTGTAAACTTCTGTGTTCTGTAAACATTCCTCATGCCATTCAAATACAAGATGTCCTCACCTATTCACTCTTTTAGACCAAGGTTCTAGAACTGGAGGCAGAAAAGAGAACCGTTGCATTCATCACAGGGATACCCAATTTTGACTTCATCTGAATATAGTCATTAGGAAGGAATAGAATAACTGCCAATGAATATTACCACAGTGCAAGTCAAATAGCATCCCAATTAGTTATTTTAATTATTGTGTCGCATTGAGTTTGAGAAGGGGCATTCAGAGTTAGCACTTAAAGAAAAAACCTACGTGTACTTACTTTTGCTCTTCCAAAGGAAGTAGAATTGAAACATTTGGATACTTCTTTTAGTTACATGTTTGATTAGGGGAGCAATTAGGTCGCCATAGATTGTAATTCCACTCCACAACATGGCATCCGCGTCAGGTCAGTTTTAATGGTTGGTTGTTTGTTTAATGGCCAGTTTTGGTGAAGGGCTATTTTGTGTCATGGCCACTGTACCTTCGCCAGGCGAGCTAGCCGCTGGGCCATGACAGCAGCCCATGCCCCTTCTGTATGTCGAATAAGCATATTCTGCGCTAATATTACGGCTTCTTTTGTCATCAGTGAAGGCTCAAAACGATAGGCTATTATACTAATATGACTTAATGCAGCTTAAAGGAAGAACTGGAAAATACCTAATAAGTTTTAAAAAATAGTTTTAAGTAATATTGCACAAGTTTAAAAATTTAAAGTTGCATTACTCATATTGTTTATATGTACCTTTCAGAGGAGAAGTAGACGGTTGACGCAAGCTTCGTGACTGAAATGTGGTCAACATCTCCCGAACCAGAGAAGAGCTCCGTGTCCAGGTCTCCTCAAAGTTGTATCTATCCTCATTGACAATAGATAGTAAACTTGTCCCATTCCATTCAGTCGCGCCGATCTTTTGGTTTTAAGGCCAAAGAAAAAAAAAGGAGACGTGTTACAGTGGTATTATTTAACATAAAATGTTTCGTTTCGAACAAGTTATTTACATAATGGAAACTGGAGAACAATATCTTATAAGGTGCTCATTTGAAAATATGTTTGCCTTTTAAATTCCAATTACAACTAAATTACTTTAAAAGATTTTAAAGGCAAAATTTTGGGCATAAAGTCATCATTAATTTCCAACACTCATATGTTGTTTAAGTTGATCCCCCGAATGCGGTGGTGCTTTCGGAATACAGCTTAAGTGCCCAATGGACGTTTTGGTCGCAGAAATAGCCCGTAAGCGCAAGTCGCTTCAGGAGAATGAACTCATAGTAATTTTGTATTTCTGATCCCAATAATTAAGACCACGGAAAAAAAATATTTCAAGCGCTCAGAACTAGCAAAAGTGGAAGAGCGCGAATATAAAACTAAGTGCAAATACAGAACTAATATCGTTCTGGCAGAAGACGATGCAAATTATTCCAGTCTTCTACAGTCGGTAAGGCTCTTTTACAAATCCACCATTCGCATCAGACACCAGAAGAAAATTTGCTTCTTAAGAGAATGGAAAGAGAACGCGAAGAAAAGGCGAAAGGAAAACTGATGCCGAGGAGGGAGGTTCGATCTGCATTTATTGATTTCATCCGGAATGTCTAGGTTATCAAGCTACTTCGAGAAAGAAACCAACCAATTAGGCTTTTTGGGGAGTCGGACTTCGACACGTTTCAGCGTCTGAAGAGAATTCAACTGCTTGAGCCAGAGTCGAAGGGCTTGCGGAACGACTTGCTTGCTGCCATGGATAAGGTAGATGAGGATGAGGACGAAGCTGTTTTTGGCGAAGTTCGGAATAATGCAGCAACGGCCGCCACCTCTGATGGAGGTGCGAATCTGGAAGTTGCCATCAAAAGGGACTATATTTCTCCAGAGGAAATGGGGGTTTTGAAGGTTACGTTGTCCTCGTATGTCATGATGCGTGAACCAAACGCTACTGATGATGCAACGGCAGTTGCTGCGAGTTTTGCTCGAGCAACAGATATGCATCATGTCAATAAAACAAGTGACCGTGCCGCCAGGGAAGAGGTTTCTGACCATGTTCTGCGATATTTAAAGGTGTGTTTTTGTTACACAATTTGGTATCTATGCACTGGCAACTCTACAAAAACCAGTAATCATTTTGCACAACTCTATTTTAAATAGCACAATTCTTGACTAATAGGTTAAAGTCGAATGTTCTTTTATCGGGTTCAAGTTCTTATCAGTTCTAGACGCCTTTTACATTGTTCGGGTTTTCTACTATGCACTATTGTTCGATGTTATTTTCAATTTAATTGCCATTTAAATTGCAAATTCGATTTAGTTTCTTCTTTCACAATGGGGAACGCACTTGAATCAGCGTTCCAGAGAAGTTAAACAATCATACTCCGGCAAGATGGCTAGTGCAACATACAACCAGACCTTGGAATACATAAAACCCTTATTTAAACTACTGAAAACGAAGGTATGCCTCTCTGCAGTAGCCTCCAAATTTCTGCTTATGTTTAGCGTTGTCAAGATGATATCCTCGACTCTCTTGTCAAGGTGGTTGTTTTGCTCATGGACAGAAATTACTTGAAGGTAGGTTAGTTTTGTTAGGAGGTGAATGGTACTGGTAATAGGCAAACGACGCCTACTTGGATTTGGCGATAGGCAAAGCACCTTGGCCTTTGGGTGTCACTAATCACGGCATCCACCAGCGTACAGCGCAGGACAAGATTCACGCCAAGAACGTCGCTCACGTGCTCAACGACGAGACGCAGCGAAAATTCATTCAAGGCATCAAGCGATTGATGACCCGTGCTCAAGAATTCTTCCCAACAGACCCCTCCAGATGCGTCAACTACATGAAACGGCCTTCAAGTGCTTTTGATGCCGTGGCTTAGAGACTGTATGGCCACATGTTTGCCTCGTGTACAGTCCCTTTTAAATTGTTTTAAAATGTAGTCTCTTGTAAGTGTATCTGACTTCAAACTCGTTTGGTACATCACATTAAACTGCTGTCAAATAATTTCCTTATGCTCAAAAAGACAATTTTCCACAGAATTCTACTGTGCTAGCTTCTGCCGCATATCATAGGAAGAAAAATAACCATGTTAATAATATGCTTTATTTCTTTAAGTGGCGATAGATTTTGTGGTCTAGGTTTATGTCTTTGATTCAGATCATAAGTCGGTTGAGTTTTTGGATTCCCTGTCGTAAGATTGCTGAAATGTTGAAAAAGTTTGTTAAATTCTTCGCTACGTTCGTAGGTAGGCGTGGTAAAGGTTAAACTGACATTATCTTTTGGGAGTGCTCTACTAGCGTAACGCGAGGGCAATCTTCCTGCTCGCTTCGGTCTTGCCTGCAGCAGGAAAGCAGATTTTGCTATTAAAAAGTACGAAAGCCACCAGCTGAGAATAGAAAATGGTTTTGTAAGCGGCGAGTACCTTTAGGACACATGGCAGAATGTGGCTGAGATCATTGCTTAAATTGGTGGGGAGGGATACGAGGCCCTGAACGTCATCGAGGCTTTTTTCCATCTTCGGGAGGACAGTTTGGTCAGTTTGCAACGCTGATTGCGGTTGGTGCATGGGCTCCGGCTCCATGTATGAGGCACCGTGTTTCTTTCTAAATCGATCCTTCATTTCCTGAATCAATTTTGGACCTATAGGAAAGAGTTTGATGCGATGTATGGTAAATTGATGCTTTTGAGTCCATGATTCATCATTTTTGAATCCAGTAATATGCCTAAAAGTGGTTAGCAGCTGACATGCTATCGGAAATGCAAGGAGTCATGCCCTTCGTCAGGCAATTTGCAGTCAATTTGGGAAGAGGGAAGCAAAGTTAAAGCAATAATCCAATTTGTGAAAGCAGTTACCTTGGGTGGTGTAAATGTCGATTCCACCGACTGGTCGGTAATGCTGTGGTGGGGTCAATCTTTCGTCATCAAATGTGGGCGGCTACAGATTATGAAGGAAACGATTTTTTGGCTTAACTCATTTCCATCATGTCTAAGAGCACAATTTCGACATAACTAAGTATGACACCTTTTAACAAAGCTCTAACCGCCAAAAAAATAGATTCATTACCTTTCTTCAGTAACCTTTATCATTCTGCTATTATTGCACATCTATACTTCCCCATTGCGTTAGTTCACGATTATCAAAATTAGTTGAATACAGAACAGTAACACCACTGAGTGCAAAAACTAGTAAATAATGGGACCTTTCCAGTTGGGGTAGATGAAGCGACCTTGTTGACATGTAGAAGGCGCACAAAGACCGCTCACTGCGTACTTATGCATGCATTGTTTGGATTCGCGAGCACTGACACCAACTAATTATTTTGCACGAAGACAAGGCGCTCAACAATGGCAGTAGATTAGCCAGAAAGTGGATTCGATTTCAAGTGAATACCTTCGCCATCCTCTGAGAGGAATTCGAATCTACATGTCTATTCGCCCCTTCCTCTTGGTCCTCCTCTCCTTGGGTTCGTCTTGCGTGAAGATCCGCGGCTAAATTCAAGGACTGGAAAAGAATCAAATTCCAAAGTAACCTTTTTTTTTCAAATCTTCAGAGAAGAAATTGTAGCAAATTAAAAGCTCCTAATTTTAAAGATTTGTTGTACATACGCTCCATGCATTAACAGCTCTGATCCAAAATAAAATTCATCGTTAGATAAAATTTTAGTCTGGTATGCTTAGATTAATTAGTTAATATAGTTTAGTTTAGTTAATTGCGATACTCTGATTGGCATAAAAATTGGGATCTTTATGATGTGTTAAAAATACTGGCACCAGGCTAAATCGAATCAAAGCCATGCATTCAGAGTCGGAAGGCAAATCACTGAAAGGTTCCAAACCTCAACAATCCTTGTCACTGGGCTTATTCTACAGGTGTCCGCTGCCAAAAAGGGCATCAGGATGGATGTACCATATCGCCTCCTCATTCAAAAGATAAACTCACATGTGTCGAAAGAGGTTGGGAAGCGAGTTTGCTTTCCTCAGTCCAGCTCTCTGTAACGTGTGGAATATGACGATCAACTGCATTCTCCCTCAAAATACCCATCCTCTTTTTCGGCGGCAGAATCGGCTGTGAATAAGAATATAATTTGCATGGGTGAAGAGGAGTGTTTTCTTAAAATTTACACAATTAGACATTGACCAGTGACAGAATCGCGGGTGACTATGCATCTGGAAAAAACAAAGTTGTTTATTGCTTTGCTCAACACATACTAGTATCTGGGATCGTTTGATTGTAGTTTGTAATGATCCAACCGTCAAAAACTAGAGAACAAGACAAATTTAAAACAAATTACTCACAACTGGTTTTGAATTTGTTGACTTTGAATGGCCCTCAGTGTTTGCCTCAAACTGTTTTACTGCATCCATAACCCTTCGATAGCCTGACTTCCTTAGTGGAGCTAGAAAAAAAAAAACATAATGTGGTGTTTTCCTTATTCCCTGGCTCCGTTTGTGGCCCTTCCAGATTTAAGGCCATTCCCTTTCCTGGCTTTTCAAAGTCCATTTGATTCGCAAACATATGATATGCAAAATCTTGGCATGAACGACGGGATAATGACATGGGACCCGATTGAGAAAATAACGAACGCTCTTAAGTATTTTGCCTACCGATTCCATTACATGAACGGAAAGCTTCGAGACATGAAACAGTGCACTCGTAACCATTCCAAAGATTTATGAGTAAAACTACTCTTAGCTTGATGGTAAAACTAAGAGGACAGTAGTGGTATTTTTTCTATTGGCTAAGTACCTCAAACGGAAAAATATCATATCATGAAAGCAGAAAGGCCAACGTAACACGTACATAAATCTTTTATCTCGCTTTCGATGACATGAGAAGGGAGATCCGCTCCCTGAAAAATAGCGATTTTGATTAAGCAAATTAGCCCCGCAATAAATATTCTATAATAAAACATTACCTTGCCACTGTGATTAGAGCTGAAATCATTTGGATTTTTAGCTGACAAGTCCACTTCTAAAATAGTGGGCAGTACAAAGGTTTTTTATCATAGTCTCAACGCTTATATTTATTTACCCTCAAAGGTGAAGCAAACTAACCCTCGGGTACTTTTGAAGAAGACCTAGGGATTTCCAAGTAAACCTAAAAAATAGGAATAATTAGTCACTTGGGGAAACTGATTTAGTATTGTCTATGTTAAACAAACCACTATTTTATCTGCAGCTTGCAATCGCTCCTTGACTACCAAAACGATAGAATAGTCATATCCATAAAGCTCCATTTTAAGGGCACTGTGTTATATTTTGGCAGGCCTATCACTTCTCATCCTGCCTTTCGATGGCAATAAAGCAGCCGCTTTTTAGTGAATGCTAAATTGACTCGAGTGCAAAATTCGCAATTTGGATTGTGTTGTCGATTTATTTCCATAAAAGGCCAATTACCGAGTTAAACGAAGGTAACTTTTTGTTCCTCGAGTTGATAGAAGCTTCTTTTTGCTTGGCTATCGGATAATAACAAATAGAAAAGGCTTAGTTGGAAAGGAATGCCTAGCAAAATGAAAGAGATATAAAAACGCACAAACTTTACCAGGGTTCGCCTCTTGGATGGTCACTGACCGATTCAAAGCGCTCTACAAATGCACAGGGCTCCACTTACCATCAGCAAATAAACCCGACTCCTCAGCTGTCATCTTACTTACAGTAGGGGTTTGACACCGGCGTCTCACTTGGGGCACCGGCTTTTCTCCTCCTTGCCAAGCAGCTGAGGCCTTCATTTTCCACTTCCACTCAGCACAAGTCGAATCTGTGGCATCGGCTATCATTACATGCTTTACCTGTGGAATCCGTTTGTCTTTCTTTCGTAACTGCATTCTACAAACCAAAACGATTTTAAAAGCATAAGTGATTACAAACATATGGTAGTGCCAAAACTCCAAAGTCATTTTAAGAGTCAAATATTACCACTAAATTTAATTTAAAGATTTCGGTTGGAATTGTGGAAATACAACTCACCTGTTTTCCTTCACGGTGCTCTTTAAATCTCGTCCAAGGGGGTTCCACGCTATCAACTCTGGTGTCTCCACCGGAATTTGACGATTCTACAGACTCATCTGAAAAAAAATACGTAGATTTAAAATCTTATTAATAGTGTGGGTGTAGTAGTTCCCTATTTCAAGGCCATAACCCATGCTAATACGGCATGGTTCGATCTTACCCTCGATTTTTGCTAATGATCGCTACAAAAGAGTGGAAAAAGTGTGACTTTGCTAAATTGCGAAAGGAATTTCAGTTGTACAAGTTTGAAGCACTGAAACTCACTTGATATTCACTCTTCTTTGTCTGCATAATTGGCCAGTAGGCCTTCTTCGAGTGGCCATGCACCTTCTGCTTCTCCTGGCAACACCGATCTGCCTTCGCGTCACTCGATCCAGCTTTCAGAAATCATAGGTTTGGGGAGACGGTTAGAAAAGTATGACAATTTAATAAACTGGAAGCAAAAATGTTTAGTTTGATTGCATTATAAGTAGCAATTCCTAAGGCTGAACAGTGGTAAAACGATAATTGTTCAAAAGTGTTATCAGAAAAAAACATCCTAGAAGACAAGATATTACAAAAGGCCTTAGCAACCACGAATTCATACATTAAGGGGATTCAAAATCATGCCGCTCACCTTCATCAGTAGTTTTGTGCCTGTCTTTGAAGTGTGATTCGGATTCATCAAACAGTTTCTTCGAAAAAATGAAGAGAAAACTAGGATTATTTGCCTGTTACTCGTACTTTTTTATACCCTTTGGCAACGTCATACTTTAGAAGTTGTATCAAAAGCGAGCTCATAAGATTTAGAGAAAAGAAACTGAGAGGCACACAAAACCACTGTATGCGGATGCTTCTCAAATAAATAGATGCCATAAGATACGGAGATTGAGGTTTTATACCATCTGGTGGCAGAGTACGCAACGTGTTCACATCGCACTTGAATGCATCTCATTTCTAAGCAATCGGTCAATGGCTTATTTGAAAAATAAATTTTGCTTAACGCTTTGTCAAAGTCGCTCGCCAAACTGCGCGTTTAAAGATTAAGCTTAACCGTACCGGAGTTTGTATTTTTTATTGCTCAAAAAACCTTGTGATTTATGGCTATGTTAGGCGTGTCTATGGTGTTATATTCCACTTGGCGTTGGGTGCCAGTAGAACAAATTCGACCTTGGGCAAACAATAAAGTGGCTCGGCTGTTTCCATAAAACGATCTACAGCACATTTAGGTAAACTTCTAGACTCCTTATGTGCAATAAAAAAAGCCGCAGATAGATGCTGATTACACTTGATTACATTTTTAAAGGATGAAACTGTTCACGTGTTTTAGCCTTCTTTCTGTGTGACCTTTGCTTTGTTGAACGCTTTCAAACGCATGAACTATGGCCAACTGCCATGTAAACAGTGCTTTCGCAGGCCCCTCGTGATCGTAATGCTTTATCACTAGGTTTTATCTGCTAAAGCAAATGCCGTAATGACGAAATGTATCCTGTTTAGCAAACACTATCTTGTATAATATGGGACATCGCTAACAAGGGGGATTCCTAAGAGAAGCTTTAGGCAGTACTATAATTCATATTCATATGAAGCCCTTATAGTGACCTACTATTTACTCATAGTAGCATAGCCGTATCTGTTACGACTATTCCACTTAAACTGCGATCATTTACAAAATCGTGCCACTGTAATGCCTGGGACGGACTCACTCGAATAGCCAAAAGTTGTATTTGATGAAGGGGACGGTGAGAATCCACTCTCGATCGACAAATAGCATCGTTCACCTCATCATGACCAGCAGCATCACTGTTGTGAGGTGGGTGCTCCACGGGCATTGCCTCAAGGTGCCGAGCATGCCTTGAGTGTGGGCCCGAAGGTGGCATCACTAGGGTCGGGATGCGTGGTAGGGGCTCTAGTTCAGTCACATGATCATTGTTAGCACTCCACAATCTCTAGCTTATTATCATAAGTCCGGTAACCAAAAGACTACTCCTAGCATAAGGCAGTTGTTTGCTGTACAATATTTTTCACGGCGTACCATTACCGTCACAAATTCACCAACTGAAAGCCCTTTTTGTCTCATTGAAATAGCTCTGGTATACACAGTGGTAAGAGGGTTGTATAGGTTAACTTGACTGTCATCTTACTGTATATCTGCTCAACACTTTCTGAGTCCGTGTGAAAGATTAAGGTGTATATGAAGTGACAACTAACTTTTATGAATTTACCTAAAACACTCTAGATTAACCTTGATAAAATGGAAAAGACTGTGCGTAACAGTTTTGCGCAGTCATTTTAGCATGAAAATTGGTAATATATGAGCCACCAGACGGAGTGGTGGTTTAGAACCAAGAGAAGAGGGACAATTTTTCGGCAGAGAAGTGAAAGTACTACCACAATGCATGAAGAAGAATGAAGTCGAATTTCTCTGTTTTAGTAGCATGTCAGGTTCTTAATAGTGATTAACCATATGATTTAGAGCATATGAAGTTGAGATCCTTTAACTAGAAACCGTGCGCAAATACCAAACTAGATTGTGAAAATTCCCGTGTTTGAAATGGCCAATATAGATTTCAAAAAAAAGTTGCATTAAAAGCAATGGCAGGTTCACTTGTTTGGCATATTTAAAAAGCGACGGTAAGAAGAGTGCTTAGATGCATACTCGGAAGTTTCTTCCTTTTTCGCCTTTGACTTGAGCCAATATAAGCCGTCCTCATTTTTGCACAGAATGAAATTGGAATCTTTTTCCACATATGTGCAAGACAACTACGTGGGTAGAAGGATATGCAAATGATACTAAGTCTACGCCACAATTGGTGCAGGAAAACGTGACCAATAAACTTGCCACCTGAGCTGTCAGGCGTGATTGGCTTTGCTTCCTGTCAATTCACCATCAGTCCAATAAATTAACCAGAGGGAGGGCTGGGATTGTAAAATACATTTTTTCGGCATGACCGCTGGTGAGACAAAACACCGACGAATGATTTATTACTAATAAAATCTTACATAGCTGTGCCTTTTGTTTTCTTTGCTCTGTGAGAAATACTTCATTTTTATCTCATCTTTGAAATAATGTAGACTTATGGTTTTTAGCATTCACGCAAGGCAGCTGTTTGCTGTGTCGAAAAATTTTATAAAAGTAATCGTTTATTACAAAATTAAGTCTCATAATACCCGGGTTTTAAATTGATGGGATCGGACCGTTATTAGTACATTTACTTAGGGCTTTAATAAATACAATCTGCTGTTCCCCCACTTTAACAAAGGGTAATGCCTTATGGAATACTAAAGCGTTCCTGACTTGAAAACTGTATTCTAGAGTTGCAGTCACGATCTGATAGCCTAAAGTCAAAGTAACACGGTTGGAAACAGCATTCTTACCGTCTTCCGCGATGTTTAAATTTTTATTTACCTAAAATAAAGATTAATGAGAGTATTTACGGTTGCAACCTAATGAGTTCCGATGCGGGTAGATATGTAATGGAGCTAAGTCCCGAATTAAGGGGGACGCTTACCAAAGAAATGTCGCTGGGTGATGGGCTGTCCTAAATGGAAGATGTATAGTTTTATTGAGGGGATAAATAGGCTTGGATGCAAAGTGCCCCATCCTGGTGACTTACTGGACAAATAAAGGTTAGTTCGAAGGCCTTCTCCGTCAGCTCGTTGATGGTCGCCTAAATTATAGCCAGAATGTATTTTGTGATAATTTAACGAACTATGATGGTTGTGTAGTCCCATACATCTTACCTACGAAATGGTATTACAAATGATAATAGAGATCTGGTGTTCTACGAATGCTACTTTAAATCTCAAAGTCAAACCAATGGAATGGCTAGGACTACAATAACATACAGAATAACGAAAAAGACATTTCAAATAGTCTACATCACCTAAAATCCTACTTTTGTTTGTTTTTCATTTGAGCATGATTGCGCATTTTAACCTTAATTTAAAGTACCCCACGTAACTTGTGGGTAATGTTACCCACTAAATCTGTGTATAACTGTCCTTTCCGGACAACCGAATTGAGTATGAAGGGAGCCCTAGAATTTCCTATTAAGGTAGAAAGCTTACCTTTAATAAATTACCGACCGGGAAAATACGAGGCTTACTTACC